TATATATGTGCAATATTCCCTCATGTTTATTTAACCTAAGTATTCATTTCAAGGAAAATTTAATAAACATATACGAAAAATAGCCACGCATATACTTCATATATACTAATCCTTTTTTAAAAATCTACGCACGAGTATATTACGATTCTTCTTTATGCTTCCTGTATTTATACGTAGGCGCAGTGTGAGATTACTATGAAAGGCGGGCTCAGGTTGACAGGAAATAGTTCGAGATAAGATAACAACATACCGTCACTTTTTCTTTACATCCGGTAACTTTCTTCGTTACTGATCACTGCCGACGAGTCAATTTGAGTGTTTTATTCAGGGTCGGTCTGGTAGGTGTGCAATGGTGCATGCACGTAGATCATTAAATCTCTAGGGTGGCCAATATAATGCAGTTTAAATACAAAAAAGAAATAGAGAAAAATATTAAATATTTTTATGAATTCTTTTTATTCTTATCAATCATATCGAATTATCATTAAACCATGCCTGTAGTTTCCTATAGATTAAATCAGTTTATAATCTATTTATGATCTGTATTGATAGCGGCAGCTCATTATCTTTAACAAATAGGTGATTAACAGCATATGGCGGTTGTCTATAGCAAAATAATATCTGTATTTCCGTAAAAAAACTAGCGTTTATATTAGTATTAAGGTTGTTTATCTCTTCTGGTTTTATAATGGTTTACATCAATAATGAATACAGATATAATTTTTGAACGATTTTGATGAACAAGATCTTATTTTAAAGATAAAGACATAAGTAAGGACATGGCTTTCTCGAATTTTTGAAAAAGTTTTATTTTCTTTAAAAAAAATTGTGTCAAAATATGGCGTTCTTTCGAGAATAGTTCATGTACAAAAATAAAGCTTTTTCAAAAATTCGAGAAATCCATGTCCTCTTTTAAACCTTCATCTTTAAAATGAGATCTTGTTCATTAAAATCGGTCGAAGATTATACCTAAACTCACTGTGGGAGTAAACGCTGTTTTCGACATTTTTCAAGAAAAAAGTATAGTGGCACCACTTGAACTCGTGGTAAAAGAGAAGAAGCTCATATTCCTATTACTGATTTTTATATAAACTCTTGAATGGAGTATGTTTCATTTCTGGGAATTAGTTGATTTTCCTTGTTTATATGCGTAAACCGATGCTCAGATTTTCTGATTCATACAAACGTAAGGAAAAGCGTATACGATGCTCATAATGAAAAGCCGCAGTAACTCTTTCAGACATTTTAATGAGTATTCGAAAGATAATTCTATGGTAAAAATAAGGAAATATGTCTTCAACCATTCACATCAATATTTCTGAGATATTGTTATATTTTAGAAAAATGTTTAGCTTCTATTACATTTTATATATTAGAAACACAAAAATCATATAAGAAACATTTAGCAGAATAATTTTAATTTAATATTTCAATTCATTTATATTTCGAACACGGGGTCGTTGCCTACATCTAATATTAAGAAAAATTAACAATCGATTAACTTTGTTCGAACGCGCGAACCTTAATAAAAATGAACTTTTCACTGACTTTGATTATTATCGAACCAATTTTCTTTTGGATTCCGATTAGTAAAGATTGAAACAGTTTCTTTCCAAATGAGTAAACTTAAATAAATGATTCTTTCTATTATTTTATAATTATTTAAATAATTTGAAACGTACGTAGAGTGTATCTAATTAATATTTAAACAAAAGTATATTAATTTAAACATGCCATAGCTCGAAACATGGGAAGAACTTAAAATAATCTTAATTTAAAATGTCAATACTTTAAAATTTTTATCTCGCGGTCGTTAACTACATGTAATGTTAACAAATTTGGACTGTTGACTGACTTTGACGGTTACTGTATTAGTATTCTTTTGGATTCCGAAAAAAAGATCGAAGTTTTCTCTTTCTAAACTTGAAAACTAAAAAATTAATACTTTCGGTAAGTTTAGATTTATTTAAATAATATAAAAATACATGGTATTAAATAAACTAATATTTAAACAATAAATTAATAAGTTAATAAGTTAAGTTTTGGACTCACGGAAGTTGGCTTTATTGAATATTAACGAAAGCTAAAATAAAAATATCGCATAGTAGAAGCAGTGTTTGTTAGTTCGCGTTTCGCGATTTAAGGTTATTCACTCTTGGTTTTATAATCGATTACCCCATCAATGAGAACAAGCGTAATTCTAGACTGATTTTGATGAACAAGGTCTCATTTTAAAGAAGCGGTGAGTCGCGCAGTTCGACCCATACGTATTCGACGCGCATACCTGTTCTATTGTATCCTTTTGTATGTGTGCGGAATTTTAAACTTTGTATCCGTTTTTCTCTAATCAGTAATATTGTAAAGTGCAAGGCATGCAATGGTGACGTGAAGTTCATGAAATCGAGCATTCGTGGATTCGGTTTTACATTAGTGATTTCACGTGACTCCTGCGAACCAACTAGTGTCCTTTCCAATCCTCTCATAAAAAATAAAGCGTATGACATAAACAGACGAATTATTTTAGCATTCCGATTGTTAGGAATTGGTTTACAAAGAATAGAAAAATTTTGTAAAATCATGGATTTATCGAAAGCAATGTACCAATCGTTTTACGATATCGTCTCGAGCACATACTGCTGCACAGAGTGTGTGTAAGATGTCAATGGAAAATGTTGTGAAAGAGGAATAATAATTGACAGCAGAAATGAAAAAAGGCTCAGGTTTGACTGTTTCTGGAAACGAAACTTGGCGCAAACGAGTCTTCTCTTCGCTTTATGAAACATAAAAGGCTTTACGGCGTATCGACGATTATTGGTATAAACTACTATGTGGCCAAAAATAAAAAATGTTAGTTTAATACTTTTGAGTTTATTATTTTTATTATTATTATTTTTTAAAATAAGTTCATTTTTCGAGCGCTCTGGGTGATCAGACCCCTTAAGAGTAATTACTTAGTAATTACTAAATGAAGTAATCGAGAGTTTATATCACTAAAATAAAAATATCTCCAAGTAGAAGCAATATTTGTTCGTTAACGTTTCGCGATTTAAACAGCAAGTGTTTTGTATCGACAATGCAGTCGTTAGAGTCAATGTTCGTTTGCAAAGTATTTTGCTCTTTTTATAGTCGCACAGACTATATTTATAAAAGATAGTAAAATTTCACAAAGTAAATTCAGTAACCATCCGTTAAAAAATAACTACTGCAAATTAGAATCAGCGTATCACTGAAGAGAATCTCATCCAACTTTGATATCGACCTACCTCATTTTCAACCATCTACGAATCATCCACCCTCAATTTCGATCTAATTCATGGGCGAGTATTTCGGAGCCATCGCAGAACTTAAATAATAAGTGAATTTTTAAATCCCTCCGATCACTCAATCATGTCGAGGACGAAAGATTCGAATCGGCAAGAGTGATTGGTTGTAATTATTTAGTAGAAGAGCATTGAGTGACCACGAGCAAATTTTTTTAGAGATTTACTCGTGAATGGTTTATTATTTTTTTATTTATTTATTAGATCAGGATAGGGTCTTCTTGTTCAAACGCGTTTATAATTATTACAAATTTTGAATATTTTAATTCATTTTTAAATATTTTTCTCGTGCGGAAATATCAAAAAATCGTTATTCATGAGTTTTAATAAACAATAAACAAGAAGACATTCGTGATGGATAGTTTCTGGATTACAAACGATACTATACATGATTTCTTTATAACAATTAAAAAAATCTTTTGTAAGAAGGAACATCCAAGGGTTTGCTTTATATTTTTAAATAACAATGAATTAAATATTTAATCAATTTGAATTGATAAAAGAAAAGTCTTGATAGAATCATTGCTTTTGAAGAGATAAGTCAAGTAGAATGATTGCTAAAAAACAAAGAAACTTATAGAGCATAGTCCATAGGCCTAGATGATAAATTAATTAATTTTTACCTCAGAATTTTCAGCAATCAATATATTAATTCTAATTTCTTCTACATTGCGCAAAAGTATTTCTCGAAAAAGTAGTAATCAGTTTCTATCCTAAAAAATAAGATTTATACTTTTCAGATACATTAGGATTGTGTTAGGGTTATCTTCTTTATCTTAGAATTTGGTATAAAATTTTGTCGTTACAGTTTTTAAATGATAATCGATTAGGATAGGGCACAAAGCAAAGAAGAGGCTATATATTGTAAAGGCCCCCACAAATTGTGGCTCAAAAAACCAACTATAGACTATTGAATTATTTTGGAAGGTTCATCAGAAACTTTCGAGAATATCTCAGTCATATTTTTATTTTACCATGTTGTCACTTAAATTGCTCTTATGATGATGGGTGTAGGGGTGTAGATTTGAAAAACTGAGACGACGTAACTTTCTATTTCCGGTTCCACATTGCCACGCGTACGTGAATAGGATTATTTCATAAATTATGTATTTTTATTATTAATATTGAGACATAAATTCTACACATTTTCTCTTTGTTAAAATTTGATTAAATTCATAATTTTATTTTAATAAAATCGAGTTCTATGCATAGGAAGCTAAAACGAGCACACAAGATAGTTTGCCAAGGTCCCTAGGATTATTTAATATTTTGCATTTTTATTATTAAAGTTGAGTTTCATATATTTTTCACGTTTTCTTTCTCTTAATATTAAATTAAATTTATACTTTTGTCTTTCATAAATAGTATATTTCTTATTTTTATTAAGTTTAAAGCTATAGTCACGAAACGTATAAGATATTGCAATTATGGGGACCATTAAAAGTACTTTGAATAAAGATACACATGCAACTGAAACAAGTAAAATGGAATATGTGCCAAGTTCTCTAAGTTTTGCCACGCGTTACTAATGTAATATTTCTTTCAGAGAACATAGTATTTCTTTGGATCAATATCGAGAATTTCTCATTTTCTTTTATTTTTCTTAAGTTAAATTAAATTAAATTCAAAATTTTATCTTTCAAATAACTAATATACATATATACATATTTCTTTCTTTGCTTATTTCTTTTCAGCTAGTTCGATATCGCGAATAATTAATAATTAAGATTATTTTACTAACATTTAAACGACAGGACATTCTTAGTAACATTATAAAGATCTACATTATAAAGATATACATGTACTATCATATACTATCGATTAATACATATACTATCGATCTAATATTGATAACTTCGAAAATACACCTTTGATTTTTTTACGGGAGGTCATAAATGGGTTTTCAGATGCAGCAACGTGGTGAGACCTGGGTTGGTAGTACTTGTAATATATCGAAATCTTATGGGATGCAAGTATTACTGAGCGTATTGGTGCATATTTCAATGCTTTTCCAAAATCTTTTTTTCTAATTCTAATTATGACTATATGTTAAAGTACTTACATTTTATATTGCTAATAATACTTCAATAGATAAATGATTAAATATAGTAAAATTCTAAAATAATTTCTTAAAGAAACCCATAGAAAACTGTTTTATCGCACGTTTATTCACAGTAATTCCTATTTATTCTCATTTACTTTTATTATTATTTATAAGTCTCGGATGGTACCCATGGATTAGGCCCATAGGTGTAAGCCTTTGTGCGGGCTGCTGTCTCAGCATGTGTAAAGTTCTCGACTGTGACCCTTGGGAAGGGCTCTTCGGTGTGAACCCTTGCATGAGACTCCTTTCAGAGAGGAAAATTGTGCTCGATTTTGATACTCCGATTTTGATTGGGTAGAGCGATTCAATATGTCCACCTCGTTCTCTCTCCTTTTCTTTTTTCGGCTCTCTTTTCTTTTCATTCTCCGGCTCTTTTCTATCTCATATTTCTTTTTTTCTCCTCTTCTTTTTCAGGGATCATCGAGGGATCATCGAGCGATATTTAATATTTCCACCTCTCATTCCGAATTCCATCGTTGTTACGTGCGCGCACTTTCCGTCTTTCTTTTTTGTCTTTCTCTTATTTTCTCCTTCTCTTCTTCTTCTCCAGTCTGGATCATCGAGGAATAAATTCATCTGCGGTCGGATGAGTCCAATGTATCGTTGAATGGCTCGGTTCATCATCGATTTTTACGCGAGAATACGAGAAGAATAGGAGAATACCCATGCGCGTGTCAATGGACACAGGAATGGGTGTTCACGGGCGCGATTAAACCGTCTGATTATTTGTGTTACCCCGGAAACGCGGATTGTAGAGTATAGTCACCGTTTTTCTAAAACTCACGTGAGTGTTCAAGCGCGATTAAAGGTCTTACCGTGGACTCCGTTTTTTATTGTTCGAAATTAGGAAAGCACGAATGGTCGTGCTTAATATTCCGTTGTCTGAAGCTAACCGTAGAGCTATCCGTCAGCGAGGTCTCACAATTTTCCTGTTAGTTAAGAAGTCTGAAGCTCTCGAAACGGAAAGACATTGTGGAACGGCATTGCGGTACGTGGATTTTAGAGTAGAGTTACAGTCAGCCCTAAAATCTTCAAATGCAGTAACTTCTATGTAGTAAGACCTATCGATCGGTAGTATTTGCGATGAATTGAAACTTACTTGTCAATAGATCAAGCAACGCGCATACTACCGAGCGAATGGTTATATATTTCAATGTATTTTCAAATTCCTTTTAATCTAATTCTGATTATAGACTAAAGTACTAACATTTTACATTGCCAATAATATTTCTACGGCTAAATTAATAAAATATAGTTAAATTCAAAGATAATTTCTTTAACTTCGCAAATTTATATACTAACTATCATACGTGTCAATTATATTATTACTTTCTATGCATTTATTGTGAAACAAATGCGTATCTAACACGGAACATTGTGAGACGCATGCTGCATCGAAGAAAGATATACTGAAAGTGAATTCACAGCTATTAAACTACTTACTCTAACCCAACGAAACCTATTGTTATGTACGCATGAGAGAGTAATAACCAACATAAGCTTATATATCGTTATGATAAACGCATGATAGGAATAGCGTTCCCCGCTTGCGTTTATAGTTCATATTTCGTCCATATCTGTCGCTGAAGTCACATACGTTTTGAGCAAAAGGTGATAATCTGTTTTAATAAAAATCAACCTAGCATCTCTTAATTATGAAGCTTTCGTCTTTCATCTTAGAGTTCTAAGTATATTTTAGAGATAAAGATAATGAAAAATTGTCTATTAGTAATACCATTTATAAAGATAAAAATTTTGAAATAAGCAAATAGTATTCTCAGAAATCTAAATAAGGAATACGAAGAATCAGATTTGCTGCAATACTCTTTACAACTAGACTTTTACTCTTTCTAGTTCGACTTGTTATCAATAGATAGTAGATTCTTATTTTTATCGACTACTCAATCGGTAATAATAGATCGCTGCTTTACCAATTATACTGTGTAGGTAAAAATCGATTGATCTATAATTATTTTTCCTTTCTTCATATTGTTTTTATTAACAGTTAGTTTGAGCATTTTAGCATCGTGTTTTCGCTTTTATTTTAATAACATTTCGTTTATTTGTAATGAAATAAATTAAAAAACGACATTTCAATTATCCTAATACATAATATGTACTGTAGAATTGAATTATTTTACTTGTAAACTCTTTTTTGTTTGGATAAAACTAATAATCCTTAGATACACTAGATGGCTCAAATTATACATACTAAATATTTTTTTTATTTCATAAAAACAATTTAATAGTTTATTAATGTGATTATAAACTTAAAAATATAAATCATTAAGCGTATTTTTTTTTAACCATATTTGGTCATAATTACAATTGTAGCAAGCTTGTGTCTTGTTACATTTTATATTTTATATCGTACAACAGAATTTTATTTCATTGATACTTTTTGTCAAGATCTGTCCTTTTTAAGAGAATACACCGAGGTAAATGACAATTAAGTAAATCATTGGTACCATTTGATACATGATTAATGTCTTTTAAGGTTTATTCGGTGCACTTCGAGGTCGTTTTAAAGCATTATACTTAATACTTAAAAATGCCAACATAATAAGTACAATAAGTATGGCTACTCCTACACCCATCCACAATTCTATTTGTAGATCAAATTTATCAAATGCTATTTCAAGCAATGCTAAACTACCATCCGATGGTTCACACGTATTTTGAAAAATGATATCTTGGCGTAGAACTTGCTTAGGTTTACAATTAGTTAATTTGCTCATACTTTCTGGACCATGAAGAGGGGGAAGTAATAAAGATAGTGCCCATCGCATGGGACTAATTTGTTTATACCACGATGGTAAATTCTCTAAGTGTAACGTCACTCCAGCAGCCAAACTTAATTCACCAATTATAATAGCAGAACAAAAAGCTGCTAGATATGTCCATCTGCATATATGAGCAAAAAGTATGCATATTAAATGCTGTAGCATCAGGTATAATAAGCCAATAGCAAGGTAATTCCACAAAGATGTTAAATTTTCATCAGGTACTAGATGTAATCCACACATCGCGAATGCTGGTGCTAAGTATACTAAATATACTATACACCAAATTGGTAAACCACAACATAGCTAAAGTCAGAGAAAATATTTTAATATTAATTTATGATTTAAAGGACAAAAATATTCTTACAGTGTGAACTTACTTCTATAAAGATATAGATAAATCTTCCATAAAGTCCATCTCTGATATCTCTTTCTACATTTGGTCTACAATTAGCGACTTCACGTATAGCTAAAATACTAAGAGGCCAGCAAAAAATACCCAAACTGGCATAATGAAATCCTATTCTATCTCTCAGATATAGATTAGAATCTCTAGCAACGTTCCAAAATATTGCACCCAATAAAATACTGAGAGATGCTGAAATAACAATCTTCTGAAGCATTTTTGTCATTGTTAGAGGTTGACTGTAGATAAGAATCCTCAATAACAGAGCATAAATATGTACAAATACATTAGCACTGGAAATAGCTGGCGGCAGTGGACAAGGTGGTCCAGGATCGCTTAAAGCTGGTAATCTCGTTCTAGCTAATTCTGCTAAATGGTCTATTCTTTGTGAGGATTCTAACATAGCTTCTGCCGATAAATCGTCCAAAGTGACCAAATCAACTGAAAAAAAAACACCATTTAATTAATTAAAAAATTCGACTTTATCAATATAAATTTTATTTATCATTTAACATGAATTCATTCATGATACATACGATAATAATCTGATGGATTTTTGAAGGAAGGACAGGGAAACTCGGCAAGTGCAAAATATGGCAACATATCTCTTCTAAGTCCAGAATACATAATTCTACCTCCCGAAGTGAGGGTAACTCTGGATATCATTGTTAATATTTCATAAGTTGGTGGGTGCAATGTTAAAATAACAACTCTTTGCTCTCTTCCAGCCCATTGTCTTAAATATTCTACCAAGAAGAAAGCATCGAAAATATCCAAGCCATGCGTAGGTCTGTCTAATGTAAGAATATGCGAATCTTGCAAAAGACGACAAGCTAGAGCTAATCTGCGTGCCTCGGACGTCGTTAATGTATTCACAAGACAGTGTTTAGTTGCTTCCAATCCAAGCTCCAAGAGTATTGTCTCGGCTTCTAGTGTCGTAATATTAATTCCTCCTTTTAACAACATGTAGAAATTTAAAGTTTGTTGCGTCGTCAGACCAGGAGTTAGTCCACACTCCGTTGGTAAGTAAGCAACGCGAGATCTGCATAAATAAAAAATATGTTAATGTTAATAATTTAATGAAGCTGCTAAAGAAGAACGATCTTTTGCTTAAGTGAATGAGTTCATACCTCAAAATACGAGCGGATACGGATCGGCCATTCAAAAGAATATCACCTTTCTTGATAACTTTTTTGCCAGCGATTGTCTCTACAATTTGTGTCCCTTCTTTTTCGGTAGTGGCCATTATAGCTAATACTTCAGTTGCTCCAACTTCCAAATTAATACCGCGAAGTAATGGTAGGCCATCTGAGCCTATAGTCTCTACACCGCGAAGTTGTAAATGTGGATGCTGAATGCAAGCTACAGCTCTCAATGACATTGTATAATCTTCAGGTCTTAAAATATTGTGATCTATAAATTTAATTGGTAATCATGACAAAATTCAAAACGCAGAATTTATAAATATTTTCAATATAAAAAATTTTTATTTGCTACTTACACTAATTTTTAATTTATTACTTACTAGGTCCTGCATAACCGGGATCGATTGGTGCAATACTGTGTCGTCGATTAGTCGTAACAACATTTTGAAGCAAATTTGCTTCGCTGACGCTTCTAAAACGTGAATTATCCCTAGTTACCGTGAGTTGGGAGTGTGCTTGTTCTCTAGGTAAAGCGTGTACGTGTCTAAAATCTGGATCACTTCTGGCAGAATGCATTGCCGAAATACCTGGTGCAGATGCTGCACCAACTTGCGACATACGTCGACCTTCTTCGCTAGAGTCATAACCGCTAGAACCATCACGATTGCGCGAAGTTGGTGGTAGTACACGCGGTAGACCAAATTTCAAATAGGTATATGAGTTATTGGCAAGTGGACTCTTTGGACCGTATCTCGGATGTCTTAGTATACTCTGTACCGTTGAATCTCGAAGTTGAAAGTTACCGTACGGCAACGGTGATTTTTCGGCCGAACCTAGTGCAGAGTCCGTGAAATCAGAATTAAGGTTTTGTCTGAAAAAAAGACGATACAATTTTATTAATTTTATCTTCAAACAAAATTCTTTTTATCAATACAATCTTAATACGATACATCGATCTTATAGATCTCATTATTATGTAATATTGTTACCTGTATATAGACCACGCGTGCAAATCTTCGCTAGCTGATGGTTCGAGTCCTCTGGTATCCAAAGCTCCTGGTACTGAGTACCGTCTTTCCAATTCCCAAGCTTCTGAACTCATTTTCCGTAATAATCACTGTCAGAAGATTCGTCAATCAGTTATGTTCTACGACAATAATTTACATTAAATTAAAACAAAGATACGTTTAATATACTCAGAGATAAATGTGAAAATATTCTTTAAATGTACAGTTACTATGTTCGAATATAAAATATCAATCTTTATTCCATTCAATTTCTTTTTTTAACAATATTCTCAAACCATTTATATTCCCTTAAACGATCTATATAATATATGGTAATTCTCAAAATTATAGGAGTACTGTATTCAATAATGACTTTTACCGCATGCATATTATTTATAATGCGTAAGATGGTGTCATGTGCAGAAGAGAGGAAAGAATCGCAGCATCTCGTTTAACGGTGTATGTATGCATGTATATATAACATATAACTGACGACCTAAAAGAACTTGTGTAGCGTCTGTTTCATTGCCATTGCCGACGTCTCTGGTATTAAACATTTTTCGTGCCCAAAGTATCGTCACACAATGTGTGTGATTTTTGTCTTGATAGATTAGTAAGTACATAGAGATTATAACTAACGGATAGTGCATTCTTCGACCGGAACTAGATAAATTATGTAGAATTTATAAATGAAGCGTCAAACTGTAAACTATATCCTATATTTGTTATTTATGCCTGCATTATATAGGATTTTAAAATAAATCTTCGCGTGTTATATTAACGTTATGGAAACGATCAATGTTCGTATTCATTACGTTCATTGCACGAACAGTTCTCAGTATCTCGAAGGACGATTGATCGAACGCGGAATTGTTAATAACTGCTGAACAGCAGAAACTTGATGATTGGAATGTTGTCTTTCTTTTTCTTTCTCATTTGCGTAACGGCAATTTTTTAAGTGCCTCATAACCAGTCTTATGTTATCTGTTTTCACTTACGGTGTATATATTTTTCACAAATCTCATGCAATAGCATGGAAAGTGTATGAAAGAGTAAAGGATCATATAGAAAGTTATTAATAATATAAATTTCTTAATTGCAAGATACTTTTCCTTTTTTGATTCAGATTGATCTTTCAGATAATTAGAATGATATAAGAAATATCAAGATACCTTTTTTAAATGATATAAATTATTCTCGATGTTATTGAAAGAAGGATTTTCTCAAAATCCTTATATTGTTAGGTTTCTTAGAGAACACCGGTCGACTGGATATAACGGAACGTTTGAAACTATTATTACAACGAAGTACATACTACATTACAACATATCTCAAACCTATTGTATAATGAAACAAAGAAACAGATAACGGTAGAAGTTACTAAAAATATTCAAAGAAAAAAAGGCGTTTATTATGAGAAAAACGTTGATTAAAATCACAATTAAAATCCCTAGGATCGTTCACATTAGCGTAAGGCGTAAGCTTTCGAGTAGCAAAAACACATGCAATGGGGAATGTACTCTCATTGAAATCTCTGAAAATGAGTAACATGCTTTGACGTTTGGATGATATATTTTATCAAATGATATCATTATCGCTTGAAAATATCAATTAAGGAAATTTAATAAACCAATAAATTAACATGATCAACAAAAAAGAATTAATAAATACTGTAGAAAACCGATATTTTGGAATTCATACTATTAGTAATTTTTTTAACATGGTCAATTAAGAATAATAATTGCAGTGCGATCTATAAATCATTGTTCTCACCTTTCCTATTATGCAAAATCAAATTAATTTATGTCAAAGCGTAAACAATGTGATTTGAAAAAAGAAAAGAAAAGTTTACCTACATATCGAAATAATAATTTAAGGATGTAAAATACTCGAAATGAATCTACGGCACTTTGACTATATATGATAAGAAGTTTGAGGTATATTACAAATATTTGTAGATCATATGAAAAATTCAAATTCGTAATTGACAAAGGTAATAAAAGAATACTTCGTTATAAATCAAAGTGCATAACTTTGTTCGTATTCGTGACAATGACTCACCGGCGACATTCAGAACAGGCCTTCAACCTAGCCTCCTCGAGTATTCTCGAGGACGTTGTCGCATCTCTGTTCCGTCCACCTATCTGCACCTCTTCTTTTTTACTCTTTCAGCCTTTTACAAGCAGCATCCACTGTTCGATTATAAAAAGTAAAATCACAACCGAAGGAATCTCTTCTTTTTATTTTACATTAAGAACTCTAATTTATTACTCAATGTTCATCGCCAAATCATTGTTTTCTTTGTAAACAATAGAAAGTAATAATAAATAAATATCTAATATGGAATAAGCTCGTCTCACGTTGTCTTTTGCTAGTACTCTTCTGGCAGGCGTGCCTTACGAACCTTCACGGGCCCCGTATCTCCTTCCTACCACCCCAACATAGCACCGAGAGACCTCGTCTTTATTACAGGGACGTCCGCTTTGAATTGACGTTGAACATGGAACTTTTTATATATTCAATTGTCTACTTTGATCTTTTACTGGTACATCAAGGGTTTCATCTTAAAATATATTTTTTATATTGTTGTTCCATTATAATTAAATGAAAAATATCTATGTAATCCAAAATTTGATTACGCTCCTTTCATTTATCGGGGACTTAAATTTTCTAGGTACGATGATGCGTCCTTACCATCAGTCTCTCCCACCACCAACACGTACCAAGAGAAGACATTCACCTCAAGAAGCCAACTCCCGGAGAGGTATCCTTTTTGATTGCTTCGACGTGTTCTCTTTCAAATTACTAATATTTTTGCTATGATCGTATTTGTTATTAGAGATTTATGTTATTATTTTAAGAGATAATTCGAAATATTTTCTATATACATAAAATACTTTTTTTGGATTTACCCATATACGATAAAGGTTTGTAATAAATATAATATATTATATATAATCAATATAATATAAGATTAAAATATAAAAATATATTTATATACGTCATATACAACATTCTTTTTTGTTTATTAAAAAGGAACTACTTTAAATGATTCTGAGATGATTTCAATAACGATATCTTATAATATAAATTAATTGAACACCTTCACAATGACACCATCTGACTGTATTTTGGATATTTCGAACGTTTTTCATTCAACCACTGTAATAATTGAAAAAAGTTGTTTAAGCAAATCTGAGCCTACATCAGTTTTAAGAGATGTATCTGCACGAGTTCATGGTGGCGAAGTTTTAGCTATATTAGGTTCAAAAGGTTCTGGAAAAAGAGCTCTTTTGGATGTGATAGGTATGTATACTTCTACTTTTACATCTAAAATATATATATAATTTAGTATATACAAATATATATAAAATATGTTGGTTATATAAAATTTTTTATTTTGTATATATTTATTAATATATAAAAATATATATAAATATTTACTACAGCTGGAAGAGCAGAAGGAGAAGTACGAGGCAGAATAACATTGAATGGTAATTTATTAACACCTGAATTATTTAGAAGACACGGTGGATATGTAGCCCATAGATGTCATTTATTACCAAGTTTAACAGTTCGTCAGACACTTACCTATGCTATGTGGTTAGCAAATTTAAATAATCGGGAAGCTAGAGTTAGACAAGCATTAGCTGATTTAGCATTATCTCAAGTTGCCAATAGATGTGTGAATGATCTTACAAGACCAGAGTATCGGCGACTCATGTTAGGTGTACAACTTGCTAAAGATCCAATGCTACTTCTCCTAGATGAACCAACTTGGGATACTGACCCATTAAATACATATTTAATTGTATCAATGCTATGGTCTTATGCAACCAGAAGGGGATCTATTGTTGTTTTGACTATGGAAACACCTAGATCGGATGTATTGCCCTTTGTCAGTCGTGTGACTTTATTATGTTTAGGTGCTGTGGTTTATTCTGGACCAACAAGAAGCATGTTAGACTATTTTACTTATATTGGATTTCCATGTCCAGAATTAGAAAATCCGTTAATGTATTATTGTAAGTTTTATTAATTTAGTCACAAAAATTATTTTCTTTGAAACAAAGATTACTCTAACTTTTTATAATTATAATATAATGTTATATTATAATTTAAACTTGATTTTGTAGTATGTCTTTCAACGGTAGATCGACGTTCTAGAGATCGTTTTTTAGAGTCTGATCAGCAAATCTCTGTGTTAGTTGAAAAATTTAAAGTCGAAGGTCTTTTATATATGAAAGAAGCACCACAAATATCACCTAATTTAAAAGACACACCACTTGGAATTATGCATAAAGGTTTGGGCCGAGGAATTAAGCCAGGATGTTTTTCCACACTTTTAGCTCTTTATTTGTAAGAATATTTTTAATTTTTTATATTTTATTTATTTTTTAATATTGCAATAATTAGCAATAATTCATGGATAATATTTTTAGAAGAAGTATGGCAGCTACATTCTCTTTTAATAAATGTGGTTTAGGGCACTTCTTCGCACGTTTTTTATTACTGCCATTCAGTGTGGCTCTAATGAGTATATTATATTCTCACTCAACTCCTGTACAATCTAGAATATTTTTACAAACAGGAGGCTTGGTTTTTAATGTATTGATGCTGTTTTATGTAACTGGAATAGCGACAACATCATTACTTTGTATGTTTCAAAAATCAGTATGAAACATATATATTTAGAATATTTTTACATCTAAGTAAGTTTCTCATTAGTTCCAGGTTTTCGTGCTAGATATTATCAAGAAAAGAGAGAAGGCCTTTATGGTGGAGCCATGTTTTTGACTGCATACACATTATTAAGTTTACCTTTAAGTTTCATCTCGACTTTAATCACAATTAGTATCTTAATACCTATCTTGGAATTAGATCTTTCAGCATGGGCACATACTTCTGGCATTCTTTGGTCTAGCTATATTGCAGCTGAACAAATAACTGTGGCTTTATTAATGATACTTGAGAATTCTTTAACTGGTGCAATAACAGTATTATATGTTGCACTATTGTCTCTTGGTATTGGATCTGGAGCAATCCGAAGTCTCAGAAATTTACCACATTGGTTAGCAACAATTTCTAGTGCTCTACCTGCAAGATATGCCTCATTGGCATTAAATCAATTAGCTATGGATATGCCAATATTTTCGAATTTACCATATAATGAAACTGTGACTTGTCCAGGTATACCTGAATTATGTAGGTATGCAGATGGACGTACTTATTTGATAGAACGTTTTACACGCGAAGGTGAAAATATATCTGAAGTATTAAATGTAGAATTAAATTTGTTAATATGTTTAGTATTTGCTGTTGGATTAATTATTCTAAATAGCATTCTATATTTATTACCATTACCTGCCAGAGTTAAAGCCAAATTCAGGGAATAAAATACATAATTAAAAATTAAAAAAATAATTAATCTTTATATTACTGTATAGATAAATATAGAATAATATTTTAAAGAAATTATGTACTATTATTACTTTTACAAAAGCTTTTAAAATATACAAAAAATAAGTATTTATATATATGCATTATTTATATTTTATGGAAAAGATAGATTGCTTTTAAATATACACTACTTTCAAGTATATCAATTATAATTATATTACAATGCTTATTATTTATAAAGTATGAATAATCCTATGTATATATATATATAACAATATGTAATAATTATAAAATTATAGCTTTAATTTTTTTATATATATAATAAAAATTTTAATTCCTCTTTGGATGCGTTAAATTTATCTTCTTTTTTAATTTTATTTTAATTTTATCATTCGTTTATTTTTATAAAATCTTAATTTATGTATAATCACGATTATGCTTTTTTATGATTTATACTTGAAATTCATGTAAAACATTCTTCATAAAATAATTGCTATTCATTGTTCATTTACTTCTATTTGTTGCATCTCTTTAAGATCATCAGCTACAGAAAATTCACAACCAGTAGAACTAACAATATCACTTATATCTACATTTGCAGCAATTTCAATTAGTTTTAAACCTTCTCCTTGAATGACTTCAAAGACAGCCAAATCTGTGATAATTAAATTAACACACCGCTGACCTATAATTAAGAAAGAATGTTATTTTTGTTTTATCCAAACAGATATAAAAATAGAATAAGATATAATAATATTACCTGTTAAAGGTAAGGTACAATTTTTTACAATTTTAGGTCTACCATCACGCGCCTTGTGTTCCATAGTGACAACAACTTTTGTATGTGGGGAAGAAACAAGATCCATAGCACCACCCATTCCTTTAACCATTGTTCCTGGTATCATCCAATTTGCTAAATCTCCATTTTCAGATACTTGCATACCACCAAGTATTGTTAAGTTTATGTGACCTCTACAATGAAAGAAACGGAATAATGAAGCAAAATGAATCAATTATGTCAGTTAAAATAATACATATATATACCCGCGAATCATAGCAAAACTTTCATCACTACTGAAGAACGAAGCTCCAGGTAACACTGTTACTGTTTCTTTTCCAGCATTGATAAGATCAGCATCAACATCCTGTTCATCAGGATAAGATCCAAGACCAAGAATTCCGTTTTCTGAGTGTAATGTTACTTTTACATCTTTAGGGATGTAATTACTAGCCAACATTGGAATGCCAATACCAAGATTAGCTGTACATAATTTCATCTTATAAAAAAGTTATTTTTAATATGTATATTAAAAGAAATAAAATTTTATGATAAAATAATCTTTCTAAACACACATATAAAATCTTACCATACATTCCATCTTTAAATTCTATTGCAGCACGTCGTATAATTCTTTCTCTTGCTTTGCTAGCAGGAGTTACTTTTTTTGGTTTAATGCTTTGGTTAGTTAAACGTTTCTAAACGTTTCAAACAAAATAACTTTTATTAATAAATAAAAATACCATTAAAATATACACAGATGTTCTTACCTCAATAGGTTTTTCATAAATTGGACCTTTTACAATTCTATCAACAAAAATTCCTGGTAAATGAATATGATCAGGATCTAATTGACCAATTTCTACAATTTCTTCCACTTCTGCTATTGCTACCTTAGCAGCTTTGCACATAGTTGGATTAAAATTTCTTGCTGATTTTCTAAAAATTAAATTTCCAACAGGATCAGCTTTCCATGCTTTTACAAGAGCAAAATCTCCAGTAATAGCAGTTTCTAAAACATAATTTCTCTCATCAAACTGATTAGTACTTTTTGGCTCTCCTGAGATTTCTGCATTCCCATTTTTATCATATTTTATAATAACATTTCCTTCTTGTATTATGGTTCCTAAAGCAGTAGGTGTATAAAATGCAGGAATGCCAGCACCACCTGCTCGCACACGTTCTGCTAATGTACCCTTGAAAACAAAACGACGATCAAAAATTGAAGAATAAATGTTTGTAGGCATATAATGAACTTAGATTACCTGAGGCGTTAATTCAACTTCCAATTGTCCACTCAAATATTGTTTTTCAAATTCAGAATTTTCACCAACATACGAAGCTATCATTCTTTTAATTCTTTGTTCTTTTATTAATTTACCTATTCCAGCATTTTCTGTTCCTGGATTATTTGAAACTACTGTTAATTGCTTTGTTCCTTTCTTTAATAGAGCAGATATAAGATTTTCTGGTATTCCACAAAGTCCAAAACCACCAACCAGAAGTTTTGCACCATCATGTATATCAGATATAACTTCATCTACACTATTAAAAACTTTTCCTTTTCCTACAGGTGGTATTAACCTTTGAATTTCTTCTTCCACTATAGGAATATTAGCTTTAACAGAAAAGTTGAATGCACATATCTACAAAATAAAATTTTATAGAATTAAATTTTTAAGTATGATCTTACAATGACAATACAATTTTTGAGTTACATACCTTCGAAATCTTAAAATTTTTGTATAAGTTACAAAAACGTGAATTAATCCTTATAAATGTAGTACTAGCTTTATTTATTGTAAAAGCCATATTTTAGATTTTAGTAATAAACAAATATTATTGATTCCTTCACTTCTAATAAGTGTAAAAACTGTTTTATTCGTAGCCTTATTTGTGAATGATCTTATTCGTGAATTTAATATCACCGCTGTAAAGACTGAATAATACTAAATCGCACATGAGAATATATTACAGATTTAATTAATAAAATATATGTCCTTTCATATTGCACGAGCGATAAATAAAGCTGTTGTAAAATCGAACAAATTTAGAATGGACTTTCTAAAATTATCTCAATTTTTTAAATATTCATAACCATAAATAATATACTTATTTTTCTCACTGTATTATCTACCAAAATATCTATACAATCCTCCATTTTAGCGCATGCGCACATCGACGTGCATATTTAAAAAAATATATTTTATAAGTGACATTATCTAATATCATATGTACGTAATTATCCAATTTATTTGACAATTATATATGATAAATTTTGCATATTTATTTACATTAAATTATTTTCATTCTTTTTTTGCAGATATTCTTTTATACAAAGAAATTATTTGAAAAAAGATATTTTTATTTTTATATAGTGTATTTTATTAAAAGACGTAAGAAACAATTTTTATTGATTGTAATAAATATCACATTTCAGAAAACGATATAGAGAAATTTTATTGAACAATTGAGTTTTACAATGAATAACCTTTTATCGATAAGGTATATACAGACATGCCAATATGATTATTGCATACGAATCATAGCATATCGGCAGACAATGAGACATGAAGAAAATTCTCTCTCAAGTATTGTTTACGTAGAAATGATGATGATTATAAAGTGCATTATGCAATATATGTAATATAATACAGTTCTCTGTACAGCTTAATTTACGTAATACAAACGTTAAATGTTATTATACAAAAAAAAATATCTTCTATACGTTAATACATTTCTCGTACAAATTCTTCCAAATTTTTATTTTGGAAGTATTTATTTAATGATTATATTTTTACATTATCGATGTCGTCTAGCTCTAGCGTCGGTAACTGCCCCCCACAATTCAATGACAAAATCATCTGTAAATCCGAAAGCTTCCAAATCAGAATTATCTATCGCTTCAGCAAAATCAATGCTGTTGAATTTACCTTCGGCAAGTTCCCAAATTTGCGTAGCTACGAAAAAAGTAATTTATTCACAATAAAATGATATTATTAAACTGTAAACATTATTATATTTATCATGTATTTACCTAATTCAGTATCGTAAATTCCCATGAAATTTTCTAATATTGTATTGATTTTTTCTATTGCAATCGTTGCAATATCATCTACCTGATAACAAAGATTATGAATAAAAATTGATTGTATACAAGAAGTTAACTTTGATTATCACGTGAAAAAAGTTATATTTTAAAAATAGTACTTACTACAGTCTGTACAACTTGAGCACTTCCATCTGCTTTAAACCTTAATGTTTCCTTACCGGAACCGTAACCAGACTTTTTCCCTTTTTTCAAATCTCCTCGTGGTCCGATATTTCCAAAGCCGGTTTTTTGTGGCTCAATTAATCTTAAGATAAACGTTGTTCCCTTGGGTATATCCTTTAACATTTTGGCTACATCAAAGTGTCTTTTACCAACCAAACTCACTGAATCGATTTTCTCGATATGATCGCCGACCTCTATGACTTTTATTTTATCTATTACGGATCCTTCCTTTATACGTTTTATAAAAGCGTACCCAGCTCCATTATCAGTAATAGTAAGTCCCAAAGCAACATCCGTTTTCATTAATTCGATTTCTTTGGGTCTGCCTAAGAAAAAGCGATGATACAAAATTGAAAACATTATCCTTTTTTTTGGGTCTTTATTATATCTTACATTCGAAATTTCGTAAGGTCGATATAAACCTTTTCTGTGTGCATATATGAAATCACCCACACCGATTTGACCGCCTAGTAATTCGGACATTTCCACCTTATATGTGTTCAACGTGCAAAAAAGAATCTGAAAAAAAAACAATTATATATATTTATTGTCATATGTCTCACAATACATTTATAATAATACGAGAAAAATTCGTAATATAGAACTGGAATTGAATATGAAATATAGGTTGTATTGAACGATCAAAAAATTAAAAGTTCTATACTCTACTTTCAATATAAATGCCTATAGTTTTAGAAGGGGACACGTTCGTTATGTCGAGGTATGTTACGGTCCGTGAGTAACGTTTCCTGCATCCGGTACATATCTCCAATTCATTTATTTCATTGTTATATTCATTGTTTTTCATTTTATATAAATCTATTCAAGTTCGATTAATTTTCCGTAACTTCTATTTTATATAAGATAATGTGCAAAACGAAGAATTCGAAAAATAGAAAAAGTATACACCATATGTGTTGTTATTGTTTTTCTTTCTACAAAATAAATAAAAAATAAACTCACTTCTTCCGATGGAATATCATAACATTCGGCTATCTTTTGATAAAGTTCCCTGACATTACTGAATCCAGAAATAAGGCCCGTGGGACTGCCATGTGCCAATTGACAATGGAAAACCAATGGTGACTGAGAAACTCGTTGCAAACGATGTTCTTGCGATTGGCGAGAAATATTGCCTTCTCTACTATTCGTTCCGTTCATACCGGCGTTCTCGTGATCGTTATCACTGGTTTGCTGATTACGCTGACGATGCTGATGGATACCGTTAATTTTCTTCTCGCTCAACGGCGGACTTGTTGGGGCACGCACTTTGAAAAGTGGCATACTCAGTTCTAAATTATAAAAAGAAAATAAACGATACATAGTTATTTCCAAGATAAAATATTGATATGAAAAAGAATATTGATCGAACCATATCGCAAATATACCAATGATCCTTGGACGTAAATATTTTAATATTTGTCTATCTTCAAACGAATAAATGTTATTTATTAGGATATATATATGATAAAATTATATCAATGCAATTAAAACAATTAACTTGATGTATTCTTTAAATAGTAAGCCTTTATCTTCGATATTACTTATCTTAAATATGTTTCATTACAATTTTTCAAACAGAGCGATAAGTTACAATGTGTAAGCAGCAATATTACTTATGATTTTTTATTTTTCATTTCTATCTTAAAAGTAGATAGTAATAGAATATGGAGAACTAGGTTTTTTCTTTTTTTTTTAATTCGAAGTTCGTTGACCGCCTAAAACGCGACAGATGAAAATCACGAAAATGGCGAACTCTCGGTGGGTCCCACTTGCTTCCGCTCAAAACAATAATTCTCACGTATATGTGACACGTCACCTAAAATATTGGTAGTACTCATTCGGTCGCTTATACTATAAATCATATAAATCGATAATATTTAATTTATATAATACTTACTTTTTTTATTATCTTCAACAAGAGATTATTTGCTAAAAAGTTATTTGCTAAAAACACAAAGAATACACTTATGCGCCTTTTACATTAAAAATTATAAAACGGATGAAGAACGAATGCACAACGATGGCGCGAATACAACGCGAGAATAACGCAGGTACCATTTAAGCTACCGTTCATACATACGATCGCATGAGTTTGCCGTAGTATCGAGAGGAAAGTTTTTCGTTCGTCACTTTCCGTACCTTATCGTTCATTCTTCCCCCTCTTTTCCCACAATTCACCTCTTGAATTATCTTCATCTCTCTTTCTTTCTCTACTTGCATTCCCTTTTTTTCTACTTTCTTAATTTCTTTTTCTCTCTCTCTTTCTCGTTCTCTTACTGTTTCCCCTTCTCTTACTATTTATCATTTGTATATACAAACATACCTCACTTCATACAACGCATTCCTGGATATCAAATATAGCTCAAAAAAATAATATTATAGGTATCTATTTCCAAAAATAGGAAAAAAGATAGATAAAAAAGAGGAAGATTTTAAATTTTATATTATTTATCACTTATTTTATCTTAAGTATGCATAAATGCTGATAAGATTTCTAGCGTAATACTTTGAAATTGTTAATCGATAATGATTAAAGGACATCTATACTGATCTCTCTATCATGTCGTTGTCATGTGGAGATATGAAGTATATATATTATATCGATGTTAGATTTCGATCGAGATTTTCAGGTTATTCTTTGATATTTGATATAAATGAGATTATTTAACCCACCGTAAATATTATAGTTAACTGTAGTTTTAAGTTTCAGTCAAATCTAATGAGTTATGTGTTAAATTTTAATTAATATAATAAGAGAAGAAAAACTGCTTAATAAGATATGAATTTATTATTTGTTATATAATTTGTTTTATAAATGACGAAAATTGTATAATGTAGACGATGTTGAAATATAAATATTGTATGTATAATAATATTATTTAACATACCACATTAAATACTTATCTATCCAATAACCAATGTTGGAGAATGGTAGATACAAATGCACTTTAGTATTAATACTAAAAGTGATAAAAGGCGTAATTAGAATAGATTATAATATATGTACTAATAAAATGGATGAAAAAGAATATCAAGAGAATTCAGTCTTATTTTATAAGTTAATATAAGACATATCAATATTTTAAATATAAACTATGTCACGAATAATTGCTTATGACTACACCTACTAAGTGTACATGTATGTATCTCATTCAAATATCTATTATTTAAAATTAAAATTCTTCCTATGTTTTTCATTATGTAAAACTATGTAAAAATCACTAATAATGGCACAAGAATACAGCATTGAAACTCAATATTCCACGTATTATTGCTATCTTACGTACATATTTCAATAGGCATTTAGATAAATTCGAATATTGTTAAAAAGAGTATCTCAAAATTTCAGTTATATTCTGGTTACATAGGATGAAGTACCTATATATACAAATTCCATTATTATTATGTAACTTTAAACATTTTTGCTTAAATGTAATTCAGGTTGTATAAGAAATGCCTTCCATACTTTGCCGCAATTAGACTTATCTTCCAATGTCAAATAATTTTTCATTGGTACAAATAAATAATCATATGGATCTGTATTCAATTGATACTCTTGCATGGATCTGTATACAGCTTTAAATGGTGGTTGTTTCTGCGAATGAAACATGCCTCGAGATCCATGCAATACTAAAGCACCATGTTTCTCTGCTTCTGTACAGACTGACATATACATGCAATGATCAGGTCTGTAATTAAATCTACATGGATAAACATAAAGCTTTTCTGGATAATAATGGAATATTATATTTATAATATCTTGATCTCCCCATGTTATCTTTAATTTATATTCCTTATGAATGGGCACAACATAATTTGTCCATCTGAACTGTCTCATTCTTGTTAAATTCATTAACATAACACCAGAGTTCACTCCCAATTTTCCATAATATGGATGTTTAGCAAATCGATTATACCAGCCAGTATTGGGGTCCTCATGTTCTGGACTTAAAGCAGCTAATTGGTTGGAATTCATCTTTTTAAATTCATCCCATATTTTTTCTGGTGGAGCTAAAAATAATGTATCTGTATCCATATATAAAACTGCGTCTGTATTGTTTAAGACAGTCTGAAATATATAATATATTTATTATATGAAACTCATTCTTAATTTCATTTCATTAGATAATAAAGTATAGATATACTAACTGGTAAAAATAATCGTTGAGCAGCACAAGGTTTAAACAATTTTTTCCATATTCCTGGATCATTTCCTTCAGGGAATGTTATAGATCTTATTACGAAGTCAAATGTTTTATTAGAAATAAGTTTCCATTCTGATAACTTTTCATTAAATGCCGGTATCAAGTTATTTTCTGTTATTATTATAAATTGCAGTGATGTATTTGTAAAAACTAATGCTGATTTAAGCATAGTCAAGGATTCATCTAATCTATCTCCACAGACTACAACACATATAGTTACTTCTCTGGTCACAGGCATATTTATTTTTTTCTTCGATAAAGAATATGACAATTTTTCTTTCTTGTGCTCATCATATATCTTACTTCTAAAATTTGTAGTTAGATTTAATAATATTACCAAAACAGTTAGTGTGAGGCACAAAAAAAATAATTTGTAAATTGACTTCATTGCAACTTTTTTTTCTAAAATTCAAATTAATAATAAAATTTTCGCTCATTATTATTAATTAACATTATTTTGTCATTCTACATAGTATCTTAAATCTTTCTAAATACTATTAATAATATTAACTTATTCATTAATTCTTGACTGTATTGGCTTCAATTACCACATTTTCTAACCTCACAATTATTAGAAAACGACAATAATTACATTTCTTTTCACAAAACGCAGCTAAAGTAACAATTTATATATTGAATAAAATAAAATTTTGCCACTATTGTTCGCATATTTTGTTTTGCTTTTATAATCATTGTAGCCAAACATACAACATATGTAAATCTGTTAGTAATAATCACTAATGCTATTGGTCTTGTCAACACATCAATCTATCGAGACATCTATCGTATACTTTTCTTTACTAAAAAAAGATTTTTTACTACTTTCTTTTCAATATAATACAATCAACGATGATATACTTATATCAAAAACGAAAATGAATGAATGAGAAAAATATATCTTGTCTTAAATTAGATTTGAATTCAACTAACTAAAATCATGCTAACCAATTGAAATTTCTAAAAACTGTTTAACTTTATAATTAAATCATAATTAAAGAAGTATGTGAATAATGAAAATTTTCTAAAATGGTGTATTTATAATATATGTACAATATGTTAAATACAAAGTCATTTCTAATTTATATTATAAAAACGATTTTATTACAACTGAATCTATCTTAATGGACGTTACGAATCTGTTTACATGATTTATATATTAAATATGATCATTTGGGCTTTCAGATTAAATCTTGGCCTTTATTATTGATTATAGATCTTAGGAACTAGATCAACTTAATGATATTACCGAAAATACATATATCAGTCTAGTTGTGTACAAGTATTCATTCTTCTATCAAATTACCTTTAATCAATTATATTTCTATTTTCTCCTTTCCTATTTTCTACATTGACCTTTCATGATCTTCACTTCAATGAGTTTATTTTTTTTTGCTGGCTTATTCATATATAAATTAGTATTAAAATTATATAATTATATCATAACGGACCTCCATGTAAGGTTATATTATGATCTAAATAATCACAATGTATCGGACATAAATGATAAGACACAGCACTTGCATGACCAGACCTTCCAAATATCATATCTACTCCCTGTTCCCATTGATCCTTAACAGGGTCATAAATTTCAACAATCTTTAAAAATGATGATCCATCATAACCTCCTAAAAAATAAACATTCCTATATTTAAATATTCATTTGTAAGAAAATATTTATTCAGAGTTTTGAGTAATATCATAATCACAATAACACATACCCATTGCATATAATTTTCCATCAAGGACTGTAACACTTAATGCACTGCGTGCTATAGAAACATTATTAACATAGTCCCATACATCTCGTTCTGTATCATATCTTTCAACTGACTTTAATTGACACGATCCATCATATCCACCTATCACATATATATACTGGCCCAAACTAGCAACTCCTGCTCCTGAACGACTACATTTCATAGGTGAAACCATTGTCCATTCATCATTTTCAGGATGATAGCATTCTACAGAATTAAGTCTATTCTTTCCATCAAAGCCACCAATCGCATAAAGTAATCTGTTATTATAAATTAGGATTTTATATAAATTTCTAGGATTTTATAATATTAGATAACTTAAGATATTATTACCTATTAACAACTGCTACACCAACACCTAATCTTTTGACATGCATAGGCTTTACATTACTCCAAATATCTTGATCAGGATCATAACACTCTACACTATTATGATATTCTGCACCAGCACTGCCACCTACCGCATATAATAATCCATCCATAACAGCAACTCCAAGCCGATTTCTTGGAACTGACATTGGACTACAAGTTCTCCATTGATCTGTCAATGGGTTGTATCGATCTACCCAGTCACAGTCATATCTAAAATTTACCCCATCTTCTTGAAATTCATGTACCATTCATTCTTGTCATTTTAAAAATCAATAAATTTCTTTATTTCTTTATATTGAATTACTAACCTGGTTTCAGGCGTATTATTCCTACCACCAACAGCATAAAACATGCCTTTTAAAAATGCTCCTCCTAAACCAGAACGTGGAAATATGAGTTTTGCATGTGTGGTCCATGTCTTATCATCTGCATTATATCCTTCTAAAACATCTAAAGAATGTTGTAAAAATCCACCTGCTATATAAATTACCCTTGGTGTATTGGGTGTTCTTTCTTTCACTACTGGTTTCTTATGAAGTGTCAAGTCTTTAAATATTTGAGCAAGATATTCACGACATGCAGGCACTTTCTTCAGAACATCACAATTTTTCATTTGATCACGTAAAAAATTTGGTGTAAGATATTGACAACGTACGGCTTGTAATATATGCTCCATTTTAGGACCTCTTGCTTCTTCATTATATTTCACCCATTTTAAAACTGCGTTATAAACTTCTCTTTCTTCTTGGACATTGAGTTCATCTTTTCGTACCAACGATACTAATTGCATGGCAGAAAGTTGTAAGAATTCTTCTTCTTGACATATCTGGTTAAAATGTTGTACGATAAATTGGTTTGCTTTGTGATATAAGTTTTGACAACCATGCTGTTCTGCAAAATTTGCAATTCCAATTGCATTTGTAGGATCCAACTGTCTTTCCAAAAATACAGAACATGCATCTATTACATTACTAACCTACATAATATATATACGTTTATATAATTAGATGATATTATTAATTCAATTATTCATAGATTCAGAATAATATTATCTTTACTTGAAACATTGTAGCAGCAGATAATAAAGAACACACAGTTATTTCTGTTACACTTATTTGACCAGTATACATAAAACACATTAAGCGAGCCATGGCGGTTGGACAAACTCCTTGAAGCTTTACCCTTGTCATTTCACTTTCTTTTAATCCACCAGTAAACATTGCCTGTTAAAATTAATAAGCAAAGTTACTATGATTTATATATACATGACAAGAATACAGATTTATTAAGATTCCTACCTTAAAATATGGACTGGCAGCAGCTAAAATAACCTTATGAGCATGAAATAATTCTGTTCCTACTTCAAGTATGACATCAGTAAGCATATGATGACTTCTCATCATAAACATCATTTTCATAGCATCTTTAAGGTAATTGGTCATGTAAAATGTCATGTCTCCAAGATCTGCATGTGTAGATGAATTGTTAGAATTGTCACAGACACTTTCTTTTTCAGTTTGCATCGTTGATCCTAATCCATGTTTTTCACAAGTTTCTTTTTTCTGCTGATAATTTTCCTCTCCATCCATTAAAATTATAATCTATGATTAAATTAGAATATTAATAAATTATTCTACAACTTGATATTAAAATAATTACAACAAATAAATTTCCATAAATTATATTACTATCTTCAAAAAAAAAAAAAAACAGCGAATATGTGTGTGTGTATGTGTCGACATTAACGAAAAATCATAAGCAGTAGCGTACTTTCCTCGTCCTTCAAATTTTGTTATATGTTTTTAAGCGATTTTTAGTATTACAATTATTTATATAGAGATTTGTATCTTCAATGTAAAATTATAATAGAGAAAAAATCTAAAATACTAAAGTGGAAAAATGTTCGTACATTTACTCTATACATTCGCGGTTATTTAAATGTGCAATTGAAAAAATATTGCTTGACGTATTAGATACAGATTTGAAAAAGGCATTAATAAAGAAAACAACGATAGTAGAACAAGATAGAATGGATTCGCTTTTTTATTTCTTTTATTCCATTAACAAGACAATGTCTTATTTATTCGATTGAAATGTAAACATCGGCTAATATTTAATATAATACACGATTACTTTTTCTAACGGAGGCTGCTTTTCTAAAAAATACCGAACATGTATTACGCGCGTTTGCAGTACTTCAAAGACTTACCAGGAAGTCTTATGTCTCAGAATAATCTTTGAGAATCACGATAGTATTCGTTGAAAAGATCGAAATAAGCTATCATAGACATACAGAAAGGCGTTAGACATCAAACATATTTCGATCGGTCAGCAACGACTGATTGTATCGATGGTCGTATACGATGACGCAGGGATTAGACAACGTCGCGATCAGTCGCGATAGATGCGATGTCACTGAATGTGTCTGTTGTTTCAGATGTAGTATTTCCATGCGCACGTGTTACGGTGCGACGGATTTCGATCTCTCGCGATTGCGCTTCGTTACAGTTAAAACTTACAAATCTCTCTTTCTCTCTTACTTCTTAAAAAGCAGCGTCAGCGAGCATCGTTAAATGTCACGCACTACTTGGTTGTACTCATAGCTCCCGCCACTGTTTGTAAGAGCGTAAGAATATACGAAAGAAGCGCAATGGCATCGCGCAATTGTGCTTGTTCTTACGAATCACGTAGCAATCTTTCTCCCCTCCTTTTTTATTTACGAATAAGATAACTCCGTACTAATCTTGTGAAGATTTAAATTGTGTATTGATATATTATTATATTATAAATAAAAATGAACAATATTATTATCTTGATTGAATTTCTAACAAATACATAAATATAAGATAAATATAACTTATTTTTTTCGTTTTTTTTTTCAAAACAACAAGCTTTCGTTGAATTCTTTTATCCAATAACGAAACAAAACGATTTCATTCTTCCCTTTCTTTGATCTTTGTAACTTAATGCGCGGTCAAAAGTCGACCATGAGAAGTTGAGAATGACATCGTGACGACTCTCACGGTGACTTGCAAAATTACTTTTCCGTTTATATCGATAGCATATAAATCAACGTGTACAGTATAGAACTAATGTAATAGCTTCTTCACATTTTTTTCTCTTTTATTCGTATTTGTCTTATATTCTCATTTGGAACCCAACTTATATCGTTAGATTGCATTAATATCTTCATTAAGAGTGTAGACATCGCTAGACATATATCAAGTGATTTTTTTCTTAAAAAGTTTATTTTTCGTAAGGTTTTTCTTTTTCTTTTTTTTTGTGTTCTACAATACTTTTGAACAAATCAATTATATTTACATTACGATACTCGGTTAATATTAAGCTATTCTTATATTTATTTAAATGTTACATTATATTGGAAGGGCATTGAAAAATAATATTTTCAGACAATATATTTATTCTTTAATAATATGGAGTTCTCGTCAACAATAACAGCGTTGTAATAAGTAGTAGTGTAATGTTAGTAGTAGTAGTATTAGTATTTTAGTGGTAGTAGTAATATAATAGTAGGCGTAACAAGAGAGACGAGGTAGGTTTTACTTGGAACTTAATCTAACAGAGTACGCCAACAAGTTAAATGCGATAAGAGGAACTTTATACTATTCAATGTATCTTGCCAGTCATTTCTTTTTTAATAAATTGGCAGGTATCTTTAGCATTAGTAATCGATTTATTGTTTTTTCTTCTTTTATTTTTACTCGTTTATATTCGAAGTTTATTATTAAATATATATTTAAATATATTTTGTTATTTCAACAAAAATTTAATTATCGCAAATAAAACGTGAAGAGCAAAAATCATAAAACTTTCTAAAATGACAGATACATTGCACAGCAAACTTAGGTATTACGATTTTTTTAGACTTAAATCAATTTTATAACACGACTTTAAGAAAGAATCAAATTGAATCGTAAATGATATCGTAAATTATCTTTAACTTAATAAGTATAACATTACGAATAATATCCGAAAATAATATTAGGATTTTTATCTGTAAGATAAGATTTACAATATTAAACGCAAAATTACTACGCTCTAATACAATGTTGTAATCAGTTTTATCGATTGGAAACACATAGTTTGTCATTTGTAACATATTAAATAGAAAAAACCAAAAAGGAATTTCACTGATTTATTTAATGTGATGTTTCAAGTGTAATTATGATATTGTGAAAACATAATTTCGAATTGAAAAATTTCATTCATTTAGTAATAACAATCGCATGTGTTTCCCGCTTTATTATTTGATACTCATATCATCCATTCGTTACATAATATTGATTGATAATTATCATTTGGCAAGATTTTAAAAACAATTTGAACATGCTTAAAAATGTGGCAGTGCGTCGTAGAATATAACAATCTTATTGCCATTTTGAGTGAATGGATATAATACCACAATTATTAGAGATACAGTTATAATATCCTCAATATCGCCTACTCATGCTGGCGTAGTTCTTCAACTGTTACATATATATGTGCGTACACGTGCGTTCGGGATAATCCCGCATAAATAGATATATTTATTTTTTTCTTTATTTTTTGTCTACAATTACTGAACTTTATTTTTCATTCTGATGTCTTAATATTTTATCTATTATCTCCATTTATTAATCCTATTTAGAGTTTGCCGAATAATAGATAATACAACAATAGATAAAGTTTAACTTGTACTCGTTTTTTTTTATTTTTTTGCAGAATACCTTATAAGACATGAAATTACAGGGAGGAAGACAAAGATAGATACAAGACTAAATAAATATTGTAAAAAGAAACAAAATTCTGTAGGGTATGTTTGTAAGACCGTACTTTCACTTTTGTACATTAAATAGGCCGACCTTCGAATATTATACATATCAACTGCATTCCTGCCAATTAATTATAAATTCTACAATTTATCGATAAGAAATATCAATCAAATAGGTACTTGTCACTCTTATCTTTGCAATATTTCCGAAATTATAAATGTCTTGTTGGCGCACAAAGATAGGGAGAATTCGGTTTAAAATTTAGTGCGATTGCGAGTTTGTTTAATTAGCAGGTAAAAGATGTATGCATATATTATGTGTTATACACAATATCTATTATGAATAAATAAATAAAAAAAACATTTAATCGCATATCGCGCTAAATCGTGTCTAGAATCCTCTTATAAATCAATTATAGCTAAAATTAATAAATCTATTTTTGATTTTTTAGGCTTGGGTGGCTCAAAATTGACACCCTATATTTTTTTGATCGCTCATAATTGGGTTAAATACTATATAAATATTATATATTTGGAGTAATTCAATTTGGTTGGTAGAGATATTTTTTCTGAAGTTTCTATTTTGGGAAGCACTGAAAAATTAAGTTCCTTATCATTTCTTAGTTAAAGAAATTTCATTACCATTAATTATAATATGAACAAAATAAACGCATTATAATAATGTCCAGAGGATCTTAGATGAATATATTATGTCAACAATAAATAATGCGATCAATTAGTACATACTTTCATTCATTCCAGTCGTGTATTATTAACATGCAATTAAATAAAAATATACAACAGTTGTACACGACTACTACCAAATATCTAATGATAAAAGTTAAGGTGCAATTTCGTTTAACACCAGCCATTTCTTTTATCCATTCATTAAAATTCGTGCATCATACAATCGTAATAACTTACAATTTAAAATTTTCAGAATTTAATTAGTTCTAATATAACATCTAATTGAGAACTTTTAAACTAAATATCTATTTTCATATATTTAGTAATGGAGTATTTAAATTTCATATTATTTAGGTAAAGTATTGGGCGGATACGACTACTCCTAAGGCCTCGCTTATGAATCTTTTAAAATTAATTTTTTAATTTAATTTCGTATATACGCTCTATAGATCTAACAATAAGTTAAAATATTGAAGCAAACAAATTTATCTCCTTTATTTGATTCAAAAGATATCTACATAAGGATAATGTTCACACATTAGTGTGTAATAGTTTCTCAATTCCAATTACATTTCATGTACAATTCCTGTAGAGAAGAACATATTGGTACATATATCAGTGGTAATAGAAATAATAGATATATATTCTAATAAAATATAACCAAAAATTAAGATCATCATAGCACAGATACTTTTTTACAATAGATAATAAGTACTGATTATATTAGACATAAGTCTTAATATATATATATAACATAACTGTATGAAAGAGAATTATTAATATACTTATATTTTCACACAACATAGTTTATATTGCAAATATATATTTTGGTCCTCATATTATGTAATACATATATATCCTAATCTACATCATAATAAATTAATATCAAATTTATTTTTTATATAAGTGCATAATATCTCAAATTAGTAATAATTTATCATATTAGTAATGTATCATATTAGTAATAATTTACAACAGAATCTACATATATAAGCAAAATAAAAAAAATATTAACTAAGAATAACATATACAATATGTGTCATCGTATTATTAAAAATCATTAACTTATATCATTTTTTTGAACTGGAATAAGTTCTTTAAAAAGTCACTGTGCTAGTTGACTATAAATTATATCTTATTTCATTTTTATTATCAGATTTGTGTTGACGCATGTACCAATAGAACTTCTCTTTTTTAAATAAATATTATTCATTCTTCTAATACTCCATCAAAACATATATAAGTATATGACTCGTTGCAACAAACACTTAACAATATTTCTTTATAGTATTAATCTACTTATTAGTTGCATTGCTACCTTCTCAAAATTAGAATAAATTTCTAGTGAAAATTTCTTGATCTTAAAATCTTTGGTGTAATGATTTCTTAGATACTTAATTTTTACGAACAATGTGATGATTGTATGATTAATTAAAGTCTCATTAGCCATTGATTTTTATAATCAACAAGCGCAATGATTGTAAGATTGATCATATATTTTAGTAAGTGGTCATTCTACGCCGGCAGTCCATTAAGTGAGTCTCTCTTTTCTTCAATCACAAGAATTATTAAGGTGGCAGTATGCAATCCAATTCAGCAAAATTCAATGGGACAGTGTTTCTCAACTTTTATAAATGTTTATTATTAATCTAGAAATTTGTGGGTTATTCCAATAAAATTGAAATTATCTGATAACTTCTGCACGATTTTATTCTAAGATTAAATATGCTGTATTAAAACCATATAATTTTTATCGTCATATATTATTTATTAATAATATTATTGGAATTATGATTACTATATCACTACTGAATAAAATTTTGTTTCTCTTTATGTTGCCACTGTACATGAAATGTTAGTTGAGAAATACTGTAAAGCACAATATCTAATACCATTGCAATTAAAAGAGAGACTCAACCAGGGTGACGGTTAATGTAGAGTTAAAATGCCAACAAGAAAATATTTTAATGTTTGTGTACATACTACTTATTAAGACGTTTCTACTCAAGTTTATAGCACTTTTTATCAGTTATATCTTATATTATCAATGTACATAACAAGGTATAGACAAACAAAGAAATTTCTTTGTTTGCAAATTTTGCTTTGTTATGTGACTCCTGACACGGCCTACTTTTTAGTCCTCCTGTAAACTGGCAGATTCTTCTATAAATTGACCTATAAATCTGATATTGCTTAAATCAATCAATGCCCCTCAGAGGCAACGATCTTCAAAGCTTGGTGCTTTCAAAATCTCTTACCATTAAATTTCAATCTATCAAGGAGGATGTAAATCGCGGTGATGAGCTCTGGCACTTAAAATCGCTTTCAGTTCTGATTCAAGTTGTTTTTTGGTTCGTTCGCTTACCGATCGACCGCCCACTATAGGTTGAGCAATTAATCTTGGCGACGGCAGATCTACCATTAGTTTGCCACTATCTCGATTTTCATGACTTCTAGCGCGGCGTATAGGTTTCTTAACAGGTAAAATTTCTTCCTGATCTTTATTATCATCTTCTGGACATTCAACAGATAGCGTTGTTTCCTGATTTAATGTGTATGTTGAACCACCACTAATAGCTTCTGATGATCTTGTTACATCCACAGTTCCAGAACCCCATTCACGAGATAATTTACGTCCTATAGCAGATGTTAATTCGCTATTTGGCGATAACAATGCAGCACCTTTCGAGGTATGATGAGTAGACGAATGAGGTGGTCTCAGAGTAGCAAATACTGGAAAAGATTGACCCCGTTTTGCTGGACTTCGAGAATACTTTGGCGTTGGTATTCCACCTGCAGATTCACCTTTCATAGAAGGAGTACCACCACTGGCTGAGTCACTTTTCGTTGACATCAAAGGTCTTAATGTTGCACTACCACCAAAATGAGATCCAAGGTGTGGTGGTGGAGAACCACCGTCACCATGGCTTAATCTACGACCTACAGTTTCCAACGGACTTCTAGCTCTGAGATTAGTGCTACTGAGAGTAAATTCCCTTGGTTTCATCATCGTTTCAAGGTTGACAGGAGATAACCCAAGCTGAGAACTATACAGATTGGTAGAACTTCTACTTTTTTCTGATCTCCTAGGGCTATGCATCAATGGACTTTTACTTCTACTTCTTTCTTTTCCTTTTGTTACTTTTTCTTCTTTTACTATTTTTACTGTTTCTGGTTCTTCGTGTACAATTTCTATTTTTTCTTCTTGTTGTACTCTATTAAAAAACAGAAAGAAAGAACATTAAAATTAGTCCACATTACTAATTTAGCAACAACAAGTAGATTAAATACCTTCGTATTTCTTGTATCATTTCAAAGAACTGAGCCTTACTTTTACGACGTCTACGTTGTTCATGTTCCTTCTGAAACAGGGATACTTAGTAGATACATAGAAACAAAACAAAAGTTCTTGTAAAAGTAAAAACTTACTCGTTTCACACTTTTTTGAAAAAGAGAAGCAATTTGTCCTTGTCTAACAGTATGTACTAATTCTCTTGCAGCATGATGTGGGGAAACCAACTCTACACAATTAATAAATCTGTACAGTTTTTGCGAAAAAAACATTACGTTACGACTACGCCAAATAGAATCTTCTGATCTATGCCTTAGCCTTGGTAATGTATATTTATAGAATAGATGCTCTCCAGCAAGAATAATAGCTCCTAATACAACACCCATCCCCAGAAGACAAAACACACCAGCTACAGAAGCCACGCCTAATGGTCGAGGCTGGCCACCTTGTTCAGGTTCTAGGCCTGTATCCATACCTTCCCGACCATGTATGCAAGGTAGTCCACCATACCTATAAATTTATCAAATATAGATAGAATCTCAATTTTCTATTATAATTAATATTATAGTAAATTTTAATAAATACCATTTTTCTTGTAAAATATCTAATAATCCATTGCTAGTATAATTTGCTATAACTTTTGAAATGCTTTCCTTAAGAGGATGACCCTTTGTAAGGGCAACAGCATATGTATCTTCATTAATAGTGTCACCAATTTTTTGCAAACGACAACCATCATCAGTTGCACGATAATAATCTAAAATAGGTGTGTCTGCAATGAGTATATCTAAACTATCATTCCTTAATCTTTCAACACCTTCAGCAACATCTGATAATGAATAACGCGCCATATGTGACCATAGTTGAGGATTTGCTCTCTGTACATAATATTCAGCCGCAGATGCTCTTGGTGCACCCACTCTTTGTGATAACAACTATAATTATAAAATATATACTTTTTTCTATAAAGGATTAAACTTCATAACTTAGAAGACATCTTTGCAATTGTACAAGTTATTCTATATACTCACACTTTTATCATGATAATTGCTGACCGCAGAATGAAAAAAAAGGCCTGCGATAAGAGCAGCTATATTAGCTGTATATGAAGCTACAAAGATGACAGAAAATCCTCCCCAAATATTGATCAAAAACTTATTAGGCCACGATTTTGGAGCTTTGAAAGCTACTAGATGACCACATAAAAGTCCCCACATTACCCAAAGAGCAGAAGCTATTGAAAAATTTTTACTTCGTTGTCTACCCCATGGATTAAGACCAAATGGACTAAACCACTCATACAGTGCTACTGCTATTGCAGTCAAGTTTAATGAAGTGAATACGGCAATCCATAATTCTGTACTAAATGGAAAAAGGAATGCAAATAAGGGTATCTCTGATTTTAATTTTGGAGCTGTAAGAAAACTAACTCCACTAAAAAAATACGGTGTAGTAAAATCTACTGCTTCTGCTCTATGAGCAGATACACTCATTGCTGCGAAAGCCAATTGTGCACGTCCAGAAACTAATTCTCCCATTATACCATTCCATGTACCACTTCTGCCATTCCTTTTTCCAAACAAACCATCTTGAGCAACATACAAATCAAAACGAAATCCCAATTCACGTGCGACTAAGGACATCAAATCTATGCTTAATCCATAACAACACATAATGGTGTTTCCATGACGACAAATTAATCCTCTTAAACAAAGTCCTTCTTGTAATTTCGTAGCCATTGTAAACGGCGATGCTAGTGCAGTTACTATGCGGTATACTGGCATTCCAATACTTTCTCCACCTTGTTCAAGGTAGGCTGGAACAATACCACCACCTGGCCAAATTATTGTATCAAGACGAACTTCTTTTCCTCCTTTGATAGTACCCACTTTGGTCCATCTATACAAAAATTTTAATTTTAGACAAGCATTAAAATATTAATTAAGAAAGTATATTATAAACCTTAATTGAGTCTTATTTCCAGGATATCTCACTGCTTGCAAATTTAATAACTGAAATTCTGCCTTATCTTTAGAGATTTGACCCATCGACTTTCTTAATTTATGTGTTAATATCCTAGAAAAATTTTCTCTTACTTCATTTGTTAAAAATTTAGCATTTGGATGTGGAAAACATTCTGGGATAAAATGTTCTTTTAATTGAGATTCTCTAAGACGATTCATCTTTGGTTTTGTGTCAGAGAGTGTTTCATCCAATGCCTGTGATGTTTCTCTTAATATTCTAGATAATATGGTATCACCATTCATTATTCTTATACTGGAAGGTCTTAAGGCAAGCATTCCAACTGGCATGAAACTTTTAGAATTTAACTCCTTATCCATTATTCTAACTTCTTCATCATCAAAATTAAATGTTTTTTCTTCCCGTTTAGTTATGGTCCTCTCATTTTGCCATTTATATTCTTGCAATCTATGTATATCATTCGTTAAGCTTGGTAAAGAATTTAAAGGTAACTGATTTTCTGGTATAAGATTTACATTGCGCTCTAAGTTCTCTAATGGAGAAGAATTTCCATTCGTTGCTATTGATGCTCTTGAACTATGAACGATATGTGAACTAATTATATTTGGTTCATTAGGTCTTAATTCTGCTCTAAGATCTAACCAGAGCCATAAAAATCTTCCTGAAAGCATTTCAAATTTACTAGCCACTGTAAGTATTCTTCTTGCGTTGTTTAAATCACAACCCATCACTACGATTCCACCAGTACCCCCTTCAGCAGCTACTCTTCTTAATCTCATTATCAAGGTTTTGTCATTCGTTGGAAGATGAATGATTACTCTAGGTGTTAATACTGGTTGATTTGTTTGAAGAAGATGAGATACAGGAAGCAAAGTTGTATCAATCAATAGTGTAAATGCATGCCAATTAGCTCTGTGCATTAATGCAGCAGTTGCTGCACCAACTTCTTTAGAACTAGAACCTATACGACTTTCAAAAGAACCATAATTACCCTATAATAAAATACAAAGTAAATATACATTCTTATTATTTAATGCATGAAATTTAAATAATAGAGAATTGCTAACCTGACGAAGAAAATCACGATGAGCAAATGGTAACCATAAAGCTGGAAGATTCAAGGCAGTAGCAGCTGTAACAAGGAATCTAGCTGCTGAACCTCCACCTATTATAAGACTCAACACTGTTTTCCCACCTTCGATGTCTGTGCAAAACTTATTTAATAATGACAAAGAATATGATAAAGAATCTGTCAATGGTGTAATTCTTGCTTCAATATAAGATACTTCCATATCTGTCTGAGATGATGATTCTAATCTGGCTTCTTCCCATGATCTTTGAAAATCCATCTTATAGAGAGTTTGTGGTTGAGTTAGACATACCACTATACGCCATGATGAATAAGATGTTTTCAATCGAGCCTTTACAGCTCTGATAGATTTAGTAGCATCTACTTTATTAAATATTAACAAACTTGTTGAAAATCCCAAAAAAAGGAAAAATGCAATTCTTAAAGCTGACCCAGACATCTTCCTCGAGTGTTTTTTTTCCGTATATTTGGTTTCTTAATTTTTTTGATTCACATTATTAAAAGGAGGCTCTAATCTATGGATATAAAATTGATTATTAATAAATATATTTATAACATTTCTTTTCTGTAATATACTGTAGTATTATTTATATTAGAGAATATATATTAGATATTTATATATAATTTATAATTAAAGTTCATTAAAAAATTTAAACAGATTATTAATTATGAAAAAAGTAAGTGAAAATAACATTTAAATAAGTTAGTAAGTTAGTAACAATAGTAAGTGAAATTAATATTAGAATATGCTTCTAAATTAATTTTTTAGATAAAATTTGATTTTATATTTAAATTTATTTAAATAATATAAAATCATTAATTTTACATTACTACAGAAAAATAAGATTTCTTCTATATATTTCGTTACTTAACGAATAATAATTTAACGATCATAATCAAAGATACTTTACCTTTCAGGAGGAAGATTTGTATCCGTTTTTGGTGGAGGTTTTAGGAGTACACGAAGATTGTTTCGTAAACGCCTCATAATAATTATTAATTAACTATATTTGCATCAAACGTCATAAAAGAATCTCAATTGGTCAGTATGGAAGACAGGAACCGTCACTTTTTCTTTACCAGATATTCTACCCTGTGCGTATCAGCCATTTTCAAGTAGCCCCTCCCTTTAAATTGCGACCCTATAGCGCACGCAAGCACTTCTACACACCCCTCTAGTGTACATGTACTATAATAGATATGTATAGATCAATTTATTATGTGATGTTACATTCTTTTGATAAAAATCTTTATCAATAATATAATTTTTTATATAGGATAATAATGATATTTAATATCACTAAATTAATAAAATTAATGAAAGTTACTTTACTACAATTAAACTTAAAATAATGAAAAGGAACAGTTAAAGAATATTGTTATTTATCTTTGTAGTTAAAGTTATCATTGTAAAATTATAAATAGGGACAAAGAATTACGAAATTTTGGGCGGAAAATATTTTATATATTTCGAATCTTTTAATTTATATTTGCCTTATATACATATATGTTAAACATTACATTAACTAGACTCCTAATAGAAATAATGTAATTTTACACAGTATTTAATAAAATACTGATTTGATTTTGTTCCTGACCATAGCTAATACTTGGAATGCAATATAGAATTATGTTACATTAAACGAAACAGTTGTAATATAATATATTTTTAGCTTGTCTTTCTAAAACTTATGACGGTAATAGAGATAAATTTGCACCCTTAACAATGATTTCAAGAATTAACTAAATAAGTTTTGTTGAGATGTATCATTTTCAAATGCGGTCCAAGCATTATTTAGTTCCATAAATATTAATTTTGCTATGTTTTCATTTGCAGTTCCTGTTTGCTGTAATATAATAACGATAATTAATATAACCATTAGTCTATAGATAAAATAATCAATGAATAAAATTTAAAAGAAACGATTAATAAATTAATTATATTGATAATATATTATATAATATAAATACCTTGTCAGGATGTACAGCCAGGCATGCTTTCCTATATGCCTTCTTAACATCAGCAGCAGTAACTAATTGATGCATTTCATAACGTTGCCATCTTTCAGCTTCAGGCCATAAAACCGTATGTAATGAACAAAGAAGAGCGCGTAAATTTCCTTTTTTTCCTTCAGTCCATTCTGTAACTTTTAAGCGATCTGGATCCATTGTTTTAGCTGCTTCTACTTTGCGCATTTGATTTATTGTTTTTGGGCTATCCTTTTCTGCTTTTCGGGAGCTAAAAAAATTGTATCCTTGACTACCAAGTAAGTCTTCAAACGCATCACCACTTGTTTTTGTTGATTTATTGCTGAATGCATTGATATCACTGCTACTCGCGTCATTAGTTGTATTAGATTTGTGCATACTAGGACTTGAATGAATGGGAGTACTAGCAGGAGCTGGACTAGCAGATTGAGGTGTATTAGAATTTCTTGGTGTTCCATTCCAGCTAGATGTAAGACCTGTTCCTAATGACCCAGCAAGATTTGCAAATGGATCTTTATTTTGTGCTGCAAAATTTGGTACACTTGCATTCCGTGGGAAGTTCTCTTCGACATTTGGCACCTTTGATACATTTGATTTTGAATTTGTCAGACCTCCAAGAAAATTACTTGAAGAGGTATCACTCAAAGGATCAAACAATATTTCAGTTGTTTCTTTAGTTACCGACTGGTTCTGATCAAAAAGTAGATTACTCACATTAACATTACTCCTACTACTTTCAATTTTAACAGACTGATCATTTCCAAATAATAAGTCATTTTGTACAGCATCATTAATTGTAGATAGGGAGCTTTTCGTTGTTTCTTGCTGAGTAAACACACCAAATCCTCCCAAGAGATCATTTTCATTTTGACTAGAACTAGAGAATATATCAAATCCTGAATCCATAGCAGGTGTAAGATTAGGATTATTAACAGTATTGCTATCTGAAAGTCCTAGATTTAATAAATCAGCTTCTTGAAGTATATCATCCTTTTTATCTTCTTTTTCTTGTATAGCATTTTGTATGGGGGATATTTCCTCTTGCACCATGTTATCAATTGATGTTTCAGGCACAGACTCTGGTGTATCATTATTTTCAGTCTAAAGTATACATAATATTTTTTAATATAAGAATTCATACGTATTTATATTATATTATAGTTTTTTTCAACCAAATTTAAATAACACATTCTATGAAGTAAATATAAAATTAAAATAAACAAGTGTGTGTATATGTATAGATCTAAAAATATCTTACTGAAAAAATTTAATAAAAATATTCATAGAAATAAATGCTACTCTTAGAATATATTATCAAAGTTTGGTTATATAAGAACCCTAGAATATTCTACATATTTTCTATTTTTAATATCCCTTACTTTCGAAATTTAAAAAAATAAACATTTACCTTTTCTACACTAGTTCTGAAGTTCTCTAATGTTTCTTCCATCTCCAATGTTGATCCAAATAAAGGATCAGGTACAAGTTTGGAACTTTCTTCTGCTTCCCATGGAGCTGGTACTCTAGATAATTTTGAATTGTTTTTACCAAACATAACATTTAAAATAATACGAAATTTTCCTCCAACTTCTGGAACTTCATCTAAATCCTGTTTATCAAATATCAAAGCATTTTCATTTAAAGACACATAACCTGTATGAAAATGCAATGAAGCAATTTTAATTCCAATAACACGTCCAAGCTGTTGCCTCGCATGAAATAAAACAATTGTAACATCTCCACGAACTGTTGCGTCTCCTATTATTATGCATACTTTTCCTTCCATCATACCAAATAATCTCATTTCTTCGTATATTTGTCGCTTAGTCGAAAAGACTTGTGCACCATTGCTATAAATCTCAATGTAAGGCCTACAGCCATCTTTTGCTCTTGTAAATAATGGTACTGGCTGTATAACAAGAGAGCGAAGTATTAAAGGCTTAGTATGAGGAAGAGTACCATTGCTAAGAAAAGTCATATAATTAATACAGCGCAATTCGGATGATTGCAAATGTGGGGGTAAACAACGTCTTGTTGTAAATAACGCTATTGCTTCTTCACTAGAAAATAAAGCTTTAGCATAAATCAGAAGGGCACATGCCACTGTAGCACTTGCATGATATCCATCCTGTAAATTAAAAATGTTTATATAATAAATACTATAAAATTACATATATGTATATATATACTAAATATTTAAAAAATATACTTACTGTACAATATAAAACTACAATACGATTAAAATCAGCATTCAAATATCTATATATATCTTGACAAATTTGGTATAATGCAGACAATAAAGGAGCATTAGAATCTGCAGATGCATAAGCAAATGAACAATCTATATGTCTCCCAGGTAATCTAGCAACATTTGGTCGTCCACGAGATAAATTATATAACTGAATACGAGTTGGTGGTGGATGCCGCGATTGAAGGAAATTCCTTACATCTTCTACATGATTTGCCCTGTAGGCAGATTCTATACCATCAGCTGGATACGGCATTATTAATATTCGTGACGTTAAATAACTAGCATCCAATTCAGTTCTTGCCATACTTTGTTGTACAGTATGCATCACTTTACTAGAAGTATCCTTTATATTACGTAAAAAACTACCCGCACCACCCTTTAATGAACTAAATAGGCCGACTGGTTGTGCTACAACTGTTAATTTAACTGTAGATTGTTGAATTGGAACAGGCCTAAGAGGTGGCATTGTTGCTGTAGAAGCTGGTTTTGGTGGTGGTGTTTGTGTATTAGAAGGTGGTGTTGGCCTTGGAGGTGGAAGAGGTTTAATTGCAGTTTCCAGTTTTGGAGATTCTCTAGGATCAAAATTATTTGATTCTGCAATTGCTGCAAGTCGGTCTAATAACATGGCTGCTGTAAGTCTTTGCGTTGGTGAAATATTTAAACATCCTTTTATTAATTCGTGAAGACATGCTAATCGAGGATTAGGAGGTAATGGTGGATATTTAGCATTGAGAATTGCTAACTTATTACCTGTAAATAAGACAAAATGAAAATTATTTTGAATCATTTCTTGATGATTATAAACAAACAATCAATCAAAAATCTTACCATCTGGAAAAGGATGTCGCAAAGTGACTAAAGAATAAAAAATACAACCAAGTGCCCAACAATCAACTGGTGGTCCTATAGGTTCATTGTTCCATGTATCCATCATCTCTGGAGCACGATACATAGGTGTCGTACATTTTGCCATTTGGTCTTCCAAAGTAGCACGTTTTTGGGCATTCCATGATGGATTTGGTAAGATTTGATTAGTTGTAGTGCTTCCAAAGTCACATAATTTGATAAGACCATCAGATCCAATTAAAAAGTTTTCCAATTTGATATCACGATGTACAAATGGCTCAGGCTGTTGATTATGCATATGATGAACAGCTTTTGTTACTTGGTAGGCAATTTTACATATTTGAGCAAGTGTTAATGAATTTGAAGCAACATTTCGAAGTATATCAGCAAGAGTCCCACCAGGACATAATTCTGTGACTAGTAAATATTCAACACTCTTACTACTTTCTCTTTCTAAACATTGTGCATGCAAATATTGAATAATATTAGGATGGCCTGACAATTTTTTTAATACATCTATTTCTTGTATAATAGATTTGTTAGTATCCTCATCAGCTGCAATGAGTCTCTAATAACATAAAGCAAATATGTTAAATTCAAACAGTTATCTCTTATATTTTTGAATAAAATATTCGAGAAAGATACTTTACCTTAAGTGCATATTCCTTTCCAGTTGAAACATCTTCTACTGCAAACACCAAAGCCCATCCACCTGTTGATACGACGTTTGCCACAAATTATCTAAATATCCATAATGATATATAATTTCATTACAACAACTATATGTATAGAAATATATTTTACTTGCTTTATACCAAATATATATACCAAATATTATGCATATATCCCTAAATATTTTATATAAAAATTATTTAATATTTTTATCAATTAACTTATATACCTCACTGTGCTAATTATTAACAATAGTTTAATAATTCAAACTTTTTTCAAACATTTTTCAAACATTTTTCAAGTGTGTTTATAAAAATAATTAATAAACAAAACCATATGTATAGTATATCTTTAAATTAAATATGTATTTTTTATTCTTTACAACCTTTAGATTTTATAGAAAGTACGGAATATACGGAAAGACAATATAAATTAAGACAATATAAATTAATTTATCCATATTAAAAAGTAGTACTTCTTCTAGTATCTAGTATGTCTGAAAATATCAAATAATTCATACACATTTATTTGATTAGATATGTCAAAACATACTTGACACATGCCAGGTGGTTAAGTGCTTGACAACATAAAAGTTATACAAAATGATAAGTAATATTATTTTTAAATGACAATGAAAAAGAAGAAAATAAGAATTTTTAATGAATACAATTAAAAAACGTTGCATCTAAAATCATGATGGAATCAATGATAATTATAAAAGTGAAAGCATGCAACAAACCTACCTTCGGCGATTAATCTGTTCACACGAAGTTTTACATTATTGATTTCCAAAATTTGTCCGACATATTCATTTGTATTTGTTCCTCCATTTAAGTATCCTATAGCAGATCGTATATAATCCGACATGTTTATTTAAAATTCTTGTTGAATTATCCGGAAAGTTTTCTTTTATTGTAATCGTGCGAATAACTGATGCCACCCAGCCATATTGGCTTCCCCACATCATCTACGTAACGTATCGTACGCATGCTTACGAAAGTGAACGTCAGTAAGGCAATTAAAATTTTGAATTATATTTTGAAGAAAACATTTAAAAATCCAAAAAATTAGTCATTAATAATCTTAACTTATATATTTGTTCTATCAGAATTTATTTTAGTACCTTTTTATATCTATTTATATTTATATTTTTTTTAAAGAAATTCGATAATCGTTCGATAGATGGATTGGATTGCGCGATTTCGAAGTAAGTTAACACAATAAAGTTATATATATATATATGTCTCAATACAACTTTTAATCATCACGTTAAAATTCTTTGAACATTATCATTATATTTTTAATGAAATAATAAGTTATTTAATTTTTTTTGCAATTTTTAAAGATGCACGTATATTTATGCGCATTACTTAAAAATGTGTACATTTCCCATATAAAGTACATTGTAATTAGATGAATCATATATTTTAACAAAATTAAAATAATTCCAATTATAAATATACATTTCTAATTATGATGAATGTTAAGTAAAAATTTTTACTTCTTATTTAATTCAAAATAGGAATCAGAAATAGAAAGTAGCACGTTGATATCTATCAGTTGATATCTTTTTCATGTGCTTTTCATGTGACCAGATACAGAATTAGGTTAGTTCATATTTTTACACTATTCAATTAGAAGTTGGTTTACTATACCGTGTATATATATATATATATATATATATATATATATATATATATATAAAACAAGAAAAATGTTTACAGTTATAACTTTTTGTTTACTTCAAAGATTAATCTCGTTGTTAATAAATTTTTAAAGTTTGTATATAACCTTATGCATGTGGTCTAATCCCAATAAAATTATGTTCACAGATTTATGTTTCATTGAAGTATTCTATATAAATTTCGTTATTTTATAGTTAAATACTTTTAAAATTCTATAATTAAATGAATATACAAAATAATTAAAAAATGAAACTATAAATTTATGTGTACAGGTTTTTATGAAGTAAGTTAAATCTTTGTAACATTTAGATTATTATTATTAATCCTTACTATTGATTCAGTATGTTTTACTTTAATGAGAATTTTGATATAATGGTAGTATATTTATAATTTTATTTTATATAGAGTAACATATTTCTTAACTATTTTTAGTTACTCAAGGTCAAATGTGTACAAACCTCTCGGAACATATTTAACTGATCATTTTTACTTGCATTTGACTTGAATGTTATACCTTTTTGTTTAATAAGATTTTAATTCATATATCATTATATCCACATGTATACTTAATATTTTATATCAGTGAGTGATAGTTGATAAAATAAATGTTTATACACAATCAAATTTTATAGGTAAGTTATTTTACCTATTAATTTTTAAAATAATTTAATAAATGTTTTTTTATAAATTTGCTTTATACATACATTAATATTAGAAGTTATAGATGTTTTAATGTAATTACAAAAAATATAGTTCTATTTTATTATACATTATAAATACATATACTTCAACAAGAATCTCTGAAATAATGTTATATTTTTAATAGTATTTTTAATAATTTTATATTTTTGAAACATTAATTTACAGAATGTCATTTCCAAATAAAGAAGATCGATTGATCTGTTGGAGTCATAGAGATGAATATTGGAAATGCTTAGATGAAGCAAAATCAGAAACGGATTGCAATGAATTTAGAAAAAAATATGAACAATTTTGTCCTTCTCAATGGGTAAGTTCTTCTAATAGGTAATTAAAATATATATTTCTTACTTTGTTTCATTATCCATAATAAGATCAATTACTATTGATCAGGTGAAACACTTTGATCGTAAAAGGGAATATCTAAAATTTAAAGAGCGTTTGGAGCTAGAAGGATATGTTCCAGAAGAAAAAAGTCAAACATCTTTTTAATTATAACTTACAAATGAATGTATCTAAGAGTAATAAGTTTATTATTTATTTATTACAATTTTCTTAGTTCATAAAAATAATAAATAGATACTACAAATATGTGTACATTTTATTATATTAACCACTTGTTTTTAACTACTATTATACAGCATTTTTTCTTTACTTATTTTTCACTAATAATGGCTTGAAAAGTACTTTGGATTCCACACTTTTTTTGTTACTCTTTTTTGAATAAAAACATATTCTACCAAATAATTTATTTTATGAAAATCTACAAAGTGATATTGTAAGATTATTTTTAATTATATAATAAGCAATACTTCTGATAAAGAGTACTTTTTTCCCTATATTACAGGAGATGTGATTAAGAAGAAAGAAAATATTCTTCAAATAAATCAGATATACTAATACAATGTGTTGCTGAATCATCAATTTTTAATTTTCAAGAACAAAAAAATTATTTTGATAAAATAATGTGATAATATTTACATTCTCTTTAATTAACATATATAAGGATTATGCTGTTAATTTTGAGAAATAAAATTATTAGCAAAGTCTGCAAAGCATAATTCACATATTAAAAAACAGAAATTGTGCAATACAATGGATCTCTCTCATCTACTTCAAGAATTACAGATATGCAAAGAGAATGTTGCTATTTATAAAGTTAGTATGTATATTATACGTCCTTAACAACTTTATAACATTCCATATCATTTTTTAGTGGTACTATAATAATATATCAGAATATTATTTTAATAAGAATATTTAATTTTCTATTTCAGAAATTAATAACACTTAATCTTTCATTTAAACATTTATTAACTAAAAAAAATAAAGAAGAATGGCAATTAATATTATTAAATATAATGGAAGTATTGACTAGTAATCAAGATATGGGCAAAGAATGGATTTTATTAGCTTCTCATGCATTTTTCATATTACAATCAGCTCAATGTGATGCTGAATCATTGCAAAGATATTTAGCATATTTTTTAGAAGTAGATTCCTCTGAATTATTTTTTATTAATAAGATATATAAAATAAATCATCTAGAATTGTTCAAGTTGATCATTACACATGGTTACTTACAAGTTAATCAGAAAAAAATATATTCCAATAATGTATTGTGTATTATATTTAAAATTATTTATTCTCATTGTGTACAATATACTCCTTACTCATATTTTGCATATAAGATATTAAATACTTGGTTAAATAGATCAATATACACAGATTTTTGGAATACGAATAGTTTATTAATAGAACAACAGTTGGAAATGATTATATTTTCAAACTGGTGTAATTCAATTAATGATATTAATAAGCAAAATGCGACATATATTTTTAATACATATTTAAGAATAATGATAGAAAAATATAATGGGTTTTTGGAATATGTATTCAATTGTGTTGACAGTTTGTCATGGCAAAATGAAACAAAATATATCATATTAGCAGAAGTTTGTAATATGCCAAAATGCAAAATTGCAATGATAACATCAGAACATTTTTTATTATACTTGAGTACTTCATTAACAAAAAATTACTTACGTTGTGTGGGCACAAAAGTTTATATGAATATTTTGAAGAGACTCACTGAAAAAGATTGGAAAAAGTCATTTGATTCCGTTATAAAATATCTTGTTTATCAATGGGAAATAGGACCAAAGTAAGTATATAAAATATATGATATATTATTGGTTAATAAAATGATCTTGTTTTAATTACTATTTACTTTACATTGAAATTTAATTTATAATTTTTTTCAGCAAAAATCATAATGCACTTAAATCACTTTGTAAATATTGGCTTGAACCAACTATAACAAAGTACAAGAATATTCTATTGCATCTATGGGAATTATGTAAAGATTTTGTAGCACCATTTTTTCATTCGCACTTACAAAGGATAGCTAATGAAATGTATATTACTTTTCCACAAGATATTGACCTTATCTCTTATATACACCACAAAGATGAAGTTATAAGATTAAATGGTTTTGCAATCTACTGTTATCAATCCAGTAAATTGCTTAATAACGATAAAGTTGATCACTTTATTATAATTAAACAATTTTTGTGGTATAATGCAAATACCACATCAATATTCTTAAGAGATGGAATAACTCAATACTTCAAAATATTTTATACAAACGTTTTAAAAAGTAGTGAAAATTTTGATTATAATCAATATATCTGTGATATGGTAGATTGGTTACATGAATTCTTATTAGACTGTTTTGAACCTGGTTCTCGTTATCAACGTAAAATTCTTGGTTTAAATTTGTACAAAGTTGTCCTTTCTATAACTGATACATATTTTTGTAAGTATCTTATTGAAAAAGAGCATAATTCCCCTATTATGCTTCATAACAAATGCACAAAAGGAGATATAAAATGCAAGTTTACAAATAAAAAATGTTTATTGGTTCTCTTAAAGCTACTACAAGATAGTACACTTGATATAAAACAAACAGCAACTTATATTATTATTAATTATTTTGAGAAAGATGTTTTAACGAATACAGAAAAAAAAGTAAGAACTTTGATTTATTATTTAACTATTTTTTAAGACATTGTAATAAAACGTGATAATATTTTAATTTAAAAATAATATAATATCAGGTAATATTTGATATGGGATTAAAAAATTGTAATTCATCTAAATTCTATGAAGTGGAAAGTGGAGCAGCATTGATGAAGATTTTGGCAACTTGGGAGCCTTTTAATACAGAGTTTATTACTAACAAATGTGAAAAAAGTGCTTTGTGTAATAATTATTATGAATTCTTTCTTTATGAAGCACAAAAGCAATTACTACAAATGAAAGAAGATATATTAAAAGCTATTGTTCATAGTGGATCTTTTTATGGTATCCTTACTGCTATGCTTAGCTCTAATTTTGAACATGGACTAGAAAATTGTAGACCTCCTTTAAACTTCATAAAAAAATTATTGGATTTCTTAGATGATGCTATAACTTTCTTTTTATCTATATTGTCATCAAAATCTACAACTACAAGTAAGAAATTATTATCTTCTTTTATGTTATAATGAAATAAGATCATTCTAATTTGTATTGATATTTTCCAGAATATGCATCATCATTTGCAGAAATGGGATTAGCAATTAATGATACAATTAAAACTAGTGCAATAAATGATGATAATTATGATGATCTTATTTTATCACCTGCACATCAAGTTATTGTATCTTGTATTTGGCTATCCTTGAAGGTATATTATTTTAAAATTAAATTTCCATTTTTAAATTAAATAATAAAATGAACTGATAGATTATATTTTTTATCAAGGTATCTTGTGAAATAGCTAATAATATAGGTAGTTGTATGTACTCTAATGAGACGACTTCACATGCAATTAAGCTAATTGCAATGGTATTAACAAAATGTAGGCATAAAGGAGCAATCGAAGCTGCTGGAATAGCAATTGGTAACTTAGTAAGGTATTTCATTCATTATAATCTATTATGATTTTTATAATATAACTGGTAATAATATATATGGTATTTTAGATGTATATGCAAGAAAGATAGTTATGCTGAAATATTAAAAATGTATGTAAAAGATTTATTAGAAGATAAAACAACAAATACTTTGAATATAACTCGACGTGGTGCTGGATTTTCGTTGATGTTTCATAAAATAGTATCTAATGATAATCGTAAAGGAAGACCTCTTTTACATTTTTCTGTACAAAAATTACTATACTCTTTAGAAAGGTGGTCTGAAACTAAATTTGAAAATATTGAATATAAATACGATCTCCCATTGGCAAGACATTTATATTTTTTACGTACATTGGTAGCAGACAAAAATATACATGTACAGTTAACACCATATATGGAGCGTATTTCTTTAGTATGTTTTCAGTATTTACGATCAGAAATTTGGCAAATCAGGTAAACGATTACACATTATACGTTTTTCTCAAGATCGTTAATATGATTAATATTATCTAATCAATACTTTCAATTTTTAGGAACGCTAGTCTTCAATTATTTGGTTCTATAATACCACGCTTGGTAGGACAAAGTGCTGGTGGAAAAGAATTAGATTTTGGAAATGGATATTCCGTTAATCATTTCATCACTCATTATCCAATCCTAACAAATCACATATTAAAACAACTTCAGGTTTTTTCACAATTATCTGAAAATTCAAACACTATGTTACATGAATATTCAAATATTGTACATATCCTTATATTGCTTTCTAAGTTTTCTATTAGTGGTTGTGATTTTATTGATTATTTATCATATGATTTTGTAAAAGAAATGAAAAGTTATTTTTGTAAACTTCTGGCTAATCCTATTGAACATGTTAGAATACTTACTGGAAAAGCATATGCAGCTTTAACTGCATTTTCATGCATTAAATCAGAAATCGAAATATTGAAATTTAATGTTTTTTTAATCAAAAATGTTAATAAGATACATGGGCATTTACTTACTATAAAATATTTAAAAGAGAAATTTTTGGCTGAAGCAGAAAATATAAATTCATGTAAAACAATGGAATCAACAATTATCAATTCTGATGAAAAATGTATTAGCGAATATAGAATTCAAAATATTGTGAAGATCTGGAATAATAAGCTAAAGACTAAAAGCAATCAACAAATATATTATACTTTAGAATGCATCCTCATAGAGTTATTTAATTTGAAATTATCTCCATCAAATATTGAGTATTTTGATAGAATTATATTAGATAGTTTATGTATATTACATATGGAGAAGATAAAACCAAGTTTTTATCAATTCATAGATATTTTGACATATTTATATGCAGATCATATTAAATATACTGGTAATTTTAATTCGAAAATCATTGATAAAATTGTTCATTCTGAATATATAGAACAAACTATTAATTTTTTAACTCGTTTGCATTGTTTCACTCCAATTCTTAAAATTATATTACGTATTTTATTATCAATAATAGATAATGACAATGCATTAGTCATTAATGCAATAATAAAATTTGTAATTACAACTTTTAAATGTTCATTATTAATTGATATTTATAAATTAAAATTAGAGGAAACAGTTCTGAATTTAATTCCAAAGCTTGATAAGGATACTTCACATATTAATGTACTACACTTCAAAAATATATTAATAGCAATATTTTGCAAAGATGAAAGTATCATATATAAAACATTATCAGCAATTTTTAACATGAGTCTTACTGACAATGAATATGTAAAAAATGAAGCATCAGAATGTCTTCAATTTTTTGTTCAACGTTTTTCAGAAGTAGAATCTAAAAACAAATTGATAATTATGCATTGTTGTCTTATATTACTGAAGAATGATACTTCTGATATATGTAATTCAGTTACTACAATTGTACAAAATCACATTATGTCTGCTATATATGGTGATAAAAAAATGTGTGAACATGACGAAATTATATACCAACAACTACTGTTGGAAATAGAGTATTATACATCGTTATGTAATTCTTTTTATCTAAATGATAACATAGAATTTATAAGAAAGTTCATAGGTCTTGATAAACTTCATACCAGGCAGTCTTCATTAGTTGAAAATCCTTTTAATCATGAAGATAATACTTTTTACAAAGAAGAAACAAAGTTCATGAACATACTTTATTTTTACATGCAATCTAACAAAAAATATTATCGTATGCTAAAATATGAAAGCAATACTGAAAACTGCATCGATGTGTCACACATCATTCAAAGTAAATGTCAATTTTTAGAAAAAACCGGTTTTAATCTTAATTGTTTAAGAAATTTGTTAACACTTAAAGATAAAGATTATCTATTTAAAAAACAGGAAACTTTGATATACGAGTACAAGAATAAAAAACAATAATATAAAATGTGTATCTGTAAAGCATTATTTTATAAAGTCTAATAAAATGATATATTACTATTTCAAATTCAATAAAATGATTTATCATTAAGGCTGTTCACTACTTGGTGGTTTTTTAATAATTTATGCCATCAATGAGAACAGGCGTAATTCTTGACCGATTTTAATGAACAAAGTCTCATTTTAAAGATGAAAGTTTAATTTACAGCACTCTTTCAGAGAATTTTTGAAAAAGCTTTATTTTCTTTGGAAAAAATCGGGTTAAAAAATGGTATTTTTCAAGAATAGCTTATACATAAATAAAAAGCTTTTTCAAAACTTCGCCGAAAGGGCGTCGTAAATTAAACCTTTTTCTTTAAAATAAAATCTTTTTCATCAAAATTGATCGAAAATTACTTCTATTCTCCTTGATGGCGCAAATGGTATTTTCGACATTTTTCGCGAAGAAGAAGTTTAGTACTGTGACGTCCTTTGAAATTTCCGGCAAAAGAGATGAAGCTCGTATTCCCATTACTAATTTCCATGTACACGCTTGAATGGTGTATATTTTATATCCTTGAAGTAGCAATTGCCTGTTTGGTTGTTGCGTAAATAGCTGATTCAGATTTTTTAAACATTTCCAAATATAAAGAAATGGGTTTCTCGATCCTTGCGCGGAGAAGCTACTCATTCGATCATTTTAATGAGCTTTAGCCAGATAATTTTATGGTAAAAATAAAGAAATACATGTCCAATAGTTTATGTCAAGGAATCTGAGTTTTAAAAATTTGTAGTTTTTTTAGATTTTATAGATTAAAAAGAGAAAGATTCTATAAATAATATGTAGCACATTGGCAATCATCTAGATTCGTAATACAGGAAATCTTAGGTTCGAGGCATAAATGGTTTTTTTTATTGTATCGATGTAAACGAAAATAATGAATTAATTTACTTTTTTTTCCTTATTTGATAATTTAGTAAGGTGTTACTATCCAATCTCTTATATTTATTTTCTCCACTAATGCTTGATGTGAATTTCGCGATGATCTATGCTAGATAAGACACAGCAGCAGTATAATTTTATTCAATGACAAATGTATATAATTTATATACATTTGTCGATTATTTTTTCAAAATTAATAATTAGTGAACATATATATTAAATATTATTTTTAATAAAAATCGAGTTTGTTTTCACATTACAAGATTTTTCTTCCAGCGCAATTTTGTTATAGTTTCTTCTGAAGAAGTTCATTTCATATTATTACTATAATACTATAATACTATAATGCTATAATTACTATAATAATAATATGTAATATAATAATATAATAATATAATAATAAGAAACAGAAGAATCTACTTGTATACAACATGACACATAATGAAAGTAATTTATGATAACAAAAGAAGGAAAATGTATCATTTTACGTGATGGTTTGACATACGAATTCTCAACAAATCATATCCTTGATAATTTGGACACATGACCACCTATCTAATATAAAAAACATATAAAGAAAAGTACGAAATATTTCTTTTGTTTTCATCCACTATTGTTTCTTTTTGTCTTATTACATTATGATCATAATGCATTTATTTTTATATTGTTTCTTTCTCATGATCAATCAAAGCTAATCGTCTTTACTATTATAATATAAAATGTATTAAATAATATCTAGATGTATATAAATAATATTTACGTACATTTTTATTATTATTATTATTATTATATTATAATATATTACATTATATAATATTATTATTATTATTATCAGTAATAGTAACAGTAGTATATTATTATTAATAGTAGTAATAGTCGAAGTCGTAAAGAGTGGACTACAGGGAAAACCACGTAAAAAAAAAAAGCGCTGGGAATTTTACTTCATAGGTAGTATGGAAATGAACTCATGTTCTAATTTGTATTAAAATAATATAATATATAAATATTCACTAATTATTTTTAAGAAAATATTCGAAAAATTCTTATTTTTGTTGTAGATTTATATACTAATTCTTATGTGTCAATTATATTTATTATTTTTTATACATTTATCGTAAAACAAATAAATACCAACATCGTATCCAGCACAGATCACTGCGAGAAGCACGATACTATCAAAGAAAGATATATATATGAAAGACTGAAAAGTGTGCGTTCAAAATCTACTAAACTATTTACTCTGCTCATATGAAATCAATTTATGTCGCATGAGAGGGGGGAATAACCAAACAAGCTTACATACCGATCTGATGATGAGGACAGTGTTTCCCGCTTGTATTCGTAGTTCACATTTTGTCCATACCTCTTGTTGAAGTCACACATGCTTTGAACAAAAAGTAGTATATAGCCTTAAAAACAATTATTTTTACATATTGATAAGATAGTTCATATATTTGTAGTTGGCAGCATTGAAAGCACAGAACAGGTTAGCGTGGAACAAGTGTAGCGTGGTAAAGTGTATCTAGTTTTCTGGATTTTTGTATATTATCTACATATTATTTTTATCATAACTACATAACATTTAGATGTTACTTATACTCTCATAAAAATTGTAATGTACTTTCATGATATTAATTATTGTATAGTAAAAACTAATTTATGCGATACCATACATTTTAAAAGTAATAAAAAGCAGAATTTTTATATAGCACATAATTAAATTAAAATTTCTTGTTGTAGAAAGTAAGTTATATATGTAGTTTTATTTATTAAAATTGATATGTATTAAATCGTCAATATAAACATTATGACAGATTTAATAAGTTTTTATATGCATAAATAGATTTGTGTAATGGAATTAGAACGTCCTGATCGATTAAGTCATTGCACATGGAGAGCAAATGCGACAAATACACCACATACAATAAGAAAAGAGTATGTACATATTTGCTATATTTACTTTATTTGTTTTATTTGCTAAAATAAGAAATATTCATTTAAAATTTTGTATATAGAAATTATAGTTTTACAAATGTTATAAATTTTCAGATTTTCAAATCGAAATAATGTTTTACCTAACATTTTGGAAGCTATTGGTCAAACTCCTATGGTACGTTTAAATACCATTCCACAATTACATGGACTAAAATGTGAAATATGTAAGTATTCAAATTTCATGCCCAAAAACTATTAATATTGAAATTAATATAGAATATTTGATTATTACATTTTAGTTGCAAAATGTGAATTTATGAATCCTGGTGGTTCTGTGAAAGACAGAATTGCTTATAGAATGATCCAGGATGCAGAAGAAAAAGGGATATTAAAGCCAGGTTCTACTATAATTGAACCAACAAGTGGTAACACAGGGATTGGTCTAGCAATGGCTGCAGCTGTTAAAAGATATAGGTGTATTATTGTTATGCCGGAAAAGATGTCCAATGAAAAAGTACTTACTCTACGTGCACTTGGAGCTGAAATAGTTAGAACACCAACAGAAGCAGCCTGGAATAGTCCTGAAAGCCATATTAGTATTTCTCAAAAACTTCAAAAAGAAATTCCTAATAGTGTTATTCTTGACCAAGTAAATTTAACATCTTTTCTAATTGATGATATATTTTTGGCATTTCTGTATGTGCGAGTGTTGAAAATCTTATTATATTAATAGTATAAATATGTTATTTATATATAGTATACAAATAGTGGAAATCCTCTGGCTCATTATGACCAAACTGCAATGGAAATTTGGAAACAGTGTGATGGAAAGTTAGATTATGTCGTAATTGGTGCTGGTACAGGAGGAACTGTCAGTGGCATTGGACGTAAATTGAAAGAATTACATCCTGAAGTAACAATCATTGCAGTTGATCCTATCGGCAGTATTCTTGCATTTCCATCTGAGTTAAATGAACATGATGTTAGTTTTTATGAAGTAGAGGGAATTGGGTATGTGATTTATAAAATTCATTATAAATTCTATTCACTAATACTTGTAAGTTCTATGCACTGTTTTACTGAAGTAATTTCTTTAAGATATGATTTTCTACCTACTGTGCTGGATCGTAATGTAGTAGATAAATGGGTAAAAGTTAATGATTGTGAATCACTAAATGCAGCACGCATGCTTATCAAACAAGAAGGATTATTATGTGGAGGTAGTAGTGGTGCTGCTTTGTCTGCATTTCTAAAAATTGCAAAAGATATTCCTGCAAAAAAACGTGTTGTTATTATCTTACCTGATGGGATACGAAATTATATGACTAAATTTGTATCTGATAAATGGATGGAAATTAGAGGCTTTTTGGTAACACTTATAAAAAAATATATTAACAAATAAGAATATTTTATGCAAGATAGAATTTTAAATATATGATCTTTTATAAACTAAGTTTCATTATTATGTATTATAGATACATCAAGCTCGAATTTATTAACTAAAGAAAATTTATTGTATATTGCAGGACATACCATCACTAGATGAATCAAATAAATGGTGGTCCAATTACCCAGTTTCAACTTTATCCATAACTAAACCTCCTCTATTATCCAAAACAGCTACATGTCAAGAAGCTATCCATATTCTTAAAACCACAAATTCACATCAAGTTGTAATTATTGATAATGAGGAAAAAGTTAAAGGTGTTCTTACAATGCAAGTACTTATGAGTAAGCTAATATTTGGTGGAATTAAACAGACAGATTGTGTAGAAAATATTATGATAAAACATTTCGTAAAGGTCTTATCTACAACGACTCTTGTAAAACTTTCATTAGTTCTCGAACATGAAGCTTATGTAGTTGTTGTAGATCATATAAACAATGATGCTTTAGTTGGAATTATAAATCCTTCTGACATTGTTAATTTTATTTCTAGTAAAGACAATACTTTACAAACTAATGGATCCACATAAGTTTTTGTATATCGCTATTTTTATAATTTTATATTAATAAATTAATGGAACAATATAGAATTGTAGACATATGTAATTTATATTAAAGAATATTATGGTGGAGTAAGAATTAAATGTCAGTAATGTATCAATGCTTGAAAACTGCTAGTTATTCCATTATGTTTATAAAGTTGCAAATGCCTAGACATTTATAAGTGCCAATAAATTATAATGTTACATAATACTTACATATTTATTTTACTTGTATATGTTAAGTTTTAATTCTTTACATCATTTACAATTTATAGAAAATTTTAGATATAATTGACATGTTCTTCATGTTAACTATAAAACTCATATCCATTACTAGAATATTATATATCTTTCAGACTTTATATCAATAATGTAGTGATAAATCATATGAAATGCATATTATCTTAGCTATACATGTTAAATTCTTTGTACTTGAACATGGAATTTGCAACTTGGTAAAGCTGACGTTTCCGCTGTTACAGTACTTACAATACCAAGATTTGCTAAACTACCTCGTAATAAACCACATGTAAATGCTAATAAGCGTGGACTTTCTGGAAGATATTGTTTAGTATTATTAGTACCGACTTTATCTAACAAACGAAATGAATTGTCTTGTAATACATATACCCCATGGTGATTTGTTCTAAGATTATCAATTTGTTTATGATATAAGCTGCACCAAAAATCTGTACATATAAATTTAATCATATCTAATTCATCTTTGAAACGACTCCATTCTCTTGTTAATCGTTCAATGATTTTATATCCAACACTAAATCCCATCCATTCCAATCGAGACAGATCCTCTTTACCTTCCTGTTAAAAAAATTAGTTACTGTTCAATTCATTTAAATGTTTAACAACTTATTATCCTAATTATATCTTAAATATATATTAGTCAACTATATAACTTTTATTACCTTTGTATCTAGCGATAAACTTAAAACATAATTAACTATTTCAGCATGTAAATATTCAAACAAACACTCGTCAGCTTCTCCTGTTGATCCAGAAATTGTTTTGGTATCTATGACTTGTTGTTTCATATTTATGTGTATTTAATCGTCATAATGTTAATAACCTATAACATGTCACTTGCAATATCCCTTTAAATAAACCTCATCAATTACACAATATATAATTTTTTACATACATATATATTTAAAAGTATACTCACTTTATACAAATCTCATAACTGTCAACCTCAAATTATAATACAATTCCCGATATACAATTCAGATTATCGTGTTAATGAAAACCACAGAACAGATTAAATCAACGATTTTCTGTTTTGAGAGCGCCATCTAGTTAAATAAATCTTATAATATATGAGTTTTATACCACGTATACACAATTATACGAGCATATTTGTCAAATAAAGATTCAATATTGCTCATATCAGAAAATTTTTATCTTTACTTAAAAGTACAAGAATTGTTTAAATTTTTATATTAATATAAAACATGAATTTTCTTCTACTCGATAAGAAAACATCTAAATGCGTAAAGATAAAAATGAAAAATAAATATCGATACGAATGAATCGATAAAGATTGACGATGAAATGTATTGATTCTAATAATAGAATTGACATTATAAATCTCTTTATTATATTAAGAATATTTATTGTTTCTCATATAACTCGGTGACCGAATTTTACAATAAATAATTTTTTATATATGTTGGTAAGTCTACAGATATAATTAAATTTTTGATTGATATTAATTAAAATCTATGTTCATAAAAATGATAAATTTTATATTATAAAGTAAATATATCTTATCTAATAAATTGAAAGTAGAAATTGATAATTGATATGTCGCTTATTATATATGTCAATTGCTATATATAATTTATAGATATATTCTAAAAATGGAACTGATATGTGCAGTACAAAATTATGATTGGGGTAAATATGGTACAAACAGTATTGTTGCAACATTAATTAAAACAGCAAATCCTGAGTTTGTAATAAATGAAGAAAAATCGTATGCAGAACTATGGATGGGTACACATCCTAATGGTCCTTCATATCTGAAGGAAAAAAACATTTCTTTAGAAGAATATATACAAAAAAATACAAATATATTAGGAATTGAAGTACAACAAAAATTTGGATCATTTTTACCTTTTCTGTTCAAAGTTTTGTCTATAAGGAAAGCATTATCGATTCAAGCACATCCAGATAAGGTAAATTTATTTATATTACTAAATTATTATCTAATTCTAATATATATTTCTACATATTAAATTATAGAAAAAGGCAGAAAAATTACATTTGCAGTATCCTGAAATTTACAAAGATTCCAATCACAAACCTGAATTAATGATAGCATTAACAGAATTTGAAGCTCTTTGTGGTTTTCGCCCAATTGAAGAAATAAAAAAATATTTCAAATTACTTCCTGAATTACGAGCAGTAATTGGTGAAGATTTAGTTCATGAATGTATGATAACAAATGACTCTGAAAATTTAGTGCCTTTAAAAAAATGTTTTCACAGTCTTATGACACGTGACCATAATTTAGTAATGTTACAACTTGAACATTTACTTGAAAGATTGTCATATTTGGGTAAATTTGAATAATGAAATTACATTTGTAATTATATAATGCATTGACCAAATTAATGAGTTTTATTAATTACGCAATGTTCATAGATAAATCATCTCAACAGATATTGAATGGTGATCTGTTGCGAAGGCTTCATTTAGATTATCCTGGAGATGTTGGATGTTTTGGTATATATATATTTAATTATGTCACTTTACAACCAGGCGAAGCTTTATATCTTGCTCCAAATGAACCACATGCATATATATATGGTGGTTTGTATTAATAATTTATATATACGCACGCGGGTGAATAGATGTCTTTTAAAATAATTTTAATTTTATAGATTGTATAGAATGTATGGCATGCTCTGATAATGTAGTGCGTGCTGGATTAACACCAAAATTGAAAGATGTAGAAACATTAACAGAAATATTAACATATAAATGCGAGTCATGGTTTGCTAAAAAATTGTGTGGGTACTGCGAAGATAATTATACAGAGATATTTCAACCTCCAGTGCCAGATTTTGCAGTGGCCAAAATTTTAGTAAGCTTTTTTGCTAAAAAATTAAATATTACATTATATTATTGTAAAAATATTTCTTGTTCCTATGAATTTATTTTTAGATACCATCTGATAAAATGAGATATGAATTAATTACAAGAAAAACAGCTAGTATATTAATTATCATAAATGGTAGAGCAGAAACTCAAACATCACAAATTCTTCACGAAGGATCTATTTTATTTATTCATGCAAATGAAAAAATTATGTTGAAAATTCTAGAAGATTACTCATTATTAATGTTTCAAGCATTTGCAAATGTATGAACAAAAATAAAAAGTCAATTTATATGCATAGGGTATCTTATTGTTATATGCCTTTTAAAATAATAATTCACTCAATTGTATACCTTGTAAGCATTAAGCAAAAAATTATGTATTTCTCTATTGATTTTAAAGTGTTATTACTCTTATTACAGACATTAGCAAACATTATATTTAATTTACAATCTATGATATAATTAATGTATAATATATGTACAAAATATATGATAAGAAAGTATAAATGTAATATGTTGACTTTAATATGGCTTCGTATTATGATAATGAACATAATGTTTTCCATCATGGCGATCATATCTATCACCTCTTTCAAGACTTCTACGATCCCAATTATGATTGCGACTTCCATGTCCCTGATTTTGTTGACCCCAATCATACGGTTGCTTACGTGGTTTATTGTACCATGGATCTACAATTGGTGGTTTCTTTGGTATTGCTCTTTTAATTTTCATGAATTCAATATCGTTTTCAGTAAAACGATCTTTAAATTCAATTTCACATTCTTCTAAAAATCTTTTTTGTTCTTCTGTCATATTATTTTCCATCATTGAGTAGTAGAAATTTGTTAATAGTCACAAATAATATAATATTGTTTTTATAAATAATATTATAAACAATAAATAATGTTTTTATCTTTTATAAAACATTTGCATAAGCTATAAAAAAATTTTTCCACTTGCTGTAAATTCAGTATATTTAATCAGTATATTCAGTATATTCAGTATATTTAATCTATTTTTTAAATAAAATTAAATTTTTGGAGAACTCACATACAAGATAATTACTTGAATGTCCAGTTAATATTCGTGTTTCAATTTTTTTATAATATATTAACTTCGAATGAAAAATCAGACTTGCATAAACGAATGTTACTATTGTCGTGTTTAACCTGTTTATATTGATTATACCGAGTATATCTGTTTTATATTATTTTATATTAACAGACTACTCTTAGCTTAACAAGCCATAATTTTGAGTATTAAAACTGTTTATTCAATAAACATATACCACTTAAATGAATATTATTTATATTATTCCACAAAATCATATTAGAACGATATCCATGCACTCTATGTTTGTTCCAAACATTCTCGCTTAATAATACCTTCTAGACGAAGATGCGCTAATATTTCTGCGCAAAGCTACACTTATTAACATCTATATTGATACACTTATCGATATTTATGTATACACTATTGACTAATAAAAATTTATGTTTATTTTTATTTTTTACTAATATATGAAGAAAAAATTATTATGCGAAATATTTAAAATATGAAATATTTACATTGTACTTATACTCATTTTGCGCACGTATTGAATCATTGCAAATTGTCACGTAGTAAATATGTCAGAACAATGTGTACTATATATATAGTAAGTGTAGATTATATGTATATATATCATGGTTAAAAAAATAAATTTTCTTTAGAATGAACGATAATTACGAACAATTGACTGTCAAAGATGTAACTAGTTATGTTGCATCTTTAACAATAATATTTGGTGGTATCATACCGTATATACCACAATATAGAGAAATCAAGAGAAAAAGAGATGCAGAAGGATTTTCTTTATATGTTTGTTTGACATTGTTAATTGCAAATACTCTCCGCATTTTATTTTGGTTAGTTTCAAATAATTATTTAGTTTCTTTTATCTTCTTTACGAATCTCATCTTTTTTGTAGGTTCGGTAAACATTATGAAACACCTCTTTTAATTCAAAGCATTATAATGATCATTACAATGTTTATTATGATTAAACTTTCTGTCAACATACACAATAGAAGTCAAATAATTAAATTAAAAGAACGAGTATTTACAGGTATACAATTTTTATAATTAATCTAAAAATAAAAGAAAAACCTTAAATTAATTCTTACTTTTATGAAAATAATTCATTTGGATAGATTTGGAGACAAGATTCTTTTGGAAATGGACAGATTTCCAATCTTATTTGGATTTTATGCTGCTATTTGCTATTATGGGTGGAATATTAATGTATTGGTTTATAGATGTACCCATATTTGTGGAAATTGTTGGTTTCCTTGCAGTATTAATAGAGGCAATGCTTGGAATACCACAATTTTTACGTAATTTTTATAATAAATCTACGAGTGGAATGAGGTAAAGAAATAAATACATTCTAAATGTGTAACTGTTCTTGTTTTATAATCAATTTAAAGTAATTCACTTTGTAATTTTAGTATAACAATGGTTAGCATGTGGACATTAGGAGATCTCTTTAAGACTTGTTATTTTGTATTACGAGAAGCTCCAATTCAATTTGAGGTATGTGGTGCTCTTCAAATTATAATAGATATCGCGATACTAACACAAGTATATATTTATCAAAAGAATACATCAATGCATCCTCAAGTTATTACACGAGCTGATTAGTTAGTTAAAAATATATTATTAATTACGTTAATTTTTAAATACAATTTACCATAAATAATGAAACAAACTATTTTTGTAAATTTGTATCAAACTATCTTGTATAAACACATATGAAAACTAATATTACAATGTCCAAAAAGCATAGTTGTGTGTAAAGTTTTGACAATCATTCTAATACTGACACTTGTTTAATAGTATTATGTAGACATTAATCTTTTTGAATACCAAACTTGTATAAATTTATATTTATTATTATTTAATTAAGATATGTGTCTTAAATGTGTATTTTAAGTAAAATATGTATATACATATAAATATCAAGAACTGAATATATTAAGAACTTGTAATTAAGAAATAAAATAGTGAATTAGATTTTTCATCAATATAAAGAAATGAAGATTTTTGAGAAAATATTAAGAAATCAAAAATTATATAAAAGGAATATAAATTAAGTCCTTGTTTATATTCTGTATATTATATAATGTTTAAAGAATGATATATGGAAATGAGAAGAAGACAAATGATTATGAGTAATTAAGTCTTTCATATTATTGTATTTTATATTAAATTTAAATACTAATTAATGAAATATAATTTTTTTAAACATATTAAAAGTAATATATTAAAAACAAGTAAGAAATTATATTATGATTTTAAAAGTAATAAAAAATTCAAGTTTTGTAACTACTTTACTAAAAAATACATTAGTAATTGTGTACATCTATATATGAATGTATCCAATGTATATAAATGTATCTTGTTTTTGTTCCAATTAATACTTTGTTAATTTGATATGTTTTTATGAATACGAACTTTAATAATTCAATGATTTTAATTATTAACTTTAAAATCATTAAATGGTTTACAAAAACTATTTTGATAAATTTGTAATGTAAAATAATTCTGTAGAATATTCCGGATCTATTACTGAGAATAGATTAATACAAATACAATATTTTTCGTAAATGTTACATAAATTAGTACTTATATCACATTACATTTTAATAAACAATGAACATTTTTAAAAATTTTATATTTTTAAAATCGATATATTACAAGAAAACGGATACATGTAATTTTTTAGTTACATTTGCATTATTATACAATGCCAAATTTAACAAAGTTATCAGATACAATTCCTTAACTTATATCTAGTATTAAAATATTTTTTAAATACATACATATATATATATGCACGCATATTTGTCTCCATATGCAGAATAATTACGCAACTAAGATTATTATATTTCTTCTTGGATGAAAATAAAAAAATGATAGAAAATTAAATTGCAGGGTATAAATTCGTCTATGAACTTATTTTCCATCAAAATCAACCATATAGTTTCATTTGAACAAAAATGCAATTGCACTTTTTAATGCATTATTATACTTATGAAAAAAATAATTCTATAGAAAAATAAATTTTGTTATAATATTCGATTTCATTCTATACCATTTTTTTTATTTATACTCAAAAAAATAATAATGTTGTTGTTATTCACCCTGTATAACATGATATAAAAAATGTTTTTATATATAGCTTAATGATATACATAAAATGTCTTAAAGTACTATATATACTAGGCTCTTTTTTAATGATTACACGGTTCCAACAATGTTTTTTCCATTAAATAATCGATCCCTTTATTCTATTTGTGTTGTTCTACATGGAAATAGATAGTTTATATATTATGTGAGCCATCCTTTATATAAAAATGGTTAGATAATTTTTATCTATTTCCAAAAACAACCAAAATATTTAAAATAATTACATAAATATATACAAAGATAAATGGACAGGTAGATGATAATAAGTAAATAAATAAATAAATAAATATATCTAAAATATGTTATAAGACTTAAATTTACAATATTTGTTATCAAGTTTATTAATGTAAAATGTATTATATAATCTATTAATGTAAAATATAATAGCACAATATATACTGAATATATTGAAAGCCATATATTACTACAAAAATATTTATAATATTGTATTAGAGTGTAATGAGGCTGATGATTTTTATTATTTTATATATGTATCAATAACTTATAAATTTATTTTTATCTTTATATTAAATTGATAAAATATCTATTATTACTTCAATAAAATTGTAGAATTTCTATTATAGAATATGAATCTCGAGAACTGATATTTTTTATATAATCCATACTTGAAAAAAATAATACAACAGATATGATAACTGAAACCTTTTTGATAATTTCATAAATATCAACTTTAGTAAACAGTAATTCTGTTGTATTACATGCTTTATTCAAATTTGCTTATTAGTTGCAATTTTTAAGTATAATTTTACTAAAGAATTTCAAAAATTACAAGGCATTGAAGTTTCAAAATCTAATTTTGTGTGAAAATTATTATGTTGTTTCTTCTACTACTATTTATTCTAATATTATCTCACATTCTTAATAGTTTTATTAAAAGTGCATATTATATTTTCGATTTCTAACATATAAAAATAAAGCTACATTCAGCAAGTCGAGAATTATAGTATGTAAGTAAAATAAATTGCATGTTACTTTCAAAAATGTAAATAAATTTGTATAATTTGAAATATGGTACTTATAATGATACATGGCCGGATGATGTTTAATAGTCCTAATATATGATACAAAGAGAATTGTCTGAACTATTATTTATATAAAGATTAGATTCAGTCATTTCCAGAGCATAATATACAGATTGGAAGAGTTGTCTGTTTAAAATATTTATAGAATGTATTTCATAATTTTCATTTTTTTTGTTTTTTATGATAAATATGTATTCAAGCATATACATTATGTTCAATTATTAATCTCTAAGAAATGCAATATTGTTTTCTTACTATATTAAGATTTGCTTTCATATAGCTTTTTTTTTTTAAATTTGAATTTTCATTTTAATTAATAAAGACTGAAGTAAGAGTACATAAATATATTGCATTAGTGTACAACCTAAATGTTTATTATACAGGATTTTATTAGAAAAATGGTGAAATTTTAAACTCAAATAGCAATACAAAAATGCATATTATATGTAATATTTTGTTTTATTATATATTCATTTATTACAGATTAAATTAATATAAATTCAATAAATTTAAATGAGTGCACTGTGTCTATTGCTTTACATACATATAAATAATACTCTATTTAAAACATCACCATTCTTCTACAAAAATATTATATTTGTGACCCTGCTATTAGGTTTGGAAGGAATATGTTTCTAATATGTATTAGAGTATAATGTGATATTTGATGATGAAGTATGTGATATAAATATTTCGGTCATAATATGAAATATTTCGTATTTTCTACTTTAGAGATCATTCAATTAATATATTTAAATACATTAAGAAATGTACCATGTATTAATTATTACATAATTTTTAACAGTTAATCCTTTTTCAATTATGTTACAGTGCTGTAGATTTATCTAAGTCAATGAATAAATATACAAAATTGTTTGGCAAATATTATGTGAGAATACAAATGTTTTTTCAATATCATGAAAATTACTTCTATCAAGCACCTTAAAATTTGTACATATTTAAGCATGGACCTCCCAAATCTATTTATTAAAGGAAGTTCTTACGCGAATGAGGCAAGCTGCACAAAGCTCCTTATCTATAGGATATAATATAAAATGGACAAATTTTATTTCTTAACTGATAATATTTTTACTGTAATCTTGCATCATGCAACATTTTTAGCAATATATGCATATTATTAATTAAACATTTTTGAATAATTATAATCACATTTTTTTTATCAATAAAGAGAATGATATAATATTTTAAGAAAGATTTATGCTGCGGACCAATGTTCAGATCTCCATAAAAGAGTGTACATGTTATGCTTAAGATCTTCTACTTCTGTACCATTTATTGGAAAATCAGTAAAACGTGATATTAAACTTCTATAGCCCTGACCAACTGTTACTAATATAAGTTTTTTTTTATCGGTTGATTTAAATGAAATTATTTGACACACTTTACCTTCAAAAGGTCTAAATACTGTTATTGGCCTCAATGTACTACATTCAGCAACAACAATACAACCCCAAGTAGTGCCAATGTAAAGTTGATTCATATATGATTCAAGAGCAGTTATTTGACATTTTTCTGTTGTCAGATTCTCTTCTATAGAGATTGATTTAAAACTTTCCGAACAAGGAACTAACTTAGACATATCTAATTTATTTATTATTTGTCTAGAATCAATATCCCATTGATAAACAATACATCCAGGGTAGGTATATGATAAAATTGAATGTTCTGCACTTAATAAATATGTAGCAAATAAATTTTTCATAGCTGTATCTCCAGTTACATGTGAAATTTGAATTGTATCAATTAAATTAATATCTTTTAATATATAAATGGTTATTCTACCAAAACTTTGACCCATCCATAATTCTAATATACGTTTTTTTTTATATACTGCTGCTATAGAATATGTTTTTATATTATCATGTATATCCGTACTAATTTCTGTTTTTTTCATTTGTGTAAATGAATTAGATAAAAGAAATGTTTTACCACTGTGTAGTGCTATAGCAAATTGTTTTAATGGTTCCAAATATATTAAACCTACTACTTTGGATTCTTTGTTATGATCTGGTTCAAGATGATAACTAGCTACACAGCCAAAATTGTTTTCCAAGTATACATGTATTTGTCCAGTATTATCTCCAATCCATATATAACCATCTACTCCACACATAGCATATGGTATTACTGGTGTTTCAATTCTAATATGTCGTAACCATCCTTTTTGTGTTCCTATTAACATATCCACTTCACCATTATTATAGCCAAACCAAATTTCATCTCCATTTATATTTTCTTCTGAAATTGTATTTGTCATAGTAACAGCAGTAACTTGTGTTCTTTCTGTCAATAATATAACATCTATTAAATGAGTAAATTCTGGTGCTGATGCGATAGATACTATTTGACTAGCTGTGGGTCGATCTTTTGGGTTTTGAGCCCAGCAAATAACCATTAAATCAAGAGCATAACATGGATGAAAAGTTTCTCTATATGTTAATGGAGGTCTTCCACCTTCTAAAATGCATTCTTTAACTGCCTCATGTCCTTCAAATGGCTGTCTTAAAGTTATTAATTCATATATAAACATGCCAAATGAAAACGAGTCCACTTTTTCAGTATACTCTTCTTCTCCATTATATTTTATAATTTCAGGAGCCATGAAACCTTCTGTTCCTCCAAATCCTTTAGCACCTGTAGGTAATGTCAATCTAGATATACCATAATCAGCTACTTTTACATGTACTGGATGTTCTGGATGATCTTGAAATGGTAATGGCATTTGCCATACCAAAACATTTTCAGATTTTAAATCTCTGTATATTACGTGCTGTTGATGAAGATATTCTACAGCTTTCGCCACCTGAAGAATTATAGCTTGTAGAGTATATGGATCCAGTTTAGCACCTGATCTTCTATAATTTTTTAAAACATTATCTAATGCTCCTTCAGGTGCTAGATCTAATACTAAAGCTAATGGACTGATAACTATACCTATTAATGGTACAATATTGGCATGTCTTAAAGTCAATAATATATTTAGTTCTTGTCTAGCTGTACAATATGCTTTGCATGCATATTGAAGAGGATCTCTATCCCATTTACTTTGCGCAGCTTTATATGCAAGAATGGCAGATTGTTTTGAATTTGAACCTGGTGGAACAGGTTGTAACATTTTAATAGCAACATCTGTCTTAATATGTGTACCAGGAAGGCGGCAAACACCTTTAAAAACAAAACCAAATGCACCTCTTCCCAATAATTTTCCCCGTTTAATATCTTCTGATCTTATTAAATGTTTAACACCTAAATCCATGAAAATAATATCAGGTGCTACATGAGAGAGTGGTATATCTGAATGTTTGGGACAACTGATTGGTTTATTACTATAAGCTGCAAGAATACATTCCTCAACCATCCAAGAATATGTAAGTATACTTTCTGAATGGAAGTTTCTCCATATTTCGGGATGTCCTTCTAATGATGACATTCTACTTGATGTTAAACTATCATATCCTACGCCACTATCACCATCAGATTTGTAACTATCTTGGCTTTGTCTCTCACGATTTATATAATATTTATGAATATCTTCTGTTAAATGATCATTATTATCATGTATTTCATTTTCATAATCTATATTGCTAAGCAAACATCTAGGACAAGGGATCAGCCTTGTAACTAATAATTTTCCTTCAGAGGTATGTACAAAACGTGTACCTAAAGTTGGGTACCAATCTTCTAATAAAATATCAATATGATCAACTATTAAAGCTAACATTTGCGGTACACTTTCTGGTCGTGGTTCTACTGCAATTGCTTGGTATCCTACTGGTTCATCATCTATCGAATCTGTCATAATCGGTTGCTTAATAACAAGTGTGTCAACAGGAAACCAAATTTCTAAAATAGCAGAATTTTTTAAATCAACTGTACACCATATACCATCTTGTTTTAGTTTAAACTTAAATTGTCTATAATCGTAAGGCGAATTTTTTAAATTATAATTAACTTCTTTTAAACGCAATAAAGTAATTCCAGCATAACGTAATTCTATACCAGTTTGCCATAAAATCCATTCTGCTTGGATATCCAATAAACTTGCGAAAATATTGTCATCAACAAAATCTTTGAAAGGAGCTAAAAAAGACATAACAATCTCTACAATAGCATCATCAGCTAAGATTCTTGTTATGAGTCTGGACCAAAAGCCACTAGGAAAATAAGACATAAGAAGTAATCTTGTTACAGAACAGTCAGGTTGTGATCTAGAAGTTAATACACATTCTGAAGTTGCTTTTTCTCCTGCTACATTAAGACAAGTAATCATGGGCGATGTAATTTTTTTAGTACGCGCATACCAACTTCGTGATTTTACTGGAATTTTAATAATTTGATTGTTTCTTAAAACATCTTCTTCAGTTGGTAAAAGAGATGGTATGAGTAAAGTACGATAATCCCAAGTTAATGCAACTTCGAATTTGTTAAGAAGACTTACAATGTATCCTTGAGTGTCAATTGACGATATAGTTGAAGATTTAAAAACATGTTGAATATCATCTAATTTCATTATACCAGATCGAGCAAAAGGATTTATCTCTCTTATCGTAACTACATGGGCAAGCATATCGCAAAGCCATTGTGGATCAAGGAAATATAAATCTTTAAGTGTAGCATCATCATAATGTAAAATAATTCCATTTTCATGAAGAAAAAGAGTTGCTTGATGTAATTCTGCTGGATCTCTAAAAGATCTATGTAATTTTTGAAGTTCACTATTTACTGCAGCATAATATTGTTCAGCTTTTAATACAGGATCTACACCAGCTAATTTTCTGTCATGAGCAAGTTGTATTACAACGTCCTCTAAAGCAAGATAACTCGCAGGAACTTTTTGTTCTAATAATAATTCTTTACTTCCTGGAGATCTTAAACTAAATACAACATCATAGATTAAATTGCATAGCATTTTTATATTATGCCTAGTTTTACAACTCACTTCAACTGTTTCCATTACTTTTGGTAAACCACATTTTTCAGCATCAACAACATTAATGAATTTATCGCGAATGTATTGTTGTAGTTTTTCACTATGATCATATGAAATATCATAATGTGTACCTACTATGATTACAGGAGAATTAGGAGCTCTACTTTGAATATTTACTAGCCATTGAAATATTTCAGAAACACCTTTGAAACCATCAGTTATTCTCCATACAACTAAATATAAACTACGTTTTGAAAGAAAATATTGATGAGTGGCATAATATTCTCTTTGTCCACCAAAATCCCATGTTCTAAAATAAACTGGTCCATGTGAAGATTGTGTTCTTATTTTTTTCTCATATATCCAATCTCCGATATCAACTCCAACAGTAGATATAATTGTTCCTCTGGCAGTCTTAGCATTTATATTTTTATTACCCATTCTTTTAGCCCAATGTTCTGATGATTTCTTTTTATTTGGAACTTCACCTTCTTGTCTTAATTGTTCTAATAAGCTTGTTTTTCCAATTCCTTGAATTCCTACAATCATTAATTTCATTCGTGCATAAGGCTTTGCATCCTCAAGAATTGATTTTAAATAACCTATAACATCCATTGTTTTATATTTTTTAGATTCTATCATTGTTTTTAAAGGTTCTTGCAATCTACAACCTTGAGTATTCAAATTCCATAAACGAGAGAGCAACCCCATTTGTGGGGGTAATTCAACAACTTCAGTATTACCACTGATGTTTAAAACAGATAAGTTATTCAATTCATAAATATTTTGAGGTATTTCTTTTAATTGATTATTGCTTATATCCAGCATACTAACATTTGGAAACAGGAGATATAATTTAGATCCAGAATAGTTTGTTTTCATATCTTTATCTACACCTTCCTCGTCTATATTTGGCATTTCTCCATCATCTATTGAAGTTAATTGAATTCTACTCAATAAATTGTTAGCAAGAATAAGTGTTCTTAAATTTTCTAGTCGTAAATGCCTCCTATGCGTACATACAGACATAAGAACAATATCACGTAAAGATGTTGCTGTTTGTCTATTGTTAGGGATCATAGGTGATTGTATATTAGTAGTAGGACAATAACAAGCTGTGTTCGCTTGTTCCATTGAATCTGTACTATCAATTTGTGGCAAACTAGGCCAACAAGAAATTTGATTGTTTGATAAATCCAATTGTTTTAAACTGGCAGGATAGGAAGTAATATGACTCATTGATCTAAGAGAATTGTAAGCCATATTTAAACGGACTAAGCTAACAGCCAAACATGGTAATGCTACTGGTATGCTATTAAACAAATTGTGTGCTAAATTTAAAGATCCCAATAATGATCTAACACCAGTTTCTATATCATCTGAAACTTTTTCTGAAACTTGGATAGATCCTGTCCAAAAGTGTGGACGTTCCATTTCTATAATTTGAGCATTAGCTATTTTTGTAAACGATTCAAATTCTAGAGAATCATCCCGAGGAATACCTAATTGAGAAGTTAAACTTCGTGTGCTAGGACTATTGCTTAATGAATCTTCACGTGATGGCTTTTTTGAAATGTTTTGAGAAATTTGACTAGGCAAGTCACGTAACAAATTAAATGATGCATTTAGCTCTTTCAATTTAGGTGCGCGCCACAAATTTTCTGGAAGGCATTGTAATTTATTATTTGATACATCCATGATTTCTAGAGATGGTAAATTCATTATAAAGTCAGGTAATTGCTCTAAACGATTATCTTGCAAATATATTTCCTCCAAAACGGGACATAGTTTATCTTTTGGATTTTTTGATTCAGCTATAAGAATATCAATTTTATTTTGTGCCATGTTTAAGTATTTTAAACTCTGCAAGTAAAATATAATAGATGGTACAGAAGTTATAGAATTATGAGATATGTCTATCCTTGTAATAGCATATAATACAAGATCATTATTTTTAGGACTTAATTTTTTGTTAACGTGTAGTACAGCATCAATCAACCATTGTGAGCGAATTTGAGATAAATGACATTGTTGATTATGCCAATTTATCATAGTCGGAGTATTTGGAAATAAAGTGGAATAAGTAACATTACCGAAAGAAGGAAGTGCAGAAAAATGTGAAGTTTGAGTACAGTCTGTCATGGCTTTTTTATTAATTTTATACTCTGAGTCGGGATAAGCTTTTATAGATAATAGCTTAGCAGTCAAAGCCTCATCTCTGTTTTGTGCTGCAATTTTTAATGCTTTACAATCATTATCGACAGCTCCATGTTTTAATAAAAGATCAGCAATTTTTATATCACGATTTTGACAAGCTATAGTTAATACAGTAGAGTTGTTCATTTCTTGATCACCATGATCATTAGATATTTTAGCTGATAAATTTGGATTAGATCCAGCTGATAACAATGCTGCTACAACTTCTGTATGTCTAGCTTTTACAGCAGCATGCAATGCTGTTTCAGTACTGTTATTGCAATATAAATCTATATTTATAGGACTTATCATATTATCATCCTTTTTATCATAAGACTTGCTTCTAAAATTCAAAGTAGACATTAACCTTTGAATTCCACTAGATATCTTTCGTTTGGATATAGGCAATGGCTGAGTAATTCCTGCATCTTCTTCTTTTATCTTTCGTGCATTCACTTTATAACTTAATAACATATCCACAATTTTAATATTTCCCAAATTACTAGATATGTACAAAACATTTTGGCCTGTAGCATCCTGAGTATTAATATCAAATGGCATTTCATACTCAAATTCTCCAGGAGTGTCTCTATATCTTTGATATAGATTTTGTGGATATTCAAATTTTAATAATATATCAATAACCAAATAATGACCATTGAGAGCAGCTGCATGAATGGGCAGCCATTTTTCTACCGTAAGGAACTGTATTTGATTAGGGAAATAACGAAGAAGCATTTCCACAATTTCTACTTTACCATTGTGGCAAGCTATATATAATGGGCAATATTTAGTAACTGGATGTATTCTACAATCTGCACCATTATCCAAAAGTAATTTAACTATATCTTTGTGGCCCATTTCACAAGCAATAAAGAGTAATGTATTTGCACCATTTGGAGCCATATTAATAATTGATTCCAAATCAGCTGACAAACTTTGAATCATATTTCTAGCTGCCACAATATCACCTTGAATGCAAGCAGCACGTAATGAAGCATGAGATGCATGTTTTGCTAATTCATATCTTTCAGCAGCCAATTTAAGTAAGTTAACACATATATTGTTTTTATATTTTTCTGCTATATTCAATGGATTTAACCCATTGTCATCACAGATCATTAAATCAGCATTGAATTCCAAAAGTTTTTCTACATTAGAATTATGACCATGTTCTGTGCAAATATGTAATGGTGTACGGTAATGGCCTCTAGGCCCACATGGTATATTTGGATTGGCACCTGCTTTAAGAAGAATATCTAAACATCGAGAATTCTCTGTTATGGCTGCAGCATGTAATGGTGTTCTACCCCAAGAATCTTGACTATTTATATATTGAGCATGTTCACCTCTTAATAGATCTTCCAACAATTCTGCATTATCCCAAAGGGCAGCTTGGTGAAGCAATCTTCCAGGAAAATCTTCGTCTATAGGTGTATAATCATCCATAATGGAAACTATAAAATGACAATTATATTTTTAATACCTTTGATTAGTTTACGTCTAATAAATACTTTAAGATTATTTAAATATTTATGTTTATACGTTTATACTTACGATTATATTTCAATACTTTTCAAAATGTTTTATTCATATTTCCTAGTATCATTTGCTCTATAATAATATATTTTAATGAATTTATTATATTAACAATCATAATTTATTTTAATTTTATAAACATAATTTTGTAACATTGCTTCAAAATGTTCGCTTTATTATTTTTATATAAGATATTTTTTATATAAAATTGAGTATTTTTTATATATGTATACATGGATGTCTATACACATATATCTGGAATAAAAGATGCTTATTTTAATATTTCATTAGTATTCATTATAAAAAGTACTTATACAATTTTTCATTTATATTCATAATTGTTTACATCTTAATAATTAATTATATAAAATTCTTTTGTTTCAAAATATGTAATGCATTCATTATTGTGATTTTATATGGAATTATATTCATTGATGTATCTTTGAAATAGCACTGCACTTTTTGTAAAGTTTACTTGCCGAGAAATCTGTCAAAATAGCACTTGCTTTTCATGTTATTTTGTGAAACAATGTATTGATATTCGATTTTAAAACTTTTTAGTATTAAAAATCACATTAATTTGTATAAACTGTCAAAAACATACGATAATAAATCAATAATAACAAGGAATTTTGAAATTCATATATAAGTTGATTATAACACTAAAATTACGACTTGAAACCGCCATTTTGTAACTTCTTTATCGACTGTACCTTAAAGATATTTTACTAAAAAAATGTTTAAAGATATATATTACAAATAATTTTGTCTATAAATAGACACATAATTCGTATATATATATTAAAATGTATGTAAAAATATATATCATGAAAAAAATTTTAATATTGGTGTATAAATTTAATACAATCAATTAAATTATGTAATCAGCCTTAATTATATAGAATATTTTTTTCTGATATTATTGAATTACCAAACAAGAAACGTCAGTATCTTATTTACTTATTTTATTTGTTTTATATGATTAAAATCATCTAATTTCGTAGATTTATAAATAATTAAAAATTGTATTTTTTATTATTTTCTTGTTTTATAATTTATTTAACAATGAATTTCGATTTCCCTTAATTTAACATTAGAAAGTGTTAATGTAGATATCAGACCTTGATCTGAATATAACATGAACATCATGAATTTTTTACTTTACTATATATTTATAATTCATTATACATTCAAACTTCTCTGATTTCAAAAACATTTTATCATATTTAATATTGCTTTGCAACTATTACATTTGTCTTATTTTATATAAAAATTATCTAGATATTTAGAAAAACTATATCAAGTTCATATAAATATGTATAAATATAAAATTTTCAGTTTGGTTATTTTTTTAATTTTATTTAAAAGTTACAATAGTAATTCTTTTTATGAAATTACTATTGTTCTGCTTGACAACCTTCAAGATTTAATGCTCTTGCTAAATTTCGTGCCACTGCTAAACGAAATATTTCTACTTTATCTGCAAACTTTGGATCATCACCATGAGCTTCAACACAACGTAATAATTCAAAGGAATCGATGGATGATAAAATAACATCTTCACTTTCCAAAAGAGGAATAACATCTGTGAACAGGATTGACCAAAAACTGGAAAATAAATAATTTCCATTCTATAGATTATTTATCGCAACTTTTATCATTAATATTACATTTTGTACTTACTATCTTGGTGTTAAATTAGAAACTATTAGAGAAACTAATAAGCTAGCTGCTTCTTTGAATTCACCAATACTATACATTTGATGAAATTCACAATATTTACCTAAAATTAGATATTAAATTCTCTAATTAACAGTTTCATGAAGGTAGATAAAACGATAATTTACGAAGTTAACGTTAATGTATTTACCTAAAAATGTAAGTCTATCACTAGCTAACATACAAGGTCCTAAATTCTCGAGTAAATCACGACACTCTAATTCCCCATTTTCTGCATAATATTTTAGAAATTGATTAGCAATATATGTTATGAAACCACCATCTTGTGCTTTTAATGCCCATGATAATGCATTTCCAAGTCTTTTCTGTCTAATGCATTTCACACCTTGAATTTTACATATACTAGTAACTGAAATATTCAAAAATCATAAAAATAGAAATTATTTCTAAAATATACATAGAAAAGTAAATTTCAATTTACCTATATGATTTATGTTGCTATCACGTGCAATATCAATAATTTTGTTTACCCTTGCTTCTGAACCCATGGGTAATGATTGTAATAATATTTCTAATCTTGCTAAACCTTGAATGGGACAATGTATTAAATAACTAGCACCACACTGCCATAAGGAATGATGTCCCATTAAAGTGGTAGCATACTCTAAAATAAGAGATTCATGTAACTGTGCTGTAACACTAAAAAAAAAAAAGAATATAAAATTAGATGATATTTTAAGTGTAAAAATTATAAAAAGCACTTACTTCATTTGATGTTTATCTATAATATTTAATTTTCCACAATTAAACAATAGATCTATTAAATGAGCTGCAAACCATCCATTATCATTCATACATTGAATTTCTTTAATAACTCGATGAAGATCATTTTCTATTAAAGCCAAAATAATATTATCCAAAGGTTTATTTGCTTTCCATTTTTCTGCTATATTATTTGCATGTCGTGTAAGCTCAATTTGCTTACAACAAGGTACAGAGTAGAACAATTTTGCAGCTAATAATTCATACCAGGCCTCTGTATATTTTGAAAATTCCCATATTGTAGATTCATCTCCAACTACTAACTATGTATAATAAAAAAAATGTATTCTTCTTAAATAGAAAGAATGACTTTTATTTAAAATTGTTACCTTCATAAGCATTTCCAAATTGTTATCAATAGCAAAAGTTTTGCTATCAATGTTTGAAGATAAATCTAACTGCCAATGTTTCCAACGTATTGTGAACTCACTCACTGAATAACCACCATAAACATTATATATAGGCATGGTTTTAATCATATTTTCTGCAACGATAAAAGCTGGATGGTCTGCTTTGCTATGCATTGACAAAAGTGCACGTACTAAATCTGTTTTTCCATGTAATGCACAACCTATTACTACTTCCCAGTAATATATATATTCTAAATCAGCAGCAATACATTTTTGTGATAACATTTTTATTGCTTTAAGTTCTTTTGATGGAAAGTGAAATTGAATCCACTCCAACAGACATGGTAAAATTACATTACCTAACAAAAGAAGAGAAACAATTAGAAATTGAATGCTTTTACACTATCTAAACGTTATATAAATAATATAGATTCATTACAATTTACCTGGAATATTATCGACATATAAAATTTCTGTTAAGTGCCATACACATTCTACATTATAAAAGATAGTAAGAAAATTTTCTATTGTTGTTTTATTTTCGGATAATGATTTTTCTGCAATATCTTGTAGACCTTCTACACATGCTCTTAAAATAGAACGATATTGCTTGCTATGTTTCAATAACTCTGGACAAATATCTCCGGAAGAAGATGACTTAATTTTATATATTGATAAGAAAACTCCATTACTTTCATTAACAAGTTTACGCAATGGAGGAGAAAACAGTATTACTTCAGGTCTTAGAATATGTATTTTAATATTAGATGTAATAAAGGTACTTTTTGTATCTAAAAAATAAACACTAATATATGATAGGTAGAATTTTACAATACATTTAAAATCATACGTAAATATTATTTTATCTACCTTGTGTACGTTTATTTATGTATTTGTATGCATATAGTCCAATCTTATTTGAATTAATCCAGCTTGCCGCAGTACCTACTTGTTTACAAACTTCATCTGGAATAGGCTTTAAAAGTTAAACGTTATTATCATGATCAATTAAAAATTATTATAATGGTAATAATGATATTATTGTATAATAAGAAAATTGAATTGTGGTTATGAAATTGTATGAATGGTAAAAAATATTAACTTACTACTTCGATACTATCAATGCCAGCCATAATTTATAAATGTATTCCTTATCAATATACACTATTTATATTAATCAATAATTAAGTTTACTTGGCATTCAAATTAAATATAAATGTGTAAATTGTCCAATGGCGCCAATTTCAAAGTTACAATCATATAATCAAAAATTATTTTACAATAAAGAAAGGTAAATGAAAATAAATATATGTGACGACCAGTTAATCGTCTTGCTAAGCCGCCAGATGTCGCGTAGATCCCACTTTTCTTGGAAGTTTTCAAATTTCAAACAGGAGAAATTTAAGATAAGTATTATTTGATATTTAAGCTTGTTCATTACTCTTGATTTTATAATAGTTTACTCTAAAAATGAGTACAGGCATAATTCCTGAATGATTTTGATGAATAAAGTCTTCTTTTAAAGATAAAGGTTCAAGCAAGGATATGGCTTAAAACTACTGATTTTCTTTTAAATGCTAAAATGGTATATATTCTGTTTCCATGAAGTAATGATTGCTTCCTTATTATAAACCAATGCTCAGATTTTCTGATCCATTTCAAACACGTTACATCATACACGAAGAAGCACATTAACTTATTCAGGCATTTTAATGAGCTTTCGACTAATAACTCTATGGTAAAAATAAGCAAATAGCAAATAAGCATAAATAATTTAGTCGTTCATGCTAATGGATCTTAAGAATAATATATAATTGTGCAATAATTTCATAATTATTTAAACGATGTATAATGTACACGTACAATAAATTAAGTACATTAAACTAATATTTAAACAATAATATACATTTTATTCATTCGATATAGGTCATAATATACATTAAATATAAAATAATTTTAATTTAATATTTAAACATTTAAATTTTCTTTCAGAGGCATTTTTTAGGGGACAAATTGAATTCGATTTAGGTACTTTGATTTTGTTAGGATGGGGGCGATCAACATCCACACCAGTTTTTTAGTTCCTTCGTTTCCAACCTCGACTTCTCATCGAAATTTTGATTTATCATAAATAGATCGATCAATCAGCGAGGATTCAATAAATCGGCTTGGTTTCAATTTATCGTTGATGGTTCATTTTATCATTGAGAAATTTAGATTTTTACACAAGGACAATAATCTTATTCATGAAGTGTGGGTTGTTCTATTAGAAATTAAAGCTTTAAATTGACACAATATATTATTAGATATCTATTATTAATAGTAAATTATCAAATAAAATAGCATATCATGTTTACCTTATGTAAAAGCATTGAAATAATGATTATTAAATAAATAAAAAGTGTAATGAAAATAACAACTGATTTTATTCACATTTACCATATATATAAATAGGGATAATGTTTTATTTTCTATTTATTTAGCGATCGTTCTTTCATATCACTCGTACATAGACACATTATAACATCTTTTATTTGATAACCTATTAGCATTATACTTAATCAATTGCTGGAAGTTTCAATATTTAGGTGAATAACATACTTACGTCTCTTGTGTAAAGTTTCCGATTGCTATTTGGTGTCATCTTTTGATTAAAACAAAAAAACGTGTAGCCATTATATACGGTGTGTGAAACATGCAGTATATTTTATAGAAGTAAAAATTATTTTTGCATTTTTGTGTATATAAATACATATACATAAACTTTTACATTAACATTGAAATTATTATTGAAATGAAGAAAAATTAAATAGAGAAAATAAATATAATAGTTTTGTCTTGAAACTATGGAAATCTATTTAGACAAATTGAGTTCCGTTTGTATGACGTCGTTTATTTAATTATAGAATTTTTTCATCAAATATTAAATTACTAAGAATTTATGATGGCACAACAGTGATAGTTTCCTGATATGAAAAAAATTGCGATATAGTAGTACTTATATCATACACTAATGCTGTGAATGCATATATGCGTGTCTAGGTGATGTAATTTCAATAAATCTGCAGTAATATTTTGTTTCATTACACTGAAATTCATTATTTTATAACAATGTCAGTTACGCTACATGAGACAGTAAGCCATGAAATAATTACAAATATTCTAATAATTAGAAAGAACTCAGAGTTTTAATGATGATCCGCTCCACATAGGCTTGGATTGTATTCATAGATGCACTGTTGTTTCCCATTGAAATGTAAGTATGGGCATCCTTAATGATTTCATGGCATTCTGTGTACCAGATAGTCATTGCTTTTTTCTGAAGCAAAGACATACTGTTTGACAGTGACGCACTAAAACTATCAGCAATTTCTTATGATGATATTGTTGGCTTAGAAGGCAAACAGAAGTAAGAAAGCCATCATGAGACAAAATAATCCCATAGCCTCAGATAAAGCAAAACCTAAAATAGCATATGAAAACAATTGCTGTTTTAAAGATGGATTCCTAGCATAACCAATAATGAGGGAACCAAATACAGATCCAATTCCAGCACCTGAAATAAAAAAATATTAAATTAATAGATATGCAATATTTTTTTTTTTAATGAAATAAATATATATTGTATATTGTAACAGAATGATGTTAACATTATAACTTCTAAAGGCATACATACATTTAATCACATATAATGAAAACACTGAATCAGACTATGTACATAGAATAATGACATGATACAGATAATTATGGACTTCATTCTTGAATAAGGCATATTGTCAGGAAGTTTAAAAGGCAAAAAGGATAAGGAATGCCATCATTAGACAAAAAAGCCCCATAGCTTCAGCCAAGGCAAATCCCAAAATAGCATAAGTAAAACATTGCTGTTTTAAGGAAGGGTTTCGTGCATAACTCATTATCAAGGATCCGAAAACTAAGCCAATACCAACAGCTGTAATTTAAATATCTATGTTAAAAATATTAGTATTTTGTGGATAATAGATTAATAAATGATGTTTAACATGATCTGTGTTAATAATAATGATATATGATACATGTTTAAATTTTTAAATTAAGAGTAAAATTAAGCACATAAATTACTAAGAATATAAAGCTTATAATACTCATTTAGGGATTGTGACAATTAAGGATTATTTTATTGTAGAATAAATACACACCAGATCCTGCAACACCAACAGTTGCAGCACCAGCACCAATGAATTTGGCAGCAGAATCAATATCACGTCTGACTAGGGAAGTTTGGAAGTTACGCACCTGTGACTAAAAAAAAAAAAAAATAAAAAAAAAAAGTAAAAAAAATATTACAACTATAAGTGATAAGTAAGAATTATATGTATCTAGAAAACAATTTCAAGGTTACATTATACTATATAAGCAATAATCAATCTATTTGTATCTTATAAGCACAGATCTCACTTCTGCTTTATTTTTTTCAATTGTTATGTAACTTTCTAAAAATTATCTTTTTTTATTAATATTTTATCTATTCTTTTAAATTTGATCTATTTTTCCAAAAAGTAAGAAGTACTAAGATAAGAAATCACAAATACTATGGTTATTCATTGTACAATTTGTTGCATAATATGTACTAGTAAATGTATTAATAGTTATAAATATGATTATTAAATATAAAAATTCTCATTTTCTAATGAAATAATGACTTATGTAACTTATAAAAGAAAAGTTATGCAATATGTAAAACAGAATTTACTTACTAAATACACTGGTGGTTGCAGTTGTTTTTGCTGTTGTAAAGATTGGCTTTGACTGACCACACTGCTCAATGGTCGAAAATAGCTCTTGGTTCCAGAAACCAACTGAAAAAAGATTAAGTTTAAGAAATACCAAGATTATATAATATCAGATTTTGAATTTAACGACAAAATGCGAACGATTCTATACTCACAGTAGACCTGGCAATGGGAGCGATGAGTCGAGAGCAAGCGTACATGATGACGTTCTGTATTGCGCGGCTTTACAAGTGCCTGAAATGAAAAGATGCGAACGATTAAACTTAATACTTTTTCGATATGAATTTTACATTTCTAAGGGCTTTTGTCAAAGATGAACAAATCGACCAGATCAATGCGGCTGGTCTGTTAGTAACGAATTATTGAGAGGGAGGGAGGGATGGAGAAGGAAACTGTTACGTAACGCTTAAATCATTACATGAGGAACATACAAAAAAGTGGATCATGATTAATTTTATTCAAATATATGAAAACTTTATTAATTATACGCGGAACATGAAAATACTAATTGTCGAATGTGCCATATAGTAATGGAGGATCTAATAAAAAATGGCTGTTTTCTACGACTTCTTTTGCTAACTTTATACTTCGACTTTTAAGATTATAAAATGGAAGTCATGCTATATTTGGAATTTTTCTTTGATTAATGCATTAACGTAATATTTAAATTTCGAAACTCTTACCACAATAGTAAATTTCACTTTCTTTTACTCAATATTTAACAAGCACACGGTCGGACTTACCAATGAAGAGTGCTGAAGAAGCGGTAAGAAGACCCAGCCTTTGGAATGTTGAATCGGTGAGTGACCCGTTAACGGAACACCCTACAACCAACCTATGTCGACTGAACCTACGAACGAACGAAGTAACTTCCGTGTAACGACCCACTCGCTGTTCCCAATCACCCGACTAGCGTTATCGACCAACCGAATTTAGCCGAACAGATTTTACGTCCGCAATAACTAATCAATACAATCACTAAGTATTATTTCCATGTTTAGTAACAAGCACAAATAATACAAGTTCATATTGAAACAAAAATACTCACGGTTTCTTTTAGTAATTGCTTATATAATTTGAGTTTCAATTACAATCGTTAGTAAATAATAAAAAATATTGTTAATATTCAATTTGACTAGCTTATTCTCAATAAGCATTCACTATGAATATTAAGCTTTGTTTACATTTTTTAGAGTACTAGCAATGACTTCATCCAGTTTACTACTAGATGTCGTGTAAATCTCATCTTTGTAAATCTGATTTGTTGTATTAATCAAGAATTCATTAATAAGGATGAAAAGTAGGCCTTGAATTTAATTATAATAAATGAAGATCATGATGATGTCAAAAATAAGGGCGATCATGGGAGAGAGGATTAAAAATGATCACGGCTGTCAATATAATGAAAAACCAGTGTTATGTTTGATGCCGAAACAGTTGAGTCATTAATTCTACTTCCTGCCAATATTAGCGCTATTGTCTATTTCTAATGCGTAGTCGGTAACAGAAGAAGTAACATAAAAAAATTCTGAAATCTCTACTGAATTGTGGACAAATTCACATTTCTTCTTAAGTTTACGCTAAATCCTTTCTATAAATTTATATCTAACATAAAGTTTTACAATATCAATATATTCGAGAATTGAGAACCTGTCAAAATTATCAACCGACATGTTTAGATCCTATGATTGATATAATAACACTTCATAATTAATTTTCTTACGAAAATGAATACATCTTTGGAATATGCAAACCTCAACAATAATAAAGCTATTAAATATACAGGTAGGCTATTCTACTCTTTAAGAAACCTAACCTCACATATCATAATGAAAACAATATTGACTGATACTTCTAAATCGATTAAATAATGTATTCCTAATGACATTGTAAATTTATTTCATTTTTTCATTAAATTTAAATTTCAACAAATTGTTTATATTAACGAAATATACATAAACTACATTTTGTTGTATAATGTGTATATATATATTTGTTTTTTTACTAAGATCAATAGTGTAGAATTAATTTATCAGAATATTTATATACTATTGAATGAACTTATTTTTAATGTTTTATAATAATAGAGTCATGGAACAAAGCAAAAACAAGGCATAATCAAGAATAAAATGGATTCATCTATCTCATTCTTTTGCAAGTAATGAATAAAAGTAGTTCTGCATTTTTTAACACAGACATTTTTAAAGAATCTACAAAAATGACTAGCCAATTGAATATTACAATACGACCTGAGGGTCGTTTGGATGCAAAGTGGTTAAAAACCGATTTACAGCGTTTTCTTTGTCGTGATGGATTAGCTGATCTTTGGAATGAAATGATTAGAGATGGAGAAATTATAGGACCTTTTAGTGATGGTTTAATTAATCGTGCAGGAGTTCTGGCTAAAAAGGGTAAAATATATTGAATACCAAAGTATATAGATATCCAAAAGGATATATTATTTTACAAGATTTTTATTAACTTTAGGAGAAAGTGGACATTACTATTGTGGAATGAAAGTATTGTCCTGTCTTTGTTGTGATGGTATTTGTGGCCCTCAACATGGATGTAATTGTGGTCCATGTCAAAAGATTGATAGCGAAGAAGCAGCAAGAACTACATTACTTATGGAGAATACCATGCCTGCCCAACAACTAATAGATTCATGGATATGGGGCCTACAACCATGTAAAAAAATTTATATTATTATTTTCAAATATGTAATAAAGATTAAATAATACTGCATAGTAGTTGATATTATCATACATAATAAAATTATATATGATAATATTTATATATCTTTATTTTTAGCATTGACTGATTTAACAGAATGCATAGAATTATTAATTAAGGAACAAAGAAGATTATGTCATGAAGTTGCAAATAGTACTTTATCTGCAATAAGATTAAGACAACGATTAGTAGTAGCACGAAGATACTTTACTGCTTTATCCCGAGACAAACCACAAGGAACTAAAGAAGTTCTTACGACTGTAAAAATTACTACAAAATCACAAAAAAAGTTAAGTATCAATATTTGATTATGGATGAACATAATATGTATAAATGAAAAATTATAAAAAAAACAAAACTGACAAAAAGATAACATATTTTTTAGTTTACAACCCAATGAAAAAGCAACACTAGGCTTAGCAAGAGTTGGTACACGTGCAGCTCTCAATTTTTCTTTTGCATATCTAAGACGTGCTTGGAGATCTGGAGAAGATGTGGAATTTTGCAGTGAATTACTTTCTGAATCTCTTGAGGCTTTACAATGTTTGCCAGAAGCTACTCTTTTTGATGAGAGTAATGTTTCTCAAATTTGGTTGGAAGTTGTAGAGAGATCAACCAAATTTTTGAAACAAGTTGTTGTGGGGTATATTTTATAAATTATTCTTTATACTTTTCTTTATATTTTTAGAGTAATGCAATTATCATAACTTGTATGAAACTTCTTTCTTAGAAACGTGATTGGTGAAAGATCTTGGCATCCAATTCCAATTGCTGATCAACACACAGCTTTATGTTTGCTACTTGAATTAGTCATCCAAAGAGCTACACTTTCAAACTTGCTGGATGCAGTAGTCCTTTTATTGCAACTAAGTGGAAAAAATAAAAATCAGGATAATAGAGTAATGCCACCAGGAAGTTCAGCTCCTCTTATTCCTATCTTACGCAGATTGAATATGATTCCGTCATCATCACAATTTTGGGAATTTGATGAAAATCTTTCAACTAATCCCTGTGAGGTATTATTGAGATATTTGAGACTACCAGATGATGATTCAGTATTTGTGGATTTAAGAAAAGCTGCAGTAATTATAATGTGTAATTTAAGCAGATTAGCTGCCCCCCTTTTACCACATATTACTGATATATTTTCAAAAAATGATAGACGAATTTTTCAAGAAGCAATAGCTTGGGGAAGCACTACATTTGGTGGAAGTTCTCCATTTTATTCTGATACTGTTGCAGAACTAGGCATTAAACAACTGTGCTATACTGAAGAAGCATTATTAATATTATCATTGAGTGGTAATGTTTACATGATGGATTGTAGAACAGAATCACAATATCCAGAAAAAATATATGGTTTTTCTGATAAATCAATAATAATGATAGCTGCTCATCCTGATGGTAAGCATTACTTGGCTTTAGCACAAGACAACACAGTATATTCCTGGGGAGATGGTGATGATGGAAAACTAGGCCATGGTGATGAGATAGCATATGATGAACCAAAAGGAATAGAAGCTTTGTTTGAGAAAAATATAACGTTCATCACATGTGGAAGTACATATTCTGCTGCAATAAGTTCCAATGGTGAATTATATACATGGGGTAGGGGAGTATCTGGAAAACTTGGTCATGGTAACACTGATAATGTCCTAATACCCACTTTGGTAACTACTTTAAATGGACATACAGTGGTACATGTAGCTTGTGGCAGTGGTGATTCTCAAACATTATGCGTTACTGCCTCTGGTATAGTGTTTTCTTGGGGTGATGGAAGTTATGGAAAACTTGGTAGAGGTGGCTCAGATGGATCAAAGACACCCAAAATCGTGGATAAATTGTTAGACATTAATGTTATAAAAGTATATTGTGGTAATCAGTTTTCTGCTGCTTTAACTATTCAAGGAGAAGTATATACATGGGGCAGAGGTTACTCATATCTGGTAACAGATTGGTTGGGACATGAAAATGAAGAACGTCTCAGATATCCAAAACTTATTGAAGGATTGAAAAACAAAAAAGTTAAAGATTTAGCTTTAGGAAGTTCTCATACACTAGCTTTAACAGAAGATCATATGGTTTATGGTTGGGGTAAAAATGATTATGATCAAATTGATAAATCACTAGGTAGTATTGTTACCGAACCTACACTATGTCCAGCATTATCTGGAAAAATCGTAGTTGGTATAGTTTGTGGACCTACACAAAGTTTTGCTTGGTGTATTTCAGCATTATCTGTTGCAAGTAGAGTAGCCTTTGTTGTAGAAGTTTGTGAAGAAACTTTCAAATTACTGGATATACTTTTAGCTAAATCTTGCGAAGGATTACCAGGTACACGACCACCTACTCAAGATCGTGAATGTTTAGCTGTAGCTACATTGAATTTATTAAGATTGCAACTTTATGCAATGATAACACACAAAATTGATAACAAATCTGTTGGTTTATCCGGATCCACCCTATTAAATTCTTTAAAACAACGATGTGTTAATCTTGCTAGTGGTTCTGGAATTTTAGCTACTATACAAAAAGCAGCTCAAGCAGTACTTCAGACTGGATGGAGTATTCTTTTACCAACTGCTAATGAACGTGCAAAAACGCTATCGAGTTTTCTTTCAAACTCAAGCACCTTAGAAGAGTCACATACTAATGATGGTCACCTATTTATGGCTGATTTATTAATATCCAGTTTAATGGCAGATGGTGGACTAGAGTTAGCATTAAAAGCCGCGATTAAAGCAGAAATCACAGATTTGTCGGATGGCCAAGAATTTTTGATGGGTTTAAAAATCGTTAAAACCGGTGAATCAAAACAAACTAAAGAATTCGGCTCGGAGAAGTACAACGTGACAATATCACTATTCCAGTTAATAAAACAGTTGATCAGAAATAGCAGCTTTATTACACTCTCTAAATTTCAAAATTTGCAACATATGAGTGGAAATGAAGAGTTACGTATTTTAGATAGACCACCTAGTTTAAACCTTCTTCTTAGATTTCAACGTTTACTCATAGCACAAGCATATGAATGTATTAATAAGTCATCCACAGAAGATTTACAAGATCAAGAAATGCTTGGAGTGGAATCTCTATTAAAAAAGTATATATCTCAAATCTGTGATCATGTAATTGAAATATTACCAGTAGCAGCTGAAATAGCTGGTAGCAGTATTAAGCGATTTGTCTTAGTTATGTCTATTTTGAAGAGTGATATAATAAGTACATTACTGCCTGAATTAATAACGTGTCTGATACTTTTACAAGTAGATTATCCTATGTTGCTTCTTAATATGAATTGGATGGAAACTTTAACCCCTGTTGTAGACACATTAGATCGATTTAATAAATTGACACCAATTATGGAGAAAAACGATGCTGACGACTTGTCTTGGCCTGGTATTATTGCTCCACAGCATGGCTGCAAAACCCCGATTCAAGATGAAACTTCATTAATACGTTGGGCTGATTTAGAGAATCATAATCGTGATGGTGGTTTATGGGTTGTTATAAATAACAATGTATATGATGTTCAAGATTTTAGATACGAAGGATCATGTAATTTTCAAACTTTGCAAAGATTCGTTGGCCGTGATGCTTCACCATTGATGCGTGGTATGATGGATTCGTGCTACGTTGGTCAATACTGTCAATCTGAACCAGAAAATACACATATTACCGTAGAAATGACGGATATGAGTTCGATTCTTCTTGATGCAGAAAGAGCTGCCGGTTTTCTATTAGGATTACATGCTTACAGAATGCGACAAAGCTTAGCATTACAACCTGCTGAAAAAGAAGCTGGTATATGGCTTAATACAAATTTCTTAAGAGGTGGATTACAAATATTACAACCTCCTAATCCTTATGAAGAAGAAAAAAGTGAAGCAAGAAGTAATAATTCAACAGCAGCAAATACACCGACAGAGCCACCAATTTTAATACATACAAAAAATGAGTCGCAAAAAATGACTGTTGATAGAGTTACTGCATTTATACAAGCATTAGCAGAGACTCATAAAACAGATGCAACTGTTCAAGCATTTTTAACTGTAATTGATAGATATTCCAAAAGCAATAATCTTCTATCTCATACTGATTTTTGTGGTGATCATCCTGTAGAAGAAATCGGCCGATTACTTATGGCAGTCATTATAAAACATCTTGCTCTCGGTCACGAAGCAATTACATTGATAGATCAAGAATTAACAAATAGTGGCAATACAGAATTATCAAAACCATTGTCCGATATGGTACGAGCGATTCATCAGACAAAGTGGAACTTCATAAGGATAAGACAACAACAAAATCGAAGCTATAAAGAAGTTTGTGCACCTGCACAAGAAAGATGCAGATTTTTATTATATGAAGTTAGACCTGCAACGAGTTTTGAAGTTAAAGGATTACAAAATTTACCACTGTTGCATATTTTACCCAGGTTTAAAAAAATTGTACAAATGGTGATCGCTGATATTCGACGAAATAAAGATTCGGTTGGAAAACCTGAAGATATTGTAAATGCATCAATACAAAATGCAAAGTCAAAAAATAAGCCTGACGAAGATATAACAGCAAAAGAAACGATTACTTTGACAGCATTATCTCCAAAACGAGAAGAAGTATTCAGTACAAAGAATGGCATAATCAACGTATTTGAGAAATTAAAACATAAGACTTTAACTTCTGATTTGTCTAGTCTTATGACAAATATTATAAATTTTGTAATTACGGAAGATGGAGGCGATGTGGAAACCTTACGACGTGCAATGTATTGTCAAATTCAACGTGCAAAATTGCGAGAACAAGGTATAATTATGATGCAAGAGTTGGTAAAGAAAGATCACTTAATAACATCAGTGAAATATTCTTTACTTAACGGTTGGCTCGGCCTTACATATGAGAATCGATTTCTTTACGACGGAATTACTCATTGTTTACATAATATACAGCTTATAACTCCATATCAAAAATCAAAAATAATATTAGCAGAAGCTGAAATTACATCCTGGGCTGTACAAACGTTACGTGCTTATGTTGTTCAGGCAGAATTGCCAAATAAACCAACAGCTAGCGGTAAGAGTAGTTTCAATCAAGGCACATATACATGTTTAAGGAAATTACCAAGGGCAAGATTTTTATTGACTATTCTAGGCATGCTAACTAATTATTTACATGCTAATGAAATTGGATTATTGATCAATTCTGGTTTATTATCTAGCATTTTAACATTAATGAGACAAATTGGACCTTCACTTCAAACTGATACCTTGAAACCTAAAGAGGCAATGGCAATATATGAAGATGCTGTACAAAAAAGTAAACCTCCCAGTGTACAACTTAGTGGAAAGGAATTAGCAGCATTAATGAAAATCGGTACAAGAGTAGTTCGTGGAGTCGATTGGAAGTGGGGAGATCAAGATGCACCACCACCTGGAGAGGGCAGGGTAATAGGTGAACTTGGTGAGGATGGATGGGTTAGAATACAGTGGGATAATGGTACAACGAACTCATATCGAATGGGTAAAGAAGGTAAATATGACCTGAAATTAGCCGAAGCATTAACACCACCTGAGAGTGACAGTGACAATGATTCACCTGTAGACACGAATAAGATCGACAAAAGCAATGTAAAAGATATTCATCCAACGACATGTTTAAAAGTTGCGTCAACAACGTTACTGCGCATAATGTTACTATCGTGCGGCATAGAAGGTAGCAAAGTACCTACTACTTCGATAAAAATATTGGCCTCCGTTTTACGTGGTATTACTTCGTCTGCGAATAAACGCGATGTTACAACGCAGACACAATTATCAAAAGAGCATTATGAGAATTGGGCTACTCTCAGCATCTTAAGAGCGATTGCTAAATCTCCAAAATTGTGTAAATCACTGAGTACTTTAGCATGGGTGGATTTTTTACTTAGTATTATTGCTAATGAAAACAATCCAAATCTTGAGAAACAAATCATGGCAGCAAGATTATTATCTGCAGTTTTACCATCTTGGCCAACTGGTTTTGTAGATATGTTACCTTTCTTAGAGAAAGTATTCAAAATATTGGGACAAATAGCTCTTACGTGTAATAGTGGGTCGAATTCTGAACTTCATTCCAATAAATGCCGTGTATCTTTAACAGCATCTCATACTTCTACCATCGCCGAAGAACTTATTGCTTTAATAAGATCTTTACACTGTCTCTCAAATTGGAATTCAAGTGTGAATATGTTCTTAACATCAAAGCTTTCTTTAGCTTCGGATTTACTGTGTGACGGTCCTCTTTTTCATATACAAATAAATGAAAATGGTGGTAGCAATAGCGCTAACATACAACAAACCGTTATGGCAGCACTTATCGTTGTTGGTGGATTGGATGATAGACCAAGAATTGGTGGTTTAGTAGAAGTCGATGGACAAATAGGTACTGTATATAAATTTATACAACATACAAAAGTGCTCGTACAGATGCATACCTGCGGGACTCGAAAAAAAATACCGTTTTTTGCATTGAAATATATTAATGAGCCATTTCATTTAGATAAGATGAATATGTCGGATTCATTTTTATCCACATGGGCTAATTTGTTTCTTGGCCATTATGGTCTAGAAACACGACCGGGTAGTATACCCGTAATCACTGGTGTAGTTAATGCTTCTGTACTACGTACGCAACAACAACAATTAGCAGCTTTAGCTGCTGGAAAGGCTATGCTAGCTCATCAAGCAAAATTAAGAAAAGTTTTGAAATCACATATCAATATTACTGACGATGATCGTTACAGTACTCTTCTTCAAGATATGTTAATACGTGCTACGAAGCCTCAACCACTAAAACCAATATTCAAACGAAAAGAACTAGAAGAAGCTGCACTAGCTGTATCTCAATATCTGACATCGGAATTAATGCATTCACCTATTCAACGAACAAGCGTTACCTCAGATCCTACCACTTCTACTTCTGATTGTTCTTTAGCTTCTTTTACTTCGAGCCAAAAAAGACATTGTAAGAGTAGTAAGCGAAAAAATTTTCCACCTGTAAATCCACTTGTCACACAGTTAGTGGAAATGGGTTTTCACAAAAAAAGCGCTGAATTTGCTATTAGGAGTCTTAGTGCAACAGAAGGCAATGTTACACCAGAAACTATTGTAGCTTGGTTGTTAGAAAATCCAGATATTGCTTTAAGTGATACAGAGACATTATCAAGTTTCGAAGGATTATCGGATTCTGATGACTCTACAAGTGAAGATGTGGAAGATTCACCGTCGACGCATGAAGTAACTTCAATGGTAACACCAACATATATGAAGCGGTCAGATTTTCTTTGTGTCGACGAATATGCAATATATATTCGTGATAACGTTGTACCAGGCATGTTAGTGAGATGTTGTAAGAGTTATGAAGAAGTTGAATATGGGGATGTTGGACAAGTTATAAAAGTTGACCCAGAAGCCTTACATGATTTAAATGTTCAAGTTGCTTGGCAACGCAAAGGTGGTACATATTGGGTTAGATTCATACATATTGAATTACTTGGTCATCCACCATCTTTACCAGGTCCACCCGCATTAAAAATTGGAGACAAAGTTAGAGTGAAAGCATCGGTAGCTGTACCTAAATATAAATGGGGTTCGGTCAATCATCAAAGCATAGGAATAGTTACTGATATTACCTACAATGGAAAAGAAGTTTCTGTAGACTTTCCTCAACAAAGTTGTTGGACTGGATGGGCTGCAGAAATGGAAAGAGTACCGTCTTGTCATCATTTGGTATCTTGTAATTCATGTCAATTGTCACCAATCTCTGGTCCTAGATTCAAATGCAAATACTGTGATAATTATAATTTATGTGAAAATTGTTTCTACACGAAACGCTCTCATCGACATGGTTTTAATAGAATTGCAGAGCCTGGGTCTGCAGCTGTTTACGCTGGAAAACCTGGTAGATATCACAGACAAGACCTTTTAGAATCATCTTTAATTGAAGATTGGTCGAAATGTATTAGAACGTTAAGCGTTTCCTCCAGAGATAAGTACGCATCACGTCTTGTTGATGGATCTGGAAGATACTGGCAAAGTTGTGGATCCCAAGGAAAACATTGGATACGTTTGGAAATGATGCCCGGAATTCTTATACATTCTTTGAAAATAACCGTAGATCCGCAAGATAGCAGTTATGTGCCTTCAGTCATAGCTGTTAATGCAGGCGATTCTTTCAGCTGTTTAGTGGAATTGGCAACGATTAGTGTTCGATATACTGACACTATCGTGACCCTTTTGCAAGATGTTAAAGAATATTATCCATGCATTGAGATCGCTATAAAACAATGTCGAAATGATGGCATTGATTGCAAGATTCATGGACTCCATATCATAGGACGAAAAAAAATCAATGAAAATCAGCAATTAGCCACCTCAGTTTCATTTCTTGCATCAGATTGGGAAGCTGCACAAAAGCAAATTACATCACAATGCACTGGAGAAACAACACAACAATCCGCTGTTTATGTATGGGGTTTAAATGATAAAGATCAACTTGGTGGATTAAAAGGATCAAAAATTAAATTACCAATATATAGTGAAGTTCTTTCGAAATTAAAACCGATTCATATTGCGGGTGGTAGTAAAACTCTTTTTATTGTCAGTCAAGAAGGAAAATTGTATGCTTGTGGCGAAGGAACTAACGGTAGATTAGGTCTTGGAGATGACAGTAACGTATGTGAACCAAAACTTATACCATTTCTCAGTCAATACGTGATAAAAAAGGTTGCTGTTCATTCTGGAGGAAAACATGCTCTAGCATTGACTCAAGATGGAAAAGTTTTTTCATGGGGTGAAGGAGAAGATGGAAAATTAGGACATGGAAACTGTGTATCTTTGGATAAACCAAGACTCATTGAAACGCTTAAATCAAAAAGAATAAGAGATATAGCTTGTGGTTCTGGTCATTCAGCTGCAATTGCAAGTAATGGAGAACTTTACACCTGGGGTTTAGGTGAATATGGAAGATTGGGCCATGGAGATACAGCAACACAATTAAAACCAAAATTAGTAGAAGCTTTAATAGGACAACGAATAATTCAAGTTGCTTGTGGAAGTAGAGATGCCCAGACAATGGCTCTAACAGCTGATGGTACGGTTTATTCCTGGGGCGACGGAGATTTCGGTAAACTTGGTCGAGGAGGAAGTGATGGTTGTCACACACCGTTATTAATAGATCGATTGAATGGTTTGGGAGTAATACAAGTTGAATGTGGTGCTCAATTTTCTTTAGCTTTAACAAAATATGGTGAAGTATGGACATGGGGAAAGGGAGATTACTTTCGATTAGGTCATGGAAATGATCATCATGTCAGAAAACCAACTTTGGTTGAAGGACTTCGTGGTAAGAAAGTAATTCACGTAGCTGTGGGTGCATTGCACTGTTTAGCAGTAACTGATACAGGTCAAGTGTATGCTTGGGGAGATAATGATCATGGTCAGCAAGGAAATGGTTCAACGATTGTTAATAGAAAGCCATCTTTAGTAAATGCATTAGAAGACACAAGAGTAAATAGAGTATCCTGTGGTTCTAGTCATAGTGTAGCTTGGGTATTAACTGATCAACCTATAACAAGTAATCAAGAACCAGTTACTTTTCCTACTGCTAAAGATCCATTGGGGCAAATGTGCTTAGGATTTAATAATACTATGGAATCAAATACTACTACAAATACCAAAGATGCTAGACCATCTCTTTCTAATATAATTTTATCATTGGAAAGCAATGTTGCAAAACAACAGGCGCTTCAACATGTGATAAATGCTTTACATATAATGCAAGCTCGAACAGTTATAGTAATGGCTTTACAAAGCCATACAACATTGGCAAATTGTCCTAAAACACCCATGTCAGATACACCGCCGGAAGGAACAATTACTAGTAGCGTCGGTCATACAGTTTATCAAAATGTTGGAGACATAGCACAAGGAGGTGGAGAAGCTCCTGCTAATGCTGTGGAGGCTGCTAATGTGGTGACAAGCCCAAGGACTTCTCCAGATTTAGATGAATATCCATTAGCAATGTTTCCTTCTATGTCTAGTTCAGCAAGTTTATCTTCACGAGCTTCTAAAATGTCGACTAGTGCAATGAGCGTCATAGCAGCAACATTAACGTCGAATGCGCAAGTAGTAGGAGAAGGAGTTACCACAGAATCTGGTTTAGATGAATTTACATCAACGTTAACAGAAGATGATGCAAGAATGTTAGTAGATCTTTTAAAATTGGCAGTTGCTAATAGAGTTGATAAAGGTGCAAAAGAAATAATAGCATCAACTTTAATATCTCTTGGTAGAGTAAATTCTACTATTGGAAACATGCTTTTAGAACTTTGTGTAACGGAATTAGAAGATACCACCGCCAATTCTAATTGTATAAGTAAAGCACTTCAACCAGTAGTTCAAGAAACACCTCATCCTTATATAAATGATACAACTCTAACCGGTCATGTGAAGATTCCTGGTGCAGAAGCTTTGCGAGTAGAATTCGATCGACAATGTTCCACGGAGAGAAGGCATGATCCGCTTGCGATTATGGATAGTAATGGAAGAGTTGTTGCAATTAGATCTGGCAGAGAATGGAGCGAATGGGCAACTGAAATCAGAATACAGGGCGATGAATTAAAATGGAGATTCTCTACAGATGTTTCTGTAAATGGTTGGGGTTGGCGATTTACAGTACATCCTGTTGTGGCTACATTAGCGGCACACGAATTAGGTTCTGACAGAGCGGTTATGTCACAACCATCGATTGCATTAGCTGAGTGTCTTTTGGATAATAATTTAATTAGTTCTGATAAAAACATCGTTACACGATTAGCGGCAACTTTAGCACAATGCAGTCAGCTCAGTATTTTAACTGCACAGCAAAGAATGTGGGCACTTAAAAAATTACAAGTAGTTTATCTCAGTGGACCTGGTATACGACCAGAAGTTGCATTATCGTCGTTATTAGGTTCTTTACCTCAAGCATTGTTGAGACAATATACATACGAAGATCCTGCTGTTAGAGGTGGAAAGCAATTGATGCATAGCGATTTCTTCAAAGTTCTTATTGCACTTGCTTGTGATTTAGAATTGGATAGCATGCAATGTTGTTCTGAGATTCATAAGTGGTCATGGTTTCGAAGGTATTGTCTTGCTGGTCGAGTTGCAAAATCTTTAATACATCGCACTCCATTACCAAAAGCATTTTGCATTGAAGTTACTAAACGAATTAATGAGATGGCTAGAGATGGAGATTCATGTTCTAAAGATCACGAAAATCACGAGCTTTTTAAGCAAGAACATGATGAACAATTACTCCAATGGTTAAATCGCAGACCAGAAGATTGGACATTATCATGGGATGGTTCTGGAGCAATTTATGGTTGGGGTCACAATCATAGAGGACAATTAGGGGGCTTAGAAGGTGCAAAGATAAAATTGCCTACACCATGTGAAAGTCTTTCTGCATTGAGACCAGTACAACTAGCTGGAGGTGAACAAACATTATTTGCTGTTACTGCTGATGGTAAAGTCTATGCTACTGGTAAGTATAAAAAACTAGATATATTTTTATAATTATCATTTTGAAACATTTCAATACATTAATTAATCAAAATGTTTAATTTCAGGCTATGGTGCAGTAGGACGTCTTGGTATAGGGGGAACAGATTCTGTCATTATCCCAACACTTCTAGAATCAATTCAACATATATTTATTAAAAAAGTAGCCATTAATTCTGGTGGAAAACATTGCCTTGCATTAAGCTCTGAAGGTCATGTATACTCCTGGGGAGAAGGTGACGATGGTAAATTAGGCCATGGTAATAGATTATCGTACGATCGACCGAAATTAATTGAAGAGCTTCTTGGAACAGAGATTATAGATATAGCTTGTGGTGGTCATCATAGTGCTGCTATTACAAGTGCTGGTTGGTTATATACTTGGGGAAAAGGTAAAAGTGTATTTATTATAGAAATTAAAAACTACCAATAAAAAATTTCTTTTTGATGAATATAACATTTATTTTGGTATAGGGCGATATGGACGTTTAGGTCATGGTGATAGCGATGATCAGTTGGTTCCTAAAGTTATTGAAGCTTTGCAAGATTGTAAAGTTATAGATGTAGCATGTGGAAGTGGTGATGCGCAAACACTTTGCGTTACAGACGATGATAATGTTTGGAGTTGGGGTGATGGAGATTACGGAAAATTAGGTAGAGGTGGAAGCGATGGTTGTAAAGTTCCAATGAAGATAGATTCATTGGCAGGGCTTGGAGTGATCAAAGTTGAATGTGGTAGCCAATTTTCAGTGGCATTAACTAGATCAGGTGCAGTGTATACATGGTAAGTAGGAAAATAAAAAAAATTTTTTTGAAGAAAATGATAATAGGTTTGCTTGTTTTTTTTATAGGGGTAAAGGAGATTATCATCGATTAGGTCATGGCACAGATGATCACGTACGAAGACCCCGAAAAGTAGCGGCACTTCAAGGAAAGAAAATAATTTCTATAGCCACAGGTTCCTTACACTGTGTTGCGTGTTCTGACAAAGGTGAAGTTTTTACTTGGGGTGACAATGATGAAGGTCAACTGGGTGATGGAACAACAAGCGCTCTTCAAAGACCTCGGCTAGTTCATGCATTACAGGGTAAAAAAATAACGCGAGTTGCATGTGGAAGTGCTCACACTCTCGCGTGGAGTACTACAAAGGCTACGCAGAGCAGATTACCAGTATCAACACCTATGGAATATGATTTAGTGAAAGATTTTCAATTTTCCGTGTTACATAATAGATTAGTACTTTTACATCATTTTGCGGAATTATTGTGTCCATCTTTAGCAATGTTCCCTACTACTGGACATATTGGTCTCGACAGATTAGCTCCAATGCTAGTATATAGTATTAAAGAAGCAACGTTCCGTAAAGTAGTTCAGGCTACTATGGTAAGAGATCGACAACATGGGCCAGTAATAGAACTAAACAGAATACAAGTAAAAAGGGCACGAAGTAAAGGAGGCTTGGCTGGTCCAGATGGTATTAAATCTGTCTTTGGACAAATGGTTTCCAAAATGTCTTTACTAACGCAAGATGTACTCTTTTTACCACATAGAGTATGGAAAGTAAAATTTGTCGGTACGTAGTACAACAACAATCATTTGTAATGTGTAGTACATACAAAATGATTCTAGTCACATCGATGTTATTGTTGATAGGAGAGAGCGTAGATGATTGTGGTGGAGGCTATAGCGAAAGTATCGCCGAGATGTGTGATGAACTGCAAAATGGTTCGTTGCCATTGTTTATACCCACGCCTAATGGTCGAGGCGACAGTGGCACAAACAGAGACTGTTTTCTATTGAATCCTACAGCTAATTCAACGTTACATATGAGCATGTTTCAATTCTTAGGTATTTTAATGGGTATAGCAATAAGGACGGGTAGTCCATTGAGCTTAAATTTGGCAGAACCTGTTTGGAAGCAACTTACTGGAGCATCATTGACACCAGCAGATTTAACAGAAGTTGATAGAGATTATGTTCCTGGATTGTTATGTATACGGGATATGGATCCTGATGAAAAAGTCTTTCAAACTTTGGAAATGCCATTCTCAACACCATCTGCTGTTGGACATGATATACCATTATCAAATAGGTAAAACAACTTTGTATTCATAATTATAAAATAAACTACTTCTATATATTATTATTTTATATGTATGTATATATTATTATTTTCCAGAATACTATTTTTTACTGTCTATTGTTTCTTTCAGATACCTTAAGATAACACCAGAAAATCGACATGAGTATGTTAGATTAGCACTCAATTATAGACTGCATGAATTTGATCAACAAGTTGCTGCAGTACGTGAAGGTTTATCAAAAGTTGTACCTGTCCCTTTATTGACCTTATTTAGTGGAGCTGAATTAGAAACTATGGTGTGTGGTAGTCCAGACATACCACTTAGTTTATTAAAATCTGTTGCAACTTATAAAGGTACGTATAATTATTCCTGTGATATAAAAAAAACAATTGAAAAAAATTAATAATATATCTTGTATTAATAAAATATAACGATATGAAATATTAATCTTAGGCATTGAAGCTACAGCACCTCTTATTCAATGGTTCTGGGAAGTTATGGAGGAATTTTCTAATCAAGAAAGATCTCTTTTTCTTCGCTTTGTCTGGGGTAGAACTCGTTTACCGCGAACAATTGCTGACTTTAGAGGCAGAGACTTCGTTTTACAAGTGAGTTTTATCTTCTAATTCCACATTATATAATTTAACAAAATTAATGAATATTAATTGTAACTGATTATTATTTAGGTGATGGATAGATATCATCCACCAGATCATTTTCTTCCCGAGAGCTACACGTGTTTCTTCCTGTTGAAAATGCCAAGGTATTCGTGCAAGCCAGTATTACGACAAAAATTAAAATATGCTATCCATTTTTGTAAAAGTATCGATACAGATGAGTATGCTAGAGTACAAGCAGCAACAAACTCAGACACAGAAGATACTGACAGTCTCGCCAGTGAAGAACACACTTCACTTTAAGATAGTTATTATCAATATTTATATTTCTAACGAGTTTTTGTGGTACTCTTGAAAGTATGCACGACTTTCATGACAAAGTATTTATTTTTTGTATTAATACATAATGCCATATAATTCACAAAAATCATTCACAAAAAGCTTTTATAATAAGAGTTATACTTGATAATTATGAAATACTACTTGGTAATTATGAAAGTGCACATTGCAAAAATTGAAGACACCATAATATGTAACACATATAATAAGTATTCATGAATTCAAGCATTTAATGCTAATAATTCCTTGAAAGTTGATGATATTGTTAAATGTATCTAGATTACAATAATACAATCATCACCTTTAACTAATCTTAAAAATACTCTCATATGTAGATAATATTGTTGTATGTTTATTCTTTTTTTTTTGTAATTAAAAGTGTGTATGCTAAACCATAATGATCAGTGTGAAAAAAAACTTGAATGCATGATTGCTAAGAAATTTTGTTATTAAGATATGAATAAATTTGTGCTAAGAACAATCTTAAAAATATGGATATAATATATGATTCCTAATAAATAAAAATTAAAATAATAAATTATTTGACTATTAAATTTATAATAAGATATGTTATTACATTAATAATTTCATTTATGATTTCAATATCCAAAGATAAATAATATATCACATGAGATGTATAAAAATTTCGAATTAAGTATTTTAAAAAGATAAGATATATGTTTTTCTAAAGATGAGACGAAAAAAGTGTTATCTTTTTTTTTATACGTTCACTTTACTTGATAACATTTTATGTACTAATGTGATAAAAGCTGTGTTGTAATTTAAACATAACAGTTTGATAACTAATATTAAGTATCTTATACAGGGTGTAGCAATTTTTATTTTGTATTCAATTTACTTTTTTATAGTATTTGAAAATAATATCATGAATATGTTATATTTAAAAACATAAACATGTTAAAAATTTAAATAGTAAATTACTGAATAAGAATGTAATTCAGTATAATTTTATTTTTGTGCATGTGATACGATATGAAAAAATTTAATGATCATATATTTGTATTTATTTATTATTGATTATAATCATACAATCACAAAGTGTATCAAATTAGTACCATTGGTAATATAATTTCCAAAAAATGTCCAGTATGTATTTGTACATATAATTTTTTTTGAATAATCCTGTATTCCAATAGTTTCATTATTATTATCAACAAAAATGATAAATTCACAATAAGAGAGGCATTACCATGAGAAGTGATATTATGAATTACGCCAGAACAAAGATCCATATAATGCTAGTTATTATAGATTAATCAGTTCCAACTTGTATTTACATTTTCATACTACAAGAATCAAGGATATCAAAAAGAAATGATGATCCGCTTCGTACGAAATAAGGTACCAAATATCCAAAACAATTTTTAAAAAATTTTAATGGAAATATTATTAATACATATGATTAATGCTTTTTAGTTCTCAAATTGGTCAATCAAACAAAGTAGATATATGTCAACAAATTTATCTATTACAGCATCAGAAGTTCAGTTACCAGAATTTGCAGATGTTATAATAATTGGTAAATTCATTATGAATAATAACTATACTAATTTAAGAATATAAAAGAACAATTTGTCATTTGTTCATAGCTAAAGAAAAAATAAAATTTAATATTTTTCAGGTGGTGGTAGTGCAGGATGTCATGCTCTTTATCATTTGGCGAAACGTGGGATTAATACAATACTTTTAGAAAAATCGAAATTAACTTCTGGTACGACATGGCATACTGCAGGTCTAATATGGAATCTACGTGGTGTTGATGATATTGAAATGGAATTACTAAATGTTTCTATCAATGTACTCTCATCTTTAGAAAAAGAAAGTGGCATTAACCCAGGATGGATAAATAATGGTGGTCTTTATATCGCTCATACTAATGTAAGTAAATATGTTGATAGATATTACACTATAATCTTTTAATAAATTATAGTCTTTGCAACTAATATCTTAAATTGCATGTAAATCATTATTATATATATTAATGTTTTTAAGAATTAGAATTATTATATAGGAGAGAATGGCAGAATATAAACGCTTGGTTACCACTTGCAAAGCATTTGGTATTGGTGCGCATATAATTTCTCCTAATGAAGCAAAAGCAATATTTCCACTTTTAGATGAAAAAGTTTTTCAAGGTGCAATTTATTCTTCAAGAGATGGAACAGTAGATCCTGCTATGTTGATTAATTCCTTGTCAAAAATAGCAAAAAATTATGGTTGTAAGGTATTCTTACTTAAATAATAATTATTTTATATTTTTATAGGTTTTATTAGTTAACAATTAAAATAAAAATTGATAATATAAACGTATAATATTTTAGATAATAGAAAACTGCCCAGTAACTAAAATATTAACAAAAGAAAATATATATGGTTTGAAACAAGTTTTTGCTGTAGAAACACCATATGGACAAATTAATACTAATATTGTACTTAATGCTTCTGGAGCTTGGTCAAATGACATAGCTAAAATGGTAGGTTTAAATATTCCATTAATACCGATAAAACATGCATATGTTGTTACTGAAGCAATAGAAGCTGTTAAAAATTTACCGAATGTAAGAGATCCAGATATCAGTTTATACTTTAAAGTACAGGGTGGCTCTATGAGTATAGGAGGCTATGAAAAATATCCTAGTATGCTACAATTGGTGAGTTTATAATATAATATAATATGATGTCAAACATATTATAATAGTATAAAAATGTATTTAATTTGTATATAGGTACCTAAGGATTTTGCATTTAGTTTATATGAGTTAGATTGGAATGTATTTAATGTACATATGGAGTCAATGGTTCAATTAATGCCAAAACTTGCAAATACTGGTATAAAAGCAACAGTTTGTGGCCCAGAAAGCTTTACACCTGATCACAAACCTATTATAGGTATATATCTTAAATAACATAAGAAGATTCATAATTATTCATTTAAGATAAATATTTTTGAAAGGTGAAGATCCACGTTGTTCAGGCTTTTATTATTCTTGTGGATATAATAGTGCAGGAATGATGTTTGGTGGTGGATGTGGAGAACAGGTAGCATTATGGATAATTAATGGACGTCCTGATAAACATATGTTTAAATATGATATTCGAAGGTTTGAATAATAAATTTTTATATACAAAATTTGTCTCATAATACATTTTTATTGTTTTAGAATATGTTAAACAAAAACATTTTAAATTTAAAAATTTATGTTTGAAAGATTTATACCAGAACAAATGAATAATTTAGTTTGGGCTACTGAAAGATCTCATGAAGCTTATGCAAAAAATTATGATGTGGCTTTTCCTCACGATGAACCATTAAGTGGCAGAAATCTCAAAACTGACCCTTTTCATGATGTAAGTTATCTTAGAAACTAAATGAAAAAGTTATAAATCAAAAGGAAATATGTATTATAAAATAAAATATATATATTTCAGCTACTTGTTGCGGAAGGAGCAGTTATGGAGGAACGTCAAGGATGGGAGAGACCAGGATGGTTTCTAAAAAATAAAATAGTGACTATTTTGCCTTATAAATATGACACAATGATAATTAAAGGAAATGATGAATATAAGCAAATTTTAGAAACAGAATGTACATTTGACTTTCCCCTCTATCATAATACGGTAAATGCGTTATATTTAAAATGTATGGTTAATTTTTAAATAATTTTAAAATTAATATAAAATTTATAATATTTTTATTAGATACAGGAAGAAGCATTGGCCTGTAGAACTAATGTAGTACTGTTCAACATGTCTTATCTTGGAAAATTCTATCTTTGTGGGCCAGATGTACAAAAAGCTGCAGATTATCTTTTTACATCAAATACTAGAAGAAATTTTAATAGAATAATTTATACTTGTATGCTTAATCACAAAGGAGGTATAGAAGGAGATTGTACTGTTACTAGTATAGAACCGGGTTCAAGTGGTATTGTTGATCCTATATTTAAGGACAAAGCATTTTACATAGGTAATCTTTACATAAATCTTAATTATTTAATATCTTTTTTAATATTTCATTTGAAAAGTTGTAAAACTTAATTAGATTTCATTAACAACAGTTTCAAGTGGATTATCAACATATCAAACATGGGCTCATATTCATAATGTTATAAAAAAGAACAATTTTGATGTTATGTTGCATGATACTACAGAAAAAATAGGCATTCTATCTATACAGGGCCCTAAAAGGTAAAATATTACGTAAATTAAGTTATTTTGTATATAAAAATATCATACATAGTATATATCATAACAAGCAATGGAAATCTAGCCAGCAAGTACTACAAACACTGATAGAAGATGAATTATCCAGTGAAAATTTTCCATATTCAACTAGCAAGTTAGTACAAATAAAAAATGAAACAGTACGTATATTCAGACTTAGTTTTGTTGGTGAAAATGGTTTTGAACTTCATATACCAAAGCAATCATGTAAAAAAATTTATGAAACTGTAACTGAAGCTGGTCGAAAGTATAAAATGAAACTAGCTGGATATCGAGCATTATATAGCTTAAGTTGTGAAAAAGGTAATAGTATTGATTATATACAATAAAATTATAACAATATCTTAACTTTATATTTTATAGGATATCATCTGTGGGGTTCAGATCTAAGAATAGATGATAATCCTTTGGAAGCAGGTTTAGAATTTATTTGTCGCAAAACTGGTACATATTTAGGAAAAACAGCAATTGATCAACTTTATACAAATGGAATCAAAAAGAAATTAGTACGTCTATGTCTCAATAGGTAGATATAAATGTATTTCTATAAATTGTTATATTGATTTACCTGTTGTAATAAATTAAACAATTTACATTTTTTAAAGCAATATTCCCATGTGGGGATTAGAGACTGTATATAGAAATAGTCAATTAGTTGGATATGTAAGAAGAGCAGAATATGGCTACACATGTGGCAATAGTATTGGACATGCGTAAGTTTATTATTTATTACGACTAGTACTTTTATAAAGAATTATCTTTTTATATATATTCTCCTTTTTTAATTTTTTAGATATATTAAACATCCTAATGGAGAAAATATAACAAATGAGTATTTACAAACAGGGATTTATGAAATTGAAGTTATGGGAAAAAAATATTCTGCAACATATATTTAAAAAGTTCATTTGATCCTCAAAATAAACAATTGTAAGGCATATGCTAAACTTAATATATAGTTTTACATATGATAGACAACTATACTTTTTCGAACGCAGTAGACTGTCTAGGTCTTTTATACTCGGACCTGATTTTTTATTGTTTTAAGTTTTGGAAAAATTTGAACAAATTATGAAATATTTATCAGTCTTTTCTTTAAGCTACAATTATTCATTAAGTCAAATGTTTAACATATTTTTTCAATAAAAATAAAAATTCAAAAGAGAGTCCGAGAAACAGAAATTTGTTTAAAAATACATAATCTTCAAATAAATAAATATTGAAAAAAGTTATTGTAGGGTTTTACACATAAAATTACGACTTTTCACGAAAATAAAAAGAAAATTTGCAAGATCTTTGAAAAGTATAATTATATTGAGGTCACAAAGTAGAGAATTTTTGTAACGATTAACGCAATAAGTATGCTGAAAGCAAGATTTTTTAAAATAAATAATCATTTATTAGTGAAATAATACAAATATATATGATATTTTATTTAAGTAGAAAAAATAAAGAATAAGTTTATAAAAATATAAAGTCAACATTTATGACGCATAATCAGTGCAACAACATATAGGGATTTTGCATATTGCTCTCTCGCATAAAGTATAGTAATGCAATATTTCTTTATCTAATTTTAATAGATACATCGTGTACTGCTTACATTTGCTAAGTATTTGTACAGTTACTACTCCATGATATTTTTTACTATATTTACAACATAAAGGACATCGAATGTAAATAATATCGATGTCAGTTAAAAAATCTTAAAAATATTAGCAACCAAAATTGCATCTGGACTCAAAAGTGAGCTGCATAAAAATGTAAGTATCAATATGATAGATAATTTTTTATGAAGAAGGGTTACTATGGAACAGAAAGGCTATATGGAAATTAATAGAAAAAAAGAGATTAAAATTCATAAAAAAATACGTTAATATGCCAATTGAGTTCTGAAAATGAATAATCTTTACAGGTGAGAGCAAATTTGATATCTTTGGCTTTCATGAATCATTCATAGTATGAGAAAAAAAAGATATATATATAGAATTTGATAAACAAAACTTGTAATCCACTGTAAATCATGATGGAAGATTTTTTTTAGTTTGGGAATGTGTAAATATTATTGGTGTTGAATCTCTCCATTTTATTGACAGCATTATGAACTACAAAATGTATATTGATATTTAAAAAAATAATCTTTATCAAAATGCAGAGAGAATGAGTTTAAAAAATAATTTCATCCTTATGCAAAACAATAATCCGAAACACAATGCTATTAATATACAAATGTGGATCTTATATAATGTTTGGAAATACCCTCACAGCCACTAGATATAAACATTATTAAATATATATGAGATCATTTGAAACAAAAAATATAGTTTCACCATATTTTATTAAAAATTTATTTAAAGAGAGTACTTCTAGAAGAGTAGGATAAAATTTTTAATTTCATTACACAACTTCAAGCTATAATAAAATCAAAAAAGAGAATTCTACCAAATATTAAAATAATTAAATTAAGTGATCTGTTGTATTTTAGATAATAAATCTTATTAGTTTTTTCCATTAAACAAATTGTATGAATATTTACTATGCATATATTTTTACTATTCTCTGGATATTTATTAATATTTTCATAATACATATAGACATCGTTCAATTTTTTGTACGAAAATTATTTTGGATACTTTTAAGAATATGTATATAGTTCTTCTTTGTTAAAATTTTATTAATAAACGAAGTTCTACAATGTTTTTATTGAAATGAAGTACTGCATTAATATTTTTTACACTGGATATATCTAAATTGATATTTTTTAACAATTGTAATTTTTTGATTTTTCAATCAGTTAGATCTTTTTGGATCGACAATACTGTATGTATTGAAATTATTAAAAAAATTAAAATTAATTATTGAAAAACTTAAAAAATATTTTACGAAATAATTATAATATATAAACAAAATGAAATATTTATTAAAAAAAATCGAACAAGTCTATATCATATACTGCTAAAGATTTGTTTAACATAAACAAACTGATTATCGTTTAGATAAATTATAATCGTTAGCAAACGAACAAAATTCTAACCATCTTTGAAGAAATTCATCCGTTCCATAATACCAACTACGTACTGGTATCACAAAGAGCTTTCAAAGAAGATAGCAATTTATGTAAAGCAACGCCATCTAAAAAGTGAAATGACCACTGCGAAGATCAAGTTATTGTTGAAAATTATATTGAATGTGCATATTTTAAAAAGCATAAAAAACATTTAAAAAAGAAAAATAAATTAATAGAAATAATTTTGGTATGAAAACATATAATATAGAAATATTTTTCTTATATAGTATTTTCACATTGTTTAATAGGAGATTACGATTGCATGCGTCGGCCATCTTACGAATTTGACTTTGGTGCATGGCTAAAGGAATTTTCATAGCAGCGCCGCTTTACATCTGCGGAGTCCGTTTACATCTTCCTGCTGTGAGTAACGGTTAGGCGAAAAAACATTAACGAACTCTCGCGATACGCTTCATTCTCCTTAAAAAGCGGAAATCGTGTCCGGTGATTCTGAAAGTGTGCAATCTCATCCTTTATTAAAATCGGATAAAAAATAAACGCAATCTAAAAAGTGCGTACGCAACGACAAAGTGACAGCGAAATCCGCTCGAGTGGCGTGTCTGTAGAAGCGACTCTGTTTGGGCCTGCATGACGTAATTGTATTGATCGCAGAAGAAGAGCCGAAAGTCGCGCATTCGCCATCTTGGACGAATTGTGGAAAAGAAGTATCTGTGTCTCTCAGGCGCGGTACAATTGTTGAGACTTGAGACTGTAATCCGTGGCGATCCGTGTATTGAGTAGTTTTAAACGGGACTTAACCCCTTTGTGAACTGGCAACCCATTTGGACGGACCAAGGTAAGCGATTATTTTGTTAATTTGACTCTATCGTCGTGGACTCTCCTTTTTCAATATAGATGCTTTAAACTCTCCTGAACTTCCCCTCCCCTTTGATAGCTTCTCTTTTCCTATCGCTTCTCCGAATATAGCGCGATATCGGCAAATTCCGATCTTTAAATATCTTTATCGAATAAAAGCCATTCGAGAAATGCGGGATTTTTCACGTTCGATCGGAGGATCGTTGTTTTGAGCGGTTCGGTGACTTTGACATCGCGGAGGAAGGGTTGCGCCTCCCGTACAATTTCTTTTCATAGATCCGCATGTTCGATATGTTATTTCTGGAAAAATCCAATTTTATTCTTATTTCAAAGAATTACATTGAGCTATAATTCTTCGTGCTTGGTTAAATCAATGATATAGTATATCTTGGGCAATGCTATACGGCCTTTCATTCACTACGATCAACGATTTAAATGATTTTTTTTACTAACTTTTGCATTTTTTCTTGTATTAATATTGTTGTTATAATACTTAGATTTACTTGAATCATAAATATATGCTTTAAAGTAAATGTAGAATTTATTAAAAACATTACAGTTTGCATTGACAATTTCAAAATTAGTATAAATTCTTTTCTATATTCTTTTAGATTAGTACAATTGTAATAATAAATCTTATGTCATAATTTTAGTTATAATTAATATTATAATAGTTATATCTTTTTTAACACTTTTAACCTACTATTCAAAAGCTTATTTTTTAACATTTTATATAAATGTATTTTCAACTTCTTTTATTAGCTTTTTTATATAATTTAAAAATTAAGTTCTAAGGTGGATGGTATATTAAATATATAGTTGATATTTATTTTGAGCTGCTGTGTAAATAATATTGAATAATTTTCTTGAACATAATATAAATATAATAATATTACTTTTCATAAAATCTATGATTATTTATATTTATATACAGTAATCAATTAAAGTAGAGATTAGAATTATATACAAGATAATAAATCAATATTATGTCAATTTTTATTTCAGACAAACGGTTCGTTCTTTGGGTCTGATTGGTACTAAATGGTTGCCTGCAGACAGCATGTCTACTCTGTCAGGGATTTTGTCGAAGGGGGAGAAAGGAAAATCAAAGTTTCAATCGTTAGATATCAATAATTTGTATCGGGTAAGCAGGGTAAGTCAACCAGTGCATTATTTTTATTTACCTTGTAATATTTGTATTATTCTATTTATATTTAAAATCAAAATTAATATTTCTTCTTTTTACATAAAAATATTTCATATTTTGAAATTATAATATTTAATTGTTATATATCATACATAGGGAGAATCCTTAGAACAACATCAACAAAAAAACACATTACCGCGCAAACATGGCATGCAAACCCTCGGAAGGGTGCCCTCGGCACGGAGACCTCCCGCTAATTTGCCCAGTTTGAAAAGTGAAACTAGCAGCAGCGATCCAGCTGTCAGTCTTGTACCTAGTGGAGGAAGTGGTTGGGCAACTACCAAGGATTCAGGATCTTCAAGCACTAATACTATTGTGTCCACAACAGCAACAGATTCAAACACTGTAACTTTTATAACTATGCGCTTTTATACCTCCTCTCCCCCTTTTTCTCTGAAATATTTATATATATATATATACAGTATATCATATATTTGTTATATTATATATATTTTTTTATACTATTTTTACAAAATTTTGTATTATAATAACATAAGCATTTCTATTCTTTTGCAAGACAAATTCTTCACCAGCACAATGTGTAACGGGGTCGACTGCACCAACCTCTCTTCATCCTCTACTACCAGGACAACAAGGTACTTCACATTCTTCCGATGCAAACAACAAATCATCATGGAGTGCAATTATGAGCAAATCAGGAGATGGTATGTATTTTATTTTTTTCTTTTTAACAATATTACCAAATTTGCTTCCTTTGAAAAAAATTTGATGGAAAAGAATACTTCTATAAATTCAAATATTGAAAAATATTACAAATTATGCAAAAAGATGTTTTGCAATGAACATGGATAGAGAAAAATGCATACTTTGCTTTAGTCTTGATCCTATATTTATAATATGTATCATTTAAAAAAAGCATGCCACCTATTCATATCATTAAATTTAAGAAAATATCTTAACTTCATTTATATTTTAAGCAAAACTAAAAAAGAAAAAAGGGAGAAAGAGAATGAAAAATAAACTATACTAATATGCTGTTTGCAATATTTACCATGCATATCAGTTAGAAATTGGAAAAACAATCATTGTTGTTTTGCATATATTACATTTGAAGAAGTAGTAGCTTTGTACTTTGAATATTATCAAGGAATGTGAATAATGCTTACAAAAAGAAAGCACGTTGTATGGTACAGTGTACAGTTATGATTAATTCTTTAGCTATGATGTATCTGAATTTAAGAGCATCTGTTGTTTGTAAAAGTACAATGTATAAAAATTATATTGAAAAATAATCATACTGAAATGTAAAGATTAAAAGAAATGATGATTTAGGAACACATATATACAGATGAGTGACTACTTACATTCTTTGTAGCTAAATGAGTTGCATAGTTACCATATAAGTATATATATATATATATATATACATGTACATAGTTATTAAAATTTTAAGTAATGCAACAGAGAACATCATAAATATAATAAAAATATTTAATTGAAATGTAATTCGAAGGTAATTATTCAATTTTTATAAGTATTGTTTTTCTAATAATGCTTACAAAAAACTTCGTTTTTTTCCCATTCGTATCATTGTAACAACAATAAATAATGTATAAAAAATGATGTCATTGACTGGAGTAAAAAAGGATTTATGATTATTTGGTTTCTATGTATCGTATCAATGAATATTGAGATAATCTCACTTGTAAAGTTAAATAAGTAATACTACAGTATTACATTCGTATAAAAATCCAGAATTGGATCTTTACAAATATTTGTGAGAGTAAAAATTGTATTATATGGAATATTAGTTTTACAGTTTATTTATCATTTAAAAATATTCGATATCCACTTCTGGGTTATAAATTTGAGATAATAATCTCAGTAAAATTGCCTGGATAGTACAATTAATTTATATGTATGCCCATTGTGGCAGCAGTGGTTGGATACGCGGGGCTCGTGGGGGGCGGAAGAGGGGGAAGAAGTGCCCCTGGGCTGAGTTTCCTTGCCCACCAGTCCCCGCAGTTCCAACACGAGTTTCCCAGTCTCAGCGGACAGCCCTCTGTCTCCGCCTCCAATCAGAGCCAGACTCAAGAGTCCTCGGCAACATCCAATGCGATCTCAGTCGCTGTCCAACACCACTCATTGCTACAGCAACAGCCATATTCCCACAACCACTCAGGTGGGATGCTGCTTGCTTGTCGCTGTTAGAATTCAAATTTGATTCCTTGCAGTAGTGCTTCTAGTGCTTCTTCCCCAAAAGCTTTTTATTCTATGCTATTATAGAAGTCATTATGATTAAAAGGTTTAAATTATTCAATTTCATATAATATTTCATTGGAAAATAGCAAAACTTACTATATTTATAAGAGAGTAAATAATTTATATTTAAAAATAAATATTACAAAAATATCTATTTTTTATATAATAATGATACAGTAAATTTTGTTATAGTCCTATTTATAGCACATATTATAATAGTAAAAATATGTAAAAACTGAAACGATACAATATTTTGATTATTTATGATATATATATTGTTCTGTTATAATTAAGATACAAAATGTCAATCCTAATTTTAAAATAAGCTCTTTTTTATCATTAGTATTTCTGTTATATAAATTTTATTTTAGTAATATATGATATATGTGAGTAGTGATATATGATGAAAAGATAATGAATATAAGAATATATAACAAATATATAATCAATCATATAATCATTAATCCAATAGTTTTGAAGTTATAATATTTATATATATTTTTTATTTTAAAAATTTGTTTAATATTTAAAAATTCGTTTAATATTTAAAACATATTTAAGTTGTTTTGCTATATATTATGATTTTTAAAGTCTTTATTGAAAGTTTATATTTGTAATATGCTTGTCTAAATTAGTTAAATGCATTTAGTAACATAATATTCCAAAATGTAAATGTTTTAAATATATCAGGAATGTGTTTAAATAGTTGTGCTCTAGTAGAGTGACATGATCTTCGTTGAAAATTGATATGATAATGAAAGTAATGAAAGTAAATGTGAATATTTTGTTTAAGTATTTAATTTTTACATGATAATTAATTTTTAAGGATTAATTTTTAAATAGATGTTATACGAGATATACATACATTGATTAATATATGCTACATATGTCAGAATTACTA